GAGGACACTCGGTAGTATCGGGCACATGATTGTGAGATCCTCGAGAGCGGAGAGGTCGAAAGGGAAGAGATCCAGGCGGGTGAGCCATTCGGGATCCCGGCCACCGAGGTACGTCGATATCAGCTCCAGAGTCTTGACCGCGACACGTGGAGCGGGAGGGACAGTAGCGGGAGGAGCGAGCGGTAAGGTAATTTGGACGTCCATCATCGAAAGCGTCTCCAACGGTGTCGTCCTCTTTGAGAACAGGTCGCGCAGCCCGGTCGTTTGAAAGCTGACACCAGCGAGTTTGATCACCCGCACGCCTGGCAAGCCCACGGGCGGTGGGAAGGGAAAGATCCCCGCGCCCACATGAGATCCGTTTTCAGCATTAGATCGGAGCTCCAAGGTGTGCAGGTTGTCGAAGCGCCATCTCGGCGACGGCTCGTCTCTCGCATCTCCAATAGTATCAAGGCTCATGACCAGCTTCCGCACATATCCCGCCAGCCACGGTGCTCCGTCTAGCACCTCGCGAAGACGCCGACATCTGGCAAGCGCCTTGCTGTGGCTCAGATCTGGACTCGAGCTCTGGGATAGGTCGATAGCGGCGAAAAGCGATCGTTGGGCGGAAGTCCGAAAGGCGGGTGAGATGTAGGTCGATGTCTTGAGATCATGTTGAGAGGTAACATAAGATGTGATGTGGTCGGTGACTTCGGGCAGAGCGAGCGCAGGGTGCATGCAGAACTTCAGCTCGTGTGCCGTGTGGAGCTTCCTGTCGGATCCGGCGTATCCGGACCGGGCACGTGCAACTCCAACGGTTCTGACCCTAATCGATGGGTTACCGCCAAGCTTGTCCATGTCGTGGTTTGTAGCCATCCTTTCGATCCCGAGAACACTCCTGAAGAATCCCGTTCTTGATTTTCAACTCTCTCCAGTATGGATTGTCCAAACACCGTCGGCATCGGATGACTGGGATTCTCCAGCAAGGGTTGCTAGAGCTCAAATTTTCTTTCGTAGAATCACCACGGAGAACACACGGAAGACGAACAGATGATTGTGATTTGTTATTGCCTCCAGGTCTTAAATCTGAGTAACAAGACTAGCTAGCTCCATTAGGAGCTCAATCGTCGAATGACAACATGGCTGCCTCCATCAAGGCTGACTAACCCTGAGGATGAGGACTTTTTATGCCCATCAACAGTAAGCGGGCCCACTCCCGGCAGCGAAACTGTTCCATTTGACGCAGTTGGTGTTTGCAGCCGCACTGTGAGAGTATGACCCTGGACGGTCCATTTCACACCAAAGAAACCAATTGCTGTTTCCAGCCCGCCTTCCGCCGAGGGGAGACCACTGAGGACAGGGGATATGGTCCACGTAGCTCCCAGAGGAGACTTAAGCTGAATTCCCAGCAGGTAGAAAGTGAGAGCCGAAGTAGGTCCTATAACGGGTGTTGAATGGTAGAACTGAGATAATCGGAGCAACGAACCTGTGGACCATCCGTGCGAATGGCTCGTGTAACTGTGATCCAAGTCGTAGCCCGCCGAGGCACGATATCTGGGCGGAAAAATCAGAGGCCTTTTTCCATGAGCTGAACGTGCAACGCACCCGAGCGATCCGTTGGCTGTGAAACCTTCAAGCAGGGTGGATTCCACACTCAGATTGGTGTAAAGCATGTAACCCCACTCGCGTTCGATGAGATCAAGCGCGCGCTCACCCTCACCGGCTATGAAATGCGCTTGGATCTGTCATGCAATTAGATCTCAATGCGTAAATGCGTAACGTTGCTCCCGTAGGAACCGACTTACCTCGAAGCCACCAACAAACGGAATGATTGTGTCGTTTAGCTCTGGACTAAGTGGCCCAATTGGCGTCCAGAACTTCGTTAGACCGCTGCTGACAGCTTTGTTCTGCGCATCAGATGTCGTGAGGTTGAATAAAACTGCCAGGGCATTCCCATCCTGAGGATGAATACTACCGGGCAGATCGTTGTCGCGGAACATCCCGGCGGCCGTATCCCAAAGCAATGCATTGAAAGCTGCTTTGATTCTGGTCGAGTTGGCGAGATACGCAGCGGCAAGAGAGAGGTCTCCCAGATGGGCTGCGAGGTCTGCAGCCGTGACAAGGGTCTAGGATCACCATGACTACGGATATTCAACACTCAAGAATCTCTCTCACCTGATACAGAAGCGCGTTCGCCGCCGAGTTGTGCCCCGCGCCGCCGTCCCTTCCCCAGTCGTTCGAGAATGCAGTTGGAACGTTGGCAAGGCCCGTCGAGTCTACTTGCCTTTCGAGGAAATTGAGCGCCTTGGTGTAGTTCGGCCAGACAAACTTCACGAAATCAAGGTCTCCCGTGTACAGGAAGTAGTTGTGGGTCCCGATAAGCGACCAGGAGATGTACGTGTCGCTTCCCTGTGCATTGATTGGCGGCCCAGAGTAGTTCAGCGCGCCAGTGACGTGGTCTTGCGTGGAGAACATGACTGTAAGCGAGTTCTTTGTCGGCTCCAAGTCGTTCAGGGCGACCAGTTCTGTGTGTGTGGAGATTCCACAGTCGCCTGATTCTCCCGGTAAGTTCAGGCTCAAATGTCATGGATTGAAAGGCTTGACCTGGCCAGACATTCCTGCCAAATGTCAGCAATCCTGGATTACAAACTGCGGGGTTGTTCCGCACCTGTCGCGTTTGGCTCCATCGACAAGGATAGGCCCAGTAACAGGACCTCCCGAGGCATCATTCGACCAGCCACCTGTGCAACGCCATTCAATTTCGTGCGCCAAACTCGACCAAGAACAACCAAACAAACCTGATGGCGAGCACGGTTGCAATCGTGCTTGATGGGAATCAATCGTGTTTGTCTGGACCGTATACGCGCCTGTTGGCCGTTACACCCTCCGCCCGTGATCGGACATAGCAGAATGACGACGCACCTGCGTACCAGATCTTCGTCAAGAAGTTGATGTCGTGAAATCCTGGGTCAGGTGCGAAGAAGTATCCCGGGTAAGCCCTGAGATCGTCCCAATGGGGCATGAACGTCAGAGCCAGCGAAATGTTCGAAATGGTCAGAGGATCCGCGCCATCAGCAACGATGGTCAAGAAGCGGAATCCGCCCCTCTGCTGTCCGACAGTCTGCGTGATCAAACCCACGGGTAGTGGGGCCCGGAATGACTGGACTCCGTCGAAGTTGTGGAGAGGAGAAACTTGGCACGAGTCGTCAGAGTTGTGCGGGCTGATGAACTCCGCTGATTCGGTGAAAGACAGGGAGAATTGCGAGCGCTGGGTCGCGCTGTTGACCGTCAGAGACAGGATCCCCCCGACCTGAGGCTGCGTCAGTAATCAGCGCTGCCATCGTGTTTAGACCACTCGCCTCTTTGCCCCAGTCGAGAACGACATATGAGCCATTTCTTTGAAAGGTTGCCTGGTCCTCTGCTTGTTTAACGAGACCGCTCGCTCCCAAGACTTGGCCGCTGACGGTGCGGACAGAAACCGGCCGGACTATCTTCGAAGCCGGCGCGTAATTAAATTTGTCCCAGGGCCCGCTCGGAGCGAGGGCATGGCAGACCGGTTGCACGAAAGCGAGAGCGACGGCGAGCTGAGCACAGCTGCTGAGTGTCCACATGTTTGTGCGAGCGCCGCGTGAATGAAATTGGCGTCGACAAGCCTGACACTGTTTTATATGGTACAACCCCATGACACCAGCTTCGAAAAATGTGAGAAAAACTGTCCTGATTTTGAGCAGCGGCTTCGGGTGCGGTGGTATTCGGGCCTGTAGCGACGCATCTCGACATCCTGGGTGGAAGGAATCCACCTGACAAATCATGTGACACGGCACACCGAAGCGGTCCGTTGATGGGGGCGATTCATTCGGCAATGTGATCTCTGATGGAACTCGTCTCCAGACTCCGGCACTCGAATCGGATTGATTCTGTAGTCACCATGTCCGCTTCACGAAAATTTTAATGGATTGAATCGCCAGTACTCTGTGGCTTAGTTGAGGCAAACCCCAGGCGGGGGTACTACTGATGCACGGCATCTCACCGTACGTGAACGTTGGGCCCACACACACCAGCTGGTTTCAGACGCTTCGGGATCCTGCCGGAGATGATTAATCGGTAATTCCTGATGACTCAGGGAAGAAGCCGCAGACGGCGCGAGGGCTATAGAAATTCAATCCAACGATGGCATTGGAAAAGCAAATAGGAGTGCTAACAGAAATCAGTCGTACCGATACAGATATTGTCAAGTCGAAAATTTGGAAACTAGGGACTAATGAGTATAATACATGATTATTCTCACTTTCAAGACTTTCCAGGCAGGATCCCACTTGCAAAGCTGTTAGCTCGGGTCCGCTTGGTGGCAGCCTGCTGACTTCTGTCATTAGTGAGCGACCGAAGTGGCTTAGTGGTCAATGGCAAGGCCGAAGCTATTGTCCGAGAAGCTGACGACGCAAGTAGCTCGGATATTGCGGTCGAATGTTAGCCGCTGTATTGGAAAATTTCGGTGGAGATAGGGTGAAACGGTAAGCCAAAGATAGGAGGGTGTTGGATAAAAATTGTTTAGTAATGGCGCTGTTGTTAGCTTTGGGGTTGGCAAAATGTACGTCAGGAAGTTGATTTCGTAAAACCTTGGGTCAGGTGCGAAGAAGTGGCCCGGGTGTGCTCTGAGATCTTCACAGTGGGGCAGGAACGTAAGGGCAAAGGAGATATTCGAGATGGTCAGAGGATCTACGCTGTCGGTCACGATGGTCAAGAAAAGGAACCAACCTTTCTGCTGTGCGACAGTCTTCGCAAGCAGGTCTACGGCCAGCAGAGCCCGGGATGATTTAACCCCGTCGCAGTTTTCTTGGAGGGAGGGCAAGCACGAGTCGTCAGACTTGAATTCGGCTGATTCAGTGAATGATAAGGGAGAGCGGCGAGTTCTGGGCCGCGTTGTTGATGTTCGGAGACAAAATGCCTCCAACCTATGACATACAATCGTAAATCAATGCAAGCAGTCCTCTCATCTACTCAGCTCACCTATTTACCGCAGTTGAGAACGACATAAGAACCCCTGCTCTGGAACTTTCCCTGCGACTCGGAACAACGATGCCGTTCGCTCCCACTACTTAGCCGCTGACGTTGTGGACGGAAACCGGCTGGACAATCTTCGAAGCCATCGCATAGTTAGATTTAACACAGGGCCCACTCGGTGCGAGTGTCTGGCATAATGGCTGCACGAGGGCGAGAGTGAGAGCGACAGGGAACTGAGCAGTAGTGCCGAGTCCCCACATGTGCAAGAATGGCACTCACATCCGCAACCTTGACACTGACCCCACCTTCGAGAATTCAAGTAAACGTCTTCTGGGGTAATTTCATGGTTGCCCCAGTGCGTCCGATGGACCATTTTCGACATTCGTGGTGGAATCAGAAATCCTGTGATACTTCACGCAACGGCGCTAGACTCCAATGCCATCCCTGCAAGGACGGTCGAACATGATGATTTTGTGTTTCTGGCTTCTTGACTGACATTCAACCAGGGTGCAAAGCGCTTGGATTGGGGATACCGGGAAATCAGCCCGTTGCTGAGCGGCCTAGAGCGGCCCGGCGGGTCCTTCGACAAATGAGGGATGCAGCGAAATTGCGACTACGGAAGGTCTGTCTGAGTCGAAAAACGTATATCTGGGAAGATACGAATAGGTGAAAAGCCTGCGTGGAAATCTTCCGATGTGTTTTGAGGCCTGCAGTGCGCTATAGTGAAAAAGCCTGAGCCAGTCGCCGAGAGGTGGATTCGAGCATCAGGCATCCAGCTAGATCAAATCCTCGGGCAGGGAAGAATAGAAATCGAAATAATCTGGGCCGCTTCCAGTGTAAGATAAACATTAATAGTAATGAGAGTGAGCAGTGATATAGGATGTCGTAAGGCTGTTCCAAATGGAGACTGCAGACCAGCATCTAATTATACACAAAACTCAATCTGGCCACAAATGACGGACACCTGCCAGCGGCAGCACTGTTTCCGAATGCGTCTCGGGTGAGCGCTACATTGCGGCCTGAGCGATGGTGTCAGAAGAGGAACAGGACAAAGAACGAGGGAAAACGGACCAAGCTGTGTTCTCGACGCGCATGGCTCGACGCGCATGGTAGTAATTCGATCGGGCAAAGTACTTGCGCGAATGGACAATTCAAGTTTTCCTTTCTTGCACGAGATCTGAGAAGTGGTGGCGGAGAACGATCCTACGTGTCTTATGGATTGGTGGCGAGTCGGATGGGATACGAGTGGCGGATTCGATCGAAATGCGCCTTTGGTCCAGCGACGGGGATGATATCAACGACCAGGAAATCCTGCACATCCATTAGCAGTTGCTCGGAAGAGGATCAAGATCACGACGGTACCCACCTGCACCTTCACAATGCCAGCATCGAACGAGCCCGAATGCCCTCCTGACTTCACCCGCAGATCGCCAGACCAGTCAAGACTTGCACAGTCCGACACCCGGTCGGTGTCACAAGCACCAGGAGGCAGAGTCATCAGATCAGCGCGGCCGATCACAGACCGGGATTGGAACATCGGCATGGACTTGATCGTCACCAATGTCTGTCGGACGACCGTCACCTCGACAAGCAACCGCTCTTTGCGCGCGTCGGCACAGTAGAACTCGCGCAGGGACCCAGCCGGCCCGCTAAGTTGCAGATGGAACGGAATCCGCTCGTCTAGCGCGAAGACGCCCATCGCAGGGACGTACATCTGCAGATTGAGCGGAGCCACGCCGGACTTGGGCCGCGCTGGGACGTGGTGCGTGTGCTGGCGCCATTCGTCCGGCATCGCCTTGAGGTCCTGCAGGAATGAGCCAGGAGCGGACGGGCAGATGGCTGCTCCTGCGCGAGTGCGCGGCCGGTAGTCGAAGCGAATCGCGATATTGTTCTTGGGTGTGCAGAGGAAGAACTTGCGCGCTCGGGCACGGGTGACGGTCACCGAGAGCGTGTAGACGATGGAGGTGTGGAGAGAGGTGTACGACGGAGGGAGCAGTCGCTTGGTGTCGTTGACCATGAAAGTAGCGGGCAGAGTGCATGCGAATGCGAGTTGGCTGGGGGGCGAAGACCCAGTGCTCGCCGTCTGCGTAGTCCAGAGATCGACGGAGTGCTCAAGAAAGACGTGTTCGTGTTCGATCGCAATGGCGTCAGCATCGCCGACCGTCACCTTGCCCTGGATCTAACGAGACGCGTCAGTCGCCGTCCAGGGTCTCTCGATGCGACAGTACGTACCTGGAGAACGACAGCAGTCACCAGCTCCCTGTCTTGCAGTTCAACAAAGCCCGCAACGGTGCCCTCGCGTCCGTACGTCGGAACGGCTGCACCAGGATCTTGCTCGCTCAGAGCGACCGTGTCGCGGGCCGATTTCTTGACGAAGGAACCGGCAGGACGGGCCTTGTGTCGCGGGGACTGGGCCACGAGGCGTTCGTTGTCTCGCAACGCGTAAGAGTAGGATGGGGCGCGTGTGGAGGGCGTGTACGCAGGCGGCGCAACGGATAGAATAGGGGCTGATTCTGTGCTCATGATGAGGCGCGGGCTGTGTAGAAAAAACGCGGGTGACTCACTTCATGCCACCAGGAAAAGCTGTTTATAAAGTCTCCATGAGCTCACTCCTGACTGCGCCGGGTTTTGGAATACTGCGCGATGACTGCGCCGTAGCGCGGCTCCGAGAGCTGCTCCGAAACGGCGGTGGTGGTGGCACTTTTTCAAATTTCACAATCAGACGATTTCGGATCCTGCCGACTCCCTGATCGGCGATCATGCATTCGACCTCCTGTTCGTTTTGGGAATTGCTCATTCAGCTGTCGGCCAGAGCAACGCCAATGAACAAACAAACCTCAACCGCAAGGTTCTGGCTGAATCTGCTTCCTTCAAGTCACCTTTACCGAAAGCCAGTGGATATGACATTTCATCCGAGCGTAAAGCCGAGGATTCACTCCAGGTAGACTTGAGATCTCAAGAAACACAGCGTCTCAAACGTGCACCTCGCGAGAACTCACGTCTCGAATTGCCGGACGAACCAGTCAAAACAGCTCGCCGGCGCTCCTCGCAATGCATGTTGCTTTGGACTATGCAACACGGACGAAAAGTGACCTTCCCCTGCTTAGAGCTAAATCAAAAAGTGGAAGATTGCAAAGTTCGAAACTTATTGCGATGGACACAGCGCAACTCTCACATGAGAAGCGAGCAGACAGAAAGCTGAGACCGACGCATACGGTCAATCAGGATGGTCGCATTCCTTGAAAAATATACGTAACGTCTACTTTGCTATGAGCAGCAGCTCAGGGGACATCGCCTGAAACAGTATCGAAGTATAGATCAAACGGTTCGGACATGAGTACGCTGACGATCGATGCCCAACGGTTCTAAGACACACACTGAAGCAGCGTCTTCTATCAAGAGGAGATCATCACAAAGACCATTCTGTCAGCGCAGTGTGGATTGGAACCCGCCCGGAAGTTGGAACCGAGAAGAGTTGTATTTTGGTGGCATCGGTCTTGGAGGAATCTCCGGAATGCCAGGTCGATCGGCCGACGCGAGCTTATGTGTCCCAAGCATCTGTCACCAAGCGTATCGAATGAGAATGCCGAACGCGCTCGAAGTTCGCGCTGGGGCCGAGCTCCACCACGATGAAGTCCTGCAATTGATTCAGTATCATGCGATGTGAGACGGATTCAATAGGCAGTGGCACACCCACCTGCATCCTCACAATCCCCGCATCGAAAGAGGCGACCTCCACATCTCCATTCACGCGCAGGTCACCAGACCAGTCGAGACTGGCGGAACCGTCCACCTCATTGTCCTCTGCACCAGCACCGGGTGGGAGCGAGACCAGGTCAGCTCTACCAATGACCGATTGCAGCACGGCAGTCCGCATGCCGTTTATTGTGACGAGCGTCTGCCGCACAATCTTGACCTCCACGAGACGCTGCCCTTTCTGCACATCCGCGCGGTAGACCTCTTGGAGGGAAGAAACGGCACCAGTCAGCTGGACATGGAAGGGGATCGATTCATCCAGTGCAAAGACACCACTGGAGGGGATGTAAAGTTGCAAGTCCAGCGGCTTCACGTCCGCCTTGGCCTTGCCTGTGACACGGTGTGCGTGTTCGCGCCACTCTTCTGGCATGGTCTTGACGTCTTGGAGGAAACCTGCGACAAACGATTGGGTGGAGTGTCCCGGCCGAGTGCGTGGTCGGTACCCAAAAGGAATGCACACCGTGTTCTTGGGCGAGCCAAAAAACTTGCGCGTCCGCCGACGGGTGATGGTCACCTGCAGAGTGTATGCGATTGACGATTGAGGTGAAGAATATGATGGTGGCAGCGGACGATCGAGGGAGCCCGCTTTGAATGACGCTGGGAGAGTGTATGCGAAGGGCAGCTGGCTGAGTGGGGAACACTCTTCGGACATTGACCAAAGCCCGATCGACTCGTCCAAGAACGTGCATTCGGTGGGAACCATGTCCGGTATATGCAGCGAGACTTTGCCGCGGATCTAGAGAGTACGTGAGCATGACAGAGAACATGCCGTTTGTATCCTACAGGGGCGCACCTTCAATGCAAGATCGGTTATTGTCTCTCGGGCAGCCAGATCGAGAAACCCTGCGATGAGACCCCGCCTACGATATGTGGGGATGGCTGCGCTTGCGTCCTGCCCCGTCAGAACGATAGTATCGCGACCAGACCGCTTCAGGTAGGTGCCGGTGTCCGGATGCGGCTTGTGACGCCCAGACTGCGCAACGAGACATTCATCCTCACGAGGCGTGTACGAATAAGATGGAGCAGGGGTCGACGGAGTGTATGGGGGCAGAAGGACCGTTGATGAGGCGCTAGGTGCTGTGGTCATGTCGCTGAGCGGGGCAGATGCGACGGGGGAAGATGGATGACTCACAAGCAGGTCAGGAAGACCTTTATAAACTACACGTTGCGAGTCTCCGATGTCTTCGCAGCCGGCCCTTTCGACTGCGCGCTTGAGTGAGTAAGTAGATGAAGGCTGCCAGGTCCGAGTTTGCAGTGTGATCGGTGATCTGATTGGGTGCCGGCACTTGACTCGATGTGATTGTGTATATCACCTGCCTGCAAGTGCTTCCGTTGAGTGAGTCTGAATGACGCAGATTGAACATGCGCTCGGCTCGGGGGAATCTTGCTCATCATGAGAAATGCGTGGGAAGATGGACACAAATTGCAATGACGGGAACATCAGGCTCAGTAATTCGAATGCGCTCATATTCCCTCCTCCAGAAATTTTCGCAGTTTCTCACACAGCTCTGCTCAGAGACAGATTTGCCAGACCGATACGATAAGTGCCGAGCTCATCCTTTGTCATCTTTGGCTGGATTAGGATAGACATTATCTACATTGGTCAATGCTCACGAGCTAGGACCAGTGAAGTCAGATGGCATTCTCAGTGCGAGATTCGAGTTATTTGAGGGATCACAAAGGATCACATACATATTAAGGCCTTCGCTTACATCATCATGGACGCTCGGTGTATAGACCGCTATCCTGCGAAAAATGTGCACGGACCCCTTAGCTCAGCTGGTAGAGTGTGTGATTCCAGTACCTGTTTCCACAAGGTCATCCGTTCAAATCGGGTAGGGGTCATGTAATTTTGTTACGATTTTCTTGCTTTTTCTCTACTGTCTTGATTCAGCGATGAAGGACCGTTATTTCAATGAGCTGCACATTTCACGCACACCGCTTCAATATCAGAGCACATAGACTGGTATTGTGTGATGTGCGTCAAGATGGTGTCGGTTATTGAGATGATGCGTACATACAGATGGAAAGCAAGTAGCACGATGTGAGTAGTGAGGTACAAAAGTGGGATGCAATCAGATAAGTAGTCCTCGAAAGTGAGATAGCAAGTACAAGAAACAATCATTCCCGGATCCTTAGCCGGTCGCCTTCGAGCACAAACCGTCCCTCCCGAGCGACGAACGCAGTAGCGACCCGGGTTACTTCGGTGAAATCAAAGTCCTCGTGCTTATCGATGGGCATAGCCGCGTTAAGGTAGCCGAGGAGCGCCGAAATACTGAGGTCATCGCTGGCTTCGTGTGTAGTGTGGAACAGATACTCGATAGAAATAGAGATAAATTGCCGCCTGCCACACCATGAGTATGCAGCGTGAGACAGCAAGCGAAAACTAGAACGCACCGTCCTGCTGGAGAGTCCAGGTCCGCCAGCGAAGCCCGAACCGGCGGACGCCGTATCTGCTGTGGTGCCGTGTATGCACGACCAGGAGCGACCGCCGACGCCGATTCATCCTCCATGTATGAGTCCCCGTCCGCATCGACGTCCTCGCCCTCTGCGTCGGCATCGGCGTCTCCGTCCTGGGCACCAGACTCGCGGGCTGGAGCCGAGATGTAGCCGGGTGGCAGATGGCGTGGCGGGTGGGCTGGCAGTGGGGCCGGACCGCGTCGACGATGGGCGTGGCGAGCCGCATCATCCAACTCAGAGGCGCATTCTTCCTTCTCTTCCTCCGAATAGCGGGTTTTGCTCGCACCACCGTTAGATTTAGCACCCTCCGTGCCAGCTTTCTGTGCCCGTCGTTGGCTGTGGAATGGTTACCATGCATATTGTGGGTAAGGATGGGGAGACGGATACGCACTATCGCGCAAGACACTTGCCGCGGTGCTGCAGCCACGGATACGCACAGTAACTGCTGTCTTGACGCAACTGCACCCACTTGGTGCATAGCGAGCAGAAGACCCGGTTCGGCTCCACCTCCCTGATCAGAACGTCTGCACGCAGGGTCGCAGCGCGCTGCTCCGCATTCCGCCGCCGGGACTCGTGCGGAGCGGCGTAGTTCGCGGGGGACAAGTCCAGCACTACATGAGGTGCATCAGGCAGCGGGAGATGCAACGGGGCAGGGAACGAGGCGGGCGCCGGCGGCGGAGGGGGCGGTGAGTACGGGTGTTTGCGAGACGACGTTGATGAGGCCGGTGGCGTGCGGCTGCGGGCTGCGGCAGATGGTGGTGACTGAGGTGGCTTGCATTCGTCGTCGGCACCGTCGCGGTCGACCATACCTCTGACGTTCGAGGTCCTGAGAGTTTCTAGTCAGTCCACGAGCATTTATTTACGATCGCGAAACAGAGCAAGACAGCCCATTGCTATTCGCACCCGGCGTCGGAGGGAAGCGGGCTGGGGCAGGTAGTGCGACACCGAGCCAACGGGCAGCATTAAACAAGGAGCGGAAAGGGATGGCTATATACTATGCAGGGAAACGAAAGAGTAGGCACTCACATGACGCCAACACCCCGCATCCCGGCGCCAACGCTCTTGCGGCATCCGTCGCGATGTTGTACCCACATCTGCACGGCGCCGAGATGGTCGTCGACGGGGAGAGCGATCCACCTGGAGCAACGTGTCAGCGGCGAAGGAGAATGGGGAAGAGAGTGAAATCAAAAAGATGAGTGACATATCAGTGCCCGGAGCAAGATGAGAGAAGGCGACAGGCCGGATGAAGGCAGAAATGAAGGGCCGAACCACAAGCCCCACAAGAAAGGGCTACAAATTGGGAAGGAAAGGAAACGCGTATACGCACTTATCACATACTCCACATAGCAGCCGCTCAGCATCGAACTTGCGCACATCGGGATCCTTGGCGAATGCCGCATTCCGCTCGTCGAGAGCGTATGCATGTGCGTTCTTCGCGTGGCTGGCAGGAGAAGTCAGCATCGAGCAAGCGGGAGCAACGAGAAGAGGTGAGAGCAGCAAGGGAGGTCCACCCCATTTTGAAGAGAAGGTAAGCAGAAAAGAACTCGAAGAAGGCGGGGACTCCCGCCCCGAGAAGCCAGTCAACACGTCACCGCGCTCCTGCTGCCAGACAAGCTGCTGCTGCTCCAGGTGGCGTTCCGTACATCATACATAATAAATGCACGACAAATGCAAAACGCAGGCAGCGGCTTCCGAGCCCAGCCGAAAATAAAGAAAAAGTAATAGAAACAGGCACGCAAAAAAGGACCTCTGACGCACGCACCTCTTCTTCGCGAGACAGCTCTTCCGGTGCGCGTCCCACGGGATCGAGCAGTATGTCGAGTTCGGTCGAAGCCGGATCCATTTGTCGCAGCTCGCGCATAGCACGCGGTACGCCTCGAATTGCGCGACATGAGTGTCGGCGCGCAGGTAAGCGATGCGCTCGTCTTCCGTGCGTTTGGCACGCCGGCGCTTCGCGGGAGGGAGGCCGCTGAGGATCGACGTGTAGGACGTCGTCTCGACCGCTGGCAGCGGGGGCGGCGGGGGCGGCGCATACTGCGCTGGATGATGGTGGCGGTGTTGCTGCTGGTGGAGGTGGGGGTACGGTTGCGGGTGAGCATGTGGGTTTGAGTGTGAGTGCGTGTGCGAGTGGGCAGGCCGTGCGGTACCGGCGCTACATAGTGCAAAGCGTATGAGCCAATCTGGCATCGTCGCGGGGGAAAAGCTAGTCCACGTACCATGTACCACGATGCGTGTCCCACATCTCACCGATGCGCACGACCACCCCGCACGCCTTGCAGATCACGCTGCTGCATTCACGGCGCGAGGAGGGCACAGGCGAGCCGGGGGCCAGGATGAGTGGTTTTCGGTCTTCTTCTTCTTCGTCGTCGTCCTCTGCCTCGGCGTCGGCGTCGGCATCTGCGTCGAGCCCAGGGGAGACTGAAGGCGGGGTCTTGCGCTTCAGATTCGGCCGATCCTGTGCGGCCGACGGTGATGGTGGAGCAAGGGCTGGCGGTGACACTGCCGTGACTGTATTCGGAACCGCAGGTGAGGAAGTCGCGGAGACGGGATCCGACACCGCTCGTGGGACACAGGTCGGCAGGAGCTGCGGAGAGCTGCAGAGGAGAAGAAGGAAGTCAGAGATGTTTTCTGGAAAACAATTGGGATGGCAAGAAAAAGCAAGACATACGTGAGCGGTCGAGGTGCGGGCGAAGTGGCGCTGCAACGCGTCGTCAGTGATAGTGAGGGCACGGAACCATGTGTACACACACCCTGTAGGCTCTGCGGCGGCGACAGCGGCAGTGGCAGCAGTGGACATCGCAGGGAGGAGGGCTGAAGGGAACGAAAGCAAGTGTGGTGGGTATGTATGCGGCTTTTAGCAGAAGCCGGCGAGTGACGGGTGAGTCGAAAGTCTACAGAACATATAAGTAGGTGAGTAAAATGAATTATTCACAGTCGGGTGACGAAACAGGAATAGGAATAGGAAATCCCGAAACGGAAAATTCAAGTTCTTGGTCGTATCAGATCTGTGATTCTGTGGATCTGGCATTGGCCCGTTTCCGTTGTGTGTTCCATCCAAAGTTCCTTGTGGCGGACGGGGTTAATTTGTAATCGAAGCGCGGATGGAAGCAAGCTGTAGCATAGGCCACTCAAGTCGGAGTGTCAGAGTCTCCTCCTCCTCCTCCTTCATCTCTCTCTTGCACTCGCCCGGGTCCACGGACAGACAGACAGACGCCCGGCCAGCCAGCCTTGGCCACGCTGGTCCAGTCGCCGTCCCCTTCTCTGGCCGCGTCGCCCCACACGGGGTCCATTAGGTAAATGAGCGCGCTGAGCCACTTGGGGGAAGACTTGTTCCGAGGACAAGACCAGCGCGGGACTTGCTTGCAGGTGGAGAGTCGCACCATCCGTTACCCGAACAACGAGCAACACCAGATAGATGGACAGATTCCACACTCTAGTTTCGCGGCGGGGGCCTAACCCCTCTCTGTGCTGTTTTCCCAGCTAGAACTCGACGGCGATGTGCGCAGCCTATCGCGACAAACCTGCGCGGCTGACACACATAAACCCAGATAGACATGTTGCGGCGTGCAATTGTCGTACATTGAGAGTTGTCATGTCGTTATTTTATTGACGATGGCGACGGAGAGAAAAAAGCTTATGTTCTCATCACCGTCGGAGTTTCAATTTTCCACGGAGATTACCGCATCGGGAGGCGGATGTTCTTCAGTTCTTGACTACCACCAGGGAACGAAATTCTCTCGTAGCGCTCGTGTCGGATCAAGCTTTTCTTCGTTTCCATTGTCTATTGAGTCTCTGTGGCGACTATTCGGACGCACACCCTCTGGTTTCACTTTCGGCCAGTGGGATCTGTGTGTGTGCTCGGACTCGTAGCAGGCATGTCACCAGTCAATTCAAAGGAAGAGACCGTCCGGATCATCCCCTTGTTAGCGTTCAAATACGTTTCTCGTCCACCCCCCTGTCACCGTCGGGAAACCCTCAATCTTATCATTTATATTTCGGCCATGGATCGAACGCTGCGGGGTGCTGGACAAGACGCAGGACACAGGACACAAGACAGAGTGCCTGATGGATGAACCAACTGTCTGTGGCATCGAATCAGCCTTATTGATTCCCGCGACGCGCTGCATTGTCTTTTCACGAGGGGGCTGATTTCATTTCATTGGCTTCGAGTGCCGGTGCTTCCTTTGGAGCGTTTCTCCTTCACACCGCACCACCTCAGCGGCACACTTCCGGTCTTCGTGATTCTCCTGAAATCGGCGGCGGGTGGCAACTCTGAGCTTAGATAGGAAGCCAAGCTATGCCACTTTGAGAACAGGAGAATTTTCACGGCGAGTTTCATCAGCCATCAGCACGCAGCTGGAGTGGCCCAGACCCTGGCATGTGCGACATAGATCCTTACGACGCGCCAACAGCATGTATGTCTATTTTGGCAGGACATGGAAGAGTGAGAGAAGCGTCGTTGCAGTCAAAAAAGAGCAGAAGAAGCGCTCCCGACGCGCTCCGGTGTTCAAGGCGATCATCGTTGATGTGATACGCCTAATTGGCATCCCCTGTCAAGCTAAACTCGAGTGTTTGACGGTGAGTATCCAGCAATTTGTCGGGCGCTGTGTCAGTCTTATCACTCAGGGATGACGAAACTCGAAAAGGCAGCTTGTCAGACGGCCACCCGAATACTGGACCTGCATTCGAATTCGGACACCAAAGCACAAGTGAAAAATGCCGTAAGCAATGATAAACTGTCGTCCACTTGTGTTCTAAGCTGGATGAAGCAACAATCGCGCTGGGGTTCTACGAAAAGAAGAGCAGACAGTATGCCAGCTCTCAGGAAGCCCAGCCCAGCCCCCACTCGGAGTGCTAACCCGTCGGATCCGGGCAGGTCAATTACGGATACCCGGGCCACCCCAGCCACATAACTTACTTGCATCGAGGAACCACTCCTCACACCGGACATTTCGTCTCCGCCCACCCACCACCGGGCTCGAAACTATTTCGCCGTGCCTGGCGCTCTCTCCGCGGCCTGATGTGGGCGGAAAAGGGGAAAGCAAATTGGGCGCGACTTAGCGTAAACGAAGAAGACGAAGAACCTCGAAGTATCCCTATGTCATTTAACACTTGAGGGGGGGAGGAAATGAGCAAACGGTCCCTCGTTCGAGGAACTTCCGGATACATAGAGTAAGAATGCTAAGCAAGGAGCGCGTCGCTAGCTCTGAAATTAAACTCTACATTCCGGGAAGAACTGGGGGTGGCCATTGGGGAATGGAAAACATGGTAAGCCAGTGTTTCACCGAACGAGAAGGAGAGTTGCTGGCGATGGAGCCTAGGCACACTGCCGCGCATCGTCACCGGCAGCTGGGGAGTGGCGGCCGCATGCGGAGAATCGATAGCGGCTACCGGACCATCGGTAGCCAGCTTCCAAGTCCCCCCGAGGAGTTCTAACCCAAACACACTGGACGAAAATTATGAATTTGTAGTTCTTCAACCGAAAACACACCGAGAAACCTCGCGTCAGAGTGAGAACCCAGAGCGCCTCGGAATGTCACATCGTGCCGGCTCGGAGTAGTATCAAGTATCAGTTAATCTGACCTCCGAATCCGAGGGGGACGAGCTACCACAAGCCTAGAGAACGTCGGGGTATGTAAAACAAGAATGATGAAGTCAAAAAACTAGCAGGGCGTCCCAGAAAACAGCCGTAGGTGGGGTCCCAAACGGACCGAAAACACACCGAGATACGTCGCGCCAGAGACCAAAGCACCCTCGGAATCCCCATATTACGCCGGCTCGACGCAGTAGTGGGCATCATCCTTTAATCTGGCGTGCGATCCCGAGGGGAATGAGGCATGAGTTACCACAAGCCTGGAGGGCGAGACGGGGTATGTAAAAGTGGAATGAAACCAAAAAGGTGCGCAGGAATTCCAAGATGGCTAGCGCAAAGTTGGAGAGAGGCAGTGAGAAGTCCCCATTCGCAATGAGAAGAGAGGGGAGGGCATCGGCCACGAAAGAACCGACAGAAGACGAGACGTGGAGGAGAACGAACTCAAAGCGGACTTCTTCGACACTGAGGAGCTCCGCGAGGATGCTCACGCTCCAGGAGCCAGGCGGGGTGACGCTGGCTGAGATGGGTCCGAAAGCGATAATGCAGCTGCTAGTAAGCCATCACCACCAAGTGCGCTGCTGCGAGGTCCGATCAGGGGCATGACGAGCCAGCAGCAAGCTTGTTCGCACCCGCGATCTTGATCAACCTCGCCGGACTTGCGAGTTCCTTTCCATGGAAATCAGGCAGCCAGAGGTGGGGCAGGAAACGTGCGACGCGGCCAATCTGCAGCGCTCAGTCTCCGCATGGATCCAATGAACGGCGTTCACAAGGGCTGGTGATCGTGCGAGACAAGATAGCGTCACCGGGCTTGACAAGACAAGACAAGAGAGCTGCTATGAAGAGGAAGAGAACCGCTGATGCGCAATCTGGAAACTCGCCCTGCCGCTTCGATGGAGAAGACACCTGAGGCACACGGTAGCGCTGTCGTACCTCACGGGCCCTAGTTTGTACATACATGCAGGCAGTCCGGCAGACATCACCGCGCCAGAAGGCACTCCTCCCACGTACCCGTCTTTCTGATACAGCAGATGTCGTCCTCACTTCCGAGAGGGCTGTATTAGTTTCCGCATGTGGCACCAGCGGAAGGCGTTCCTCTCGGATCTCCAGGGTGGTGGTGCCATGAGCTAGTGCGAGGAATGAATCAATGAGGTGCTTGTCGTCGATTCTGGGCTTACAGCGGGCCAATCTAAACGCGTAGAGCCTCGGATTCAGCAATGGCGGTGCAGTGATATGGATTGGGCCCCCGCTTTTGGATGACAAGTTTCAAGTGTCGAGGGGGATAACGACGGCCAAGGCATTACATCCAGATTGGTCATTGCCTGCGTCAGACGATTTCGCCGACGCTTCTTTCCCTGAGCATCCTCGAGCCTCACGCTTCTTCGGGGGACGATCAGACATGAAAGACGCGTGTACGCACTTACTCGATCCTCTTTCCGTCTTCTGCACGTATCGTGGCTGGCGAATCACTTCTCAAGAAGAGGGTTGATTGTCCATGAGGTGGCGAAGAGGATATCCGATTCAGCGTCAGCGAATAGACATGCGTGTTCCCACGCGTTGGCTTCTGATCAGTGCTAAGAGAGGAGATGGAAATTACAACTGTGAATCAGTCGATCGGAATCTGAAAGAGTCTCGCCCAAAACAACTGGCTGGACACCCTGGTTTGAGGAGGGCCACTCTCCAACCCCAACCTTACCTGGTCTGATCTGTGGCCATGTCATTGATGCGGGTTTGATGCGCGTGTAGCTGGCGAGCCCTTGTTCCGTTGGCTGAGCGCTTACTAGTGTCCATCCCTTCCATCCTTGACCCCGCCTTTGATGACTGTTTGTCTCGCATCTGTGGCCAACTCAGCCTCAACGCAGTTTTTTTCGTTCGTCCAACACCACGCGCACATCCCATTTGGGCTTCCATCAGCATCGTGAGCCTAAGCGCGACACGTGGGGCGCCGCGTGGCCCGGCGCCTGGCAGCGCCAGCGTGCACGTTCCCGAGCCAGCCTTGCGGCCTTGCAGCCTCCTCCCCCTCCTCCTCCTCGCGATCCCTACACTTTGACTGTCACCATCCATCGACGTGTCTCACTTTTTGCACACGCTATCGATCTTCTCTCTCTCACCCTTCTCTATCGCCGATGCGACCAGCCGAGTCTGATACGCCGCCCGAGGGGGCACAGGCTAGACTGGACGCGCTGAGGGCCGAAGTCTCGAGGCTGGATGACACCCTCGTCTTGCTTGCGACGCTGCTGTCCGAGGTCCAGTCGCAGCGGCAGGCCCATCTTGACGCTGTGGCCGAGCTCCAGACTGCTCTCTCCCCGATTCGCCGCCTTCCGCCAGAGCTTCTGGCGCATGTGTTCATGCTATGTGCGGCTGCGACTCCGAAGACGGGACGGTCCATCCTCAACGCCCGCAGCGCACCCATGCTTTTGGGGCAGGTGTGCTCGCGCTGGAGGGAAGTCCTCCATGCGACGCCGAGCCTCTGGTCCACTGTGGTGCTGCACACGACCCCCGGTCTGGCGAGGAAGTTTGACGAAGGCGATCTGCGGACGATTTTCCAGTTCTCACAGATGCTTCCTGTCGACGTAGCTATATACGGTCGAGACAGCGTGGACATGGAATGGTTCTGGGATGCGCATACCCGGCTGCAGCACCTGCGACTGGAGACGACTGGAATTCACGCCCTGCCTGCCAGTTGTCGGACAACGCTACCCTTGCTCGCGTCTGTCACCCTCATCATCCTCCACGAGAGCAACCCCCTATCTCTTCCGCTGCTGGGCCAGTTCCGACGCTCTCCACGCCTAACATCTCTCCGCCTCGAGTCGCCCAAGGTTGTTGGCGACATTCTTGACGTCTCTTTCCCCTGGTCTCAGCTGACCTATCTTGACTTGCACCTCCCGCTCCCTGTGCTCACCGCCCGTAATGTCGTCGCCCAGTGCTCATCACTGCAGCACTGCCGCTTGAAGGGCCTCCTTGGTGTCGCGACAGACGAAAAGGAGCGGACGCCGAACCCCGGCGTGACGCTTCCCTCCCTGTGCTCTCTCCAGTTCTTACTTCCTGGGGCGGCAACGAGCATCTTCCTCCGATCATTTACCCTCCCCGCCCTCAAAAGCCTCGCGATAGAGAATGCACCCTGGCTGTTCCCCGTTCTCCGAGATCTCCAGGCCCGCTCGCGTTTTGCGCTGGAGCGGCTGGTGCTGAGGGATATCGCCGCGTCGAAGGAGGACGTCGTCGCAGCCCTGAACTGTCTGTCGTTGCTTCGTTCGCTGACACTCGACTCGTGTCATTCGCTCCGCCGCGGCCTCCTCGCTGCTTTTACATACCCCCCGCCGTCGAAGACCGAGACATCGCAGAGCTTGCCTCTTGCGCTTGCGCGGCTGGAAACGCTCAGGATCGTTGAAGCCTTCGCTGAGCTGGATGGGGGGCAGGTGGCTGACATGGTCGAAGGGCTCCGGAAACAAAAGAAGGGCGATCCATTTCCGGTCATTCGACGGGTGGAGCTGCAGGTCGCAGGCCACATAAGCCACACTGGGATAGAGAGGCTGCGGAGCATGGTGGCCTGCGGGTTTCTTGTGTGGGACGTGAGCTGATGGAAAACATGACATGTGATTCTAAACGCGCCCCCGTGACTTTATCTTTGTGATTATCTATGTAAAATCGGCTACCATCCGATGCGACGTGACTTCTCAAAGGCGCGGTTTAATTTTCCCCTCGTCTGGACCCGCGCTGTAACTTGCAGCCCATTCGAACACCAGCCCTATCAGTCTATCGATGTCTAGTCGAGTCTTATCCGCGTTCAAAGAGATGCGGACTCGTTGTTTGCCGCGCGGCACGAGCGGGTAGACGGCGGCCGCGGTCAAAACGTTGTGTTTGGCCAAGAACTCTGAAAGCGCAAACGGATCTGGGGTCAGTAAGGGAATGATTGCCGTCGGGAGTGTGGTGCTCGGGATTGTGTCAATCGACGTGGAAATGGGCGAATCGGAATGAGCGGGAAGGCCGACGAGCTTTGTGGGTGTTCTGGTCAAATATTCTTGAATGAGATGGACGCAATATGTGCAGGTGTCGAGAAGTTGTTCGGCGAGTCTGTCTCTGAGTGGGCTCTCCAACATATCCAATGCGCTTTGGATTGAAATCGCGGCAGTGTAGCTGGGACCTGTGGTGAAGAACAACGCACGTCCATAGTTGATGAGATAATCTTTGATCAATGGGGTGGTGAGGATGACCGCTGGTAGAAGACAAGAATGTGAGCGTATGACCATCGAATTCAGAGTGAATAACTTACCCCCGTTCGAGGTCAGAGCCTTCCCAAAGGTGTGCAGCCGGGCCAAGCACTTATCTTCCAGACCGAACATCGAGACAATCCCTTTCCCATGGGTACCGTATATTCCAGTAGCATGTGCCTCGTCCACGACGAGATGCGCGTTCTGCAGAGGAAAGTGCTCCTGCAGATAATCCGACATCGATCTGAGCGGCGCGATCGAGCCATCCATGCTGTACACCGACTCGACAGCCAGAAAGAGACTCGTGGAACCTTTGTCCAGCCCAGGATACTCCCGGCGTGCACGCTTCACCGCCAGCGCAAAGGCCGAGAGGCTGTTGTGCTCGAAGGGAATCAGGTGGGCCTTCCCGGAGTGCATCCCGTCGTAGATCGATGCGTGGATGTATTCGTCGTGGACAATCACATCCCCCCGCCTCGGGATGTGCCGGAAAAACGCGAGGTTTGCGTCGAAGCCGGAGCTTGCCAGCAGCGCCGCGGGCGCATTGAAGAACGTGGCCATGCGTCTTTCGAGGGCCTGATGAGTCGCTCCGTCCGAGAGGACCCGGGAGCCGCCCACGCCCAGGATTCGCGGCGAGTCGTGAAGTCTTTGGAGAAAGAGCTCGCTGAGCTCATCACAAATGCCCAAGCAGAGATAGTCGTTCGACGTGTACTGGATGCTCTTTCCCGGATATTCCTCATACGGAGTGGCTAGGGACAGGAATATGCCATCCCGCTTGCGCTTATCGAGGTCGGAGGTGAGCTGAGCAGCCAGAGATGTCATGCTGCTTTGTTTGCTCATCGTCGCAAGAGCATCGCGCTATAAGCAGGTTTGAAATCGCCGATAGGTAGCGGTAATTTTCCGTCCCGCGGCTCCGAATCACTTATCATCAAGCTTTGTGATGCCAAATGAGAGCGCTCGTGGAAAGCGGCATTCTCTAGCAGATATAGGATGTGAAGGAACTTGCGTTTACCACGTACACCGAGTTCGTCGCAATGTGCGTCAACGAAACTCCCAGACTATTGGGCCCATGATACCTCTCGATGTACATGCTGCACATGGGCGTCAAAGACGATCGATACGTTGCAGTAGTCGATGGTCAAGCTCTGGCGAATGGAGGCCAGTTTCACGGCACGTTTGGCAATGCCATGGCTGTTCCAAAATAGCGGATATTCTACAGAAGCAGACTCTCCACCAGGCAGGTGAGATACTGTAGGCGCAAAGGTTTGAAGGTTACTCGATAGAAATGGCTGGCCGCAGAGAACGGAGGGGCTCCTGAAAGTAGTAGAGAGCGGTCTAACGCATTTGACTGGCTTAGATTTCGAACAAGATACATGCACAAAGCAGGGATACTCGAAAGGGCCGGTCCAGTGCGAGAGATCGACACGTCTTCTAATGGCAGTATGAGAGGGAGGGTGGTGAGAAGTGTCATTCGATTCTGTCAAGATGGACCTTTGGGCCTCACTCTCTCCTTTGATCTGGTCCATTCGCCCAGCAATCAACTGTGCGACCTGGGTGTAGTCCTTCCGCTGCCACTCGGGTGGTACAGCACATGATCTAGTAAAGCTTGGATGCCTCTAACTTCCGATAGCTGATCATGATGCCCATGTGTATTTCCTTTCCCTCCCACCTTTCCTTCTCACGTCTCTCCCCTCACTTCTCCCTCACTTCCCCTTGTTATGACCGGTCCGCGGGAAGTTTTCAAACGCGCGTCATTCCTCCCCGCATTATCGTCCATGGATTGACCGTGGACAAACCGAACTCGACGCGCTGAAACAGCCTTTCGGGCTCTGCGATCGATACAATCTGGGATGTCTGCGCCGAGTGAATATCCTTCTGCGTACACCCTCATCGACGACGCTCAGAAGGAGCAAGCCACTTGCCATCGCATGCACTGCACTCTGTCAGTGATGCTGCCCGAAGTTATTTGTGTCACGCAAGCACAAGATCTTCATCCCGGTGTAGTAAGGTGTACTACTGTGCATCTGTGCTTGGCACTGTACATCTAGCACTTCGCTGCGAGGCCGGGACTATCCCTGCAAAGTGAGTGATAACATAGCACCGCATCGCTCTTACCCGCCAGTCGAGCGCGAAAACAGTGCACTTGCAGCTGCCAGCTGCGCTTTTCTTCAAGCGGCGGAGCTGATTTTGTTTCTCGGGAAGGGATCACAATCTCGTGTTATGATGGGTCTGCAAGTGGCCTGCATTGACAGCTGATTCAAAAACGTTAGACAGTGCACGATTATTTCGATGTGATCGCGGAAAATCCCGTAGCACAGCATATTTCCTCATTCAGTACTTTTCGCTCCACCGCACTCCACGCGACATCCGTTTTTAGCTGGAAGGGACGGACAACCCTGTAATTCCACTGTTCCGCGCATTGGACCGAGCCCGATAGATGCTGTGTTTGCAGATCCCAGTCGCAGCCGAAATGCAGGAGGCGGATAGACCGCGCGAGGACATGACGATGCTGTGCTACGGGATTTTCCGCGATCACATCGAAATAATCGTGCACTGTCTAACGTTTTTGAATCAGCTGGAAGGTGGCCCCTGGATGATCGGTGATTGATCGATTGATGATTGAATTGGCCCCGGCCTACAAACTCTCTCCTGTCAGAAAAGTCTCACTGTCTCGGAGCCGCGACGGCGCAGTCATCGCGCAGTGTTCCAAAACCCGGCGCAGTCAGGAGTGAGGTCATGGAGACTTTATAAACAGCTTTTCCTGGTGGCATGAAGTGAGTCACCCGCGTTTTTTCTACACAGCCCGCGCCTCATCATGAGCACAGAATCAGCCCCTATTCTATCCGCTCCGCCGCCTGCGTACACGCCCTCCACACGCGCCCCATCCTACTCTTACGCGTTGCGAGACAACGAACGCCTCGTGGCCCAGTCCCCGCGACACAAGGCCCGTCCTGCCGGTTCCTTCGTCAAGAAATCGGCCCGCGACACGGTCGCTCTGAGCGAGCAAGATCCTGGTGCAGCCGTTCCGACGTACGGACGCGAGGGCACCGTTGCGGGCTTTGTTGAACTGCAAGACAGGGAGCTGGTGACTGCTGTCGTTCTCCAGGTACGTACTGTCGCATCGAGAGACCCTGGACGGCGACTGACGCGTCTCGTTAGATCCAGGGCAAGGTGACGGTCGGCGATGCTGACGCCACTGCGATCGAACACGAACACGTCTTTCTTGAGCACTCCGTCGATCTCTGGACTACGCAGACGGCGAGCACTGGGTCTTCGCCCCCCAGCCAACTCGCATTCGCATACACTCTGCCCGCTACAATCATGGTCAACGACACCAAGCGACTGCTCCCTCCGTCGTACACCACTCCGCACACCTCCATCGTCTACACGCTCTCGGTGACCGTCGGCCGTGCCCGAGCGCGCAAGTTCTTCCTCTGCACACCCAAGAACAATATCGCGATTCGCTTCGACTACCGGCCGCGCACTCGCGCAGGAGCAGCCATCTGCCCGTCCGCTCCTGGCTCATTCCTGCAGGACGTCAAGGCGATGCCGGACGAATGGCGCCAACACACGCACGACGTCCCAGCGCGGCCCAAGTCCGGCGTGGCTCCGCTCAATCTGCAGGTGTACGTCCCTGCGATGGGCGTCTTCGCGCTAGACGAGCGGATTCCGTTCCATCTGCAGCTTGCGGGGCCGGCCGCGTCACTGCGCGAGTTCTACTGTGCCGACGCGCACAAGGAGCGGTTGCTCGTCGAGGTGACGGTCGTCCGACAGACATTGGTGACGATCAAGTCCATGCCGATGTTCCAATCCCGGTCTGTGATCGGCCGCGCTGATCTGGTGACTCTGCCTCCTGGTGCTGGTGACATCGACCGAGTGTCGGAATGTGCGAGTCTTGACTGGTCTGGCGATCTGCGGGTGAAGTCTGGAGGGGATTCGGGCTCGTTCGATGCTGGCATTGTGAAGGTGCAGGTGGGTACCGTCGTGATCTTGATCCTCTTCCGAACAAGGGCTAATCGACGTGCAGGATTTCCTGGTCGTTGATATCATCCCCGTCGCTGGACCAAAGGCGCATTTCGATCGAATCCGCCACTCGTATCCCATCCGACTTGCCACCGATTCTTATGACACGTAGCGTCTCTCTCTGAGTCCAGTGTCTGAACCTCGTTCAAGAGAACAAAATTTGCAATGTGGATTCGTTCAAGTATCTTTGTTCAATCCCAGCACTGCTTTGCGCGTCAAGAATCCAGCTTGGTTCGTTGTTCTTGATTCTTTGCCTTGGTGCTCTTCCTTACGCCATTGCTTAGGCTGCAATATAGCGCTCGCTCGAGACGCATTCGGACACAGTGCTGCCGCTGGCAGGTGTCCGTTATTTGTGGCCAGGTGCAGCCTTGTGTATACTTATATCTTGGTATGCAACTCGATCTCGAATGTGCTTACGACATCCCATACCACTCCTTACTTCTTATTTTCCTCCTTACTGTCCTCCCTATCAACGAGTATCTCGAATGCAATCCAGATCGTGTCTACGCACTAGGCGCCCAGATTCTCAAAGTCTCGGTGTGATGTTGTCCAGAGAGCAAAGGGGTAATCTTGAGCTTCACCTTTGGGTGAACACGGAGGACATGGATCCATCTCATGACATCACTTGAAGTCCCATCTCCGTGGCCGAGTGATTGGAAATCATTACTGTAATCGTTCGGGCATCCCGACCTCTCAGAAGCCGCCCGGTTTCTTCCGAATTCCATTCCGCCCACCAGTAGATCTGAGTTGGCTTGATGTCTGTTCGTATAACCCTTGCTGTCGGCGAGTGGTTCAGGTTTTTCATTGCAGCGCATTGCAGGCCTTAGTAAACATTGGAAATTCTCAACACACACACTATCACCTAAGCACCCTCTTGTATCTTCTGAACTGTACGTTTCTCGAACCAGTCAGACCTGCTGTAGTCTTGATTTCATTTCATTCCTCATTTTTTCACTGACTCGCTCTAGGCATCTTCACAACGGGCTGATGCCCTGGTATCCTCAAGCAGGTCGTTTTGGACACCGGTTAGATATCAGTCAAAGAGACAATTACCAAAATATCGTCTTCTACCATCATTGCTTGAACTGGACTCGAGTCTAGGGCCGTTGCGTGAGGCATCACACGATTATTGAATCAGATGCCTTCCACCGCTCACGGTCGTGTTCACCCCCCAAAGCCCCACTACTGAGGTGGGCGTTGCAATACTCACCATATACCACTGACCCTAAGAAGTCTATTTTTTATTTTTATTTTCCAGGAAATGTTCAATTGAAGAAATCATACTAGTAGTCTACCTGTCAAGCTGTTGGTTCCAGATGGATGTCGATTTCTGATGAAAATTTTGAAATTTTATCGTACATACTTACAAATAGATAATCTATATTATAATAAGGTCATAAGCCCAGGGATTTGTCAGTGTCCAATCTCACATGCCCTCATTCTTGTTGTCCGCCATCTGTCGCGTCGAAGACAGACAGTTTATAAATCTTCTACAAATGATTTGCTGTAATTATAAAGCGCAGATGTTCGCGCACTTTGTGCACAACACATCTAGGATCTGCCTTGTTTCGTTTACGATCAGCAGTAGATCATGACTCTCAAGTCGAGTTCTCTGATTGTCCACTAGGGATCAGTCCATCCGAGCGACCAGTTCCGAGGCGGGACGCCGCGCCTGAGCTGATGTTACTGACGTCATGTTGCACATGACAGGCCAAGGACTCTCAACCGCACCTTGTGCTCGCCAATTCCAGTCTCCGACCGCATTGGATCTCATATCCCATTCCAACGTGACCTCAAGCCATCGATGATCGATCCTAATATTACACCTTCCGGAAAACTCCGTCTAACAATCTTTCTTCACTGATGTCTAGTCTCGAGTCTAAATTTAACACTCCCGCCAGATACCAGGGCATTCACGGCCATGCACTGTTTTTGGCTGGCAGGATGCACACGGAAGCTGGTCATGAGAGTTGGTTTGGGTGGAGCTTTTGGTGATGGACGGCCGCCGAGCTGGTGCTTCCCCAGCAACTGGGGTCCTGCGGGCGCGGTTTCCGATCGAAAGGATCGGAAGCGACCTCAGACAAGAAAAGAAGCCATGTGGAAGGTTACTTGGTCATCCCCTCACGCAGACGACACAACGATCAACTCACTCGCTTTCATCCTTCTCATGGCGAGTTCTCCCTCATGAGAGCAAGCTGCGGCCTGTCCAACGAGCGCGCTCGCCGCCCCCAAAGTACTGACTTTGCCGAGTAGAACGTTTTGGGATATATATACAAAACGAGCAAGCGTGGGAGAGAAAGCAAACAATGCACACAGCAACCGACGCGCCCTCAGCGCCACGAACTCGATACCGTCTGTGTTCCCGAGGCCCCCGTCGTGAACGACCTGTTAGGGTCCGATTCCCACTGGATCTGCAAAAAATGTCGATCGACGCGAAAGATGGGATTGAAAGACACGTACGCTGCCGTCCGTTTCTTTGCGGATGAACTTGTACTGGAAGGAGGTGTTCGCGGGGAGACTGAGGGTGACACTCCAGACGGGATAGTTTGCAGAGGACAGTGCGATCTGGCAGAATGATGTGATGCGAATCGCGGAAATAGTGGCTGGAACGTACAGATGAGGCCGGAGCCCACGATCCCAGCTGTGGGATACTTCCGACAATGAAGATGTTCTGCGTTCAATCAGCTTCAGCCGTCCTCCTCGAAAGCAACTGATCTGACCTCGCCGAAGACAGTGGTGGCCGTTTCAGCGAACGTCACTGCGACGTTCGAGGGCGCCGAGGATCCCCCTGAGCCAGAGCCCGCTGAGCCGGTGCCCAGCTGCCCCGTGTGCAGCGCTATCGCGCTTCTGGGGGACACAGTCGCCGTGAAGGTTCCACCCGAGACGGTGTAGCCTGCCCCTGTGCAGGCACCTCCCTTGCTCGACCCACTGATCACATCGCAGTACGCGTTGTTCGGGAGGGACGTCGTGAACGTCGCAGTCCACGCCGAGTCCGCGTTGTTGATCGCCACGAATCCGGCCGTTCCTGTGCAGTCCAGTGAGCAGCCGCTCGCTCGAAGCAAAGGACGATCAAGTCACACCTCGACCGAAGGCGATCTGCTGACTCGATGGGGCAATCCAGTTCACCATCGCCGCAGACCCGACTTGGTTTCTCCAGCCCACCATGCCGGTGAAGGCAATGAACCGGTGTTGGCACAGCCAGCCACTGGCGCCACCGGTGGCGGAGCACACCCCGGCGTTTCCGTTGGGCGCGCCGTCGTCGTAAGCCGTGAAGGAGTAGGACGAGAGGATGGTGGGCGAGCCATAAGGGTGGGCGAGCGAGAAGATCGTGGCGGTGATGTACGTGTTCGACGGGGAGTTGATGTTGAGAGACGTGGCGGGGTTGCTCTGGAAACATTGTTGAGAATAGAACAAGAGGGGAGAGAAACATTGGCGCACACGTTCAGTATCGTGATTTGCAACGAAAATGTTGGCCTGAGAGCCCGATACCCAGCCTGAGAGATCGAGCAGAGAACTATTGAGATCGGACAAAAACTTACCACGGTTGTCCAGGTTCTGCAAGCTCGAGATCCCTCCACCAAGGAACGCGCTCATCAATGCGCTAGTGTATCGGAACCTGGATCGACTCGTTGTCTCGCCGTATCGGAGCAATAATCACAGAGACCCACTCTTGAACGTCCCCATTCGTCACATATTCAGTCGGCTGGATCGGCTCGCCAGGGCCCCAAATCACCTCTTGCGTGATGTACGGCTTGGACGAGAGCAGTCCGAGGATGGTGGCGATCTCCGTTGTGGCAATATCTGTGCGTCATCTAATCTCCGCACGCCATCAACCGGACATCACGTACGTTTCGACGCGTCGAGACGCAGGCCGTCGACGCCGAGCGACAGAAGATGGTTTGCGTAACCCACGAGGGTCTGTTGCACGTGTGTCGTGTTGGTCGCGAGACTGCGTCAAAATTAGATTTTGGACAGGTGGATCGCTGTTAAAATACATACTCGGCCAGCCCGTCCAGCTGGCACGTCTGCACTTCGAGCCTGTTCGTGTAGTTCACGATGTCGTCGTTCGGCTCCAGTCCACAGTGATGGAAATCCTAGTCGTGATTAGCTTTTTTTTTCGAAACGAATGTTCAAGAGCCTTTTTCGTACGGAGTTGGAGTAACTGACGGCCGGATATCCGTAGTGTGTGAATGTGGATCCGGCAACACCCGTCCCTGAGCTGGCAGAACTCATGTGGTTGAAGATCGTATCTGGAAGTGTTCCGAGAAAACAGATAGTGATTTTACTGCTTAACGCACCTGCGATGACCTTCACACCAGCCGAGTGGCACGTCGAGACCATACTGCGGTAAAAAGCTCGTCAGATCCAGCGAGTGAAATCCACGCGCGGGTTCTCGCCTCTGGAACTGCTGCTGATTTCCCCGCTTCGAAGTCAAGATGTACGAGACCGGCTGATAGTCCGTCCACCACTGCGGGCCCGTGATATGCTCTTGGGGCGGGCTGACTGTGACCGATCGATCAGTCCATGCTGCCAAGAAAAAACGCGGGGAGAAGAACGCGCCTTGGACGTAGCCGTACCCGGCAGGCCCGAGAAAGTTGGTGCACTCCGCAGCAACGCTGTCCCTGACCACCGACGCCCGTCAATCCACCTGTACCCCCAGGGCGTAAATCGGAGTGCACGCACCACGACCACTGGAACATTTGCACAATCACCGTTTTCGGCCCCGCGGTGGCGCGGGCGGCGAGCCCGGTGCCCTGCGCGGCCTCTCGCGCGGCTTGTGCGGGGGCTACGAGGGCTTGGGCGAGCTGTGCGTGCGTGGCACAGGCGACGAGGAGGAGGAGCGCCGACGACCACATCGCAGCGTCCGAGTAGTCGATCTGGTCCGGTGGGAAGAGGCGTAGCAGCAGACGGAGCCGACGCGGATCCTTTTAGCATCGATGGATGGACGGATGGATGAGTACCCCAGGATTGAAAATCCAGTCAGCGACGTCATCCGTGGCGCCCTGTGATTGTGCACTGCTTACCGTGGACCGGAGAAGTCTGGTCAGTTGTGCACCAGTCGCGTGGACACGTCAGCGACTATGTTTACATGCGCAGCCAGTAGGCACGCACCGCAGCCAGGTGAGGGGTCTCAGGATGAGAGCGTGCGGGATTTAGCCGAGGGGTCGAGCTTGGGGTTTGAGAACGGTATTGGAAATGTCCGGCTCGCGCTGGCGGATTTCGACGTACATGGTGAAATCAAGCGTTGTCATGATGGAATCACTGGTAGCGGTGCACGTGCGTGGCAGGTGCATGGTAGGAGCGTGTGGAGGTGGAACAGAAGCCAACAGCTCAAGCCGGGCGGTTAGCGATGCATGACTTGATTTTTGTAGCGTCACTGCTCGGTACGCACTTGTTCCTCTGACGATATCTTTTCGAATTCGTTCCTTCTAAACATTGATATGAGCACATCAATCATGATGCGATGCAGCATTTATCCGTGGATCAAAAATCTGTTCGGCAGCCGTGCAGCCAAGTCGTGAAACATCATCAACGACAGCTACGTCAGCATGATTATGTCGTCGTCAACGCGGTCCGTTTGCCCTTCACCCACAAGTTATTCATGAATCGCGCATCAGAAGGCTTACTGACAGTCACCCGATTACGCTGCCAAATTCATGCAGAGAATCATGTCATTGGGAGTACGCAGAGGAGTTCCTTCCTGAGCCAAGTCTGTAAGATGCAGTGTGTAATGAACACCTTGAGATAATTACTGCAATGTGAACGCTTCAAAGGGTCAGTAGAGGTATCAAAAAGCCACTGCCAGTCCAATCCTAGCTTTTAGGTGTCAAAACAGAGCTTGTTATGAAAAGCATTCAGAATGAATGTCTGCAGGAACATGCTAGGGATCTGCCAAGAATGACTTCTGAGGCACCTGAAGGCACGGAATTATTGACTGTGTCCTGTATGTAGGGATCGGCCGCAATACTTACGACAACTCAGCTGCGGCTTCGTTTCACGTGTACTTGAGGTCATTGATGTGTCACGTGATCGCGTTTTGAGAGACACCCAGTCGTCTTCAAGCAGATAGTCTGTATTTCAAGGCTTGAAAAGATATTTTTTCTATTAGAGTACTTACTGCGATTATGCGCTCGAAGTGTAATAAAAAAATGAAGGAGACTGTGTCATCTGAGCAACAGCTGTCGGATTGCTCAATACTGAGTGCTATTCATCACTTGGACACTCCGATTATATTGCACTTGGGCTTGACATCAATCTTTCGTACAGACAATCTCTTTCACTGTGGACTTCAGTGTTCTAGACCAGTGCAGGGCATTGGACGTCAGGGAGAAGTCTTGATGATGCAGAGTGGTGGAGAATCCGGTGATGCGGTATCTAAAATAGTAAACAATCATGATGAAGTGATTGGTCTGATTCCGGCCGACACTCCGGCATTTCCCGAGCAGGACCCATCGCCTGATGGGTGAGTCTAGGCTAGGTTCGGAGCAAGCCTGCTCCGGGCCGGCGAGCCGGCCTTGTCGGAGACAGGCTTGGGACAGACTGTCAAAATAAGAGGACCCATGAAACTTGCATTTGCTCTTCATTCAACTCTGTTACCTCAGTAATTTTTCAAATATGTGTCTTAGGAGGATGTTCGGCCATCATTTTGTCAGGTCAGAAATGAGCATAAGATGCTGGATGCTCGCTGGAATTGTGCTTGATCGCAGCCTTGGCTAAGTTGTTGGTCCCACAATTTCTCATCGGAAAACCATTAATCTGTGTTTTTAGAGACTCGATCCCTTACAAATGCACATTGAAGGAAATTCATGCAGTTAAATTGGGTAAGGAGCGGGATTCACATGCAGAAATACAACACTCACTGACGGTCACCAATGTCACATGTGTGACCAGACGCGTTAGTGATCAATAAGACGGTTACATTCCCTGTGTTCGCATTCCAGATGAAGTGTGGAGTTGGCAGATGGAGTCCCAGACATGTTCCCTTGCTTCTAGAACCCAACATCACCAGTTTTGGTCAAGAAATGACCCCGTTCAGGAACTTCCTTCCTAAGGTACAAAGCACAACTTACTGCTCATTTATTGACACTTGAAAAGATTTAGAGCAGACCAGAGTGTACAGGGTGGTGCAGGTACTTGTATACTTTGACTTCGGTCTGATGTGTTGGGCAATCGGAGCGTGTTTGTGTCCGCTAGGTCGATTATCCAGGTCCCTGTTTTTCGACAGTTTGGCTCAAGCCTGTCCAATTGTTGTGGCCCCAACATGATCATCATCACGATGATCAGTACAAATAATGATGGTCAGGCTTGATCCGAACCTAAGTCTAGGCAAACCTGAGGCTCAATCGAAGCTGATGAGCTTCGGCCAAGCGTCCAGCGACACCTGCGTGTTCGTGATCCCACACATTCTGTTGATGACTATAGATTCAGGTGATGGATGTCTGTGACTATAACCTCTTTCTGCACTGGGATGCGGCGACAGGCAAAAACTCACCTATTAGGTAGACTTTTCTATGGGTAGTTTGTGTTGCGGTCTCGGATATCAAGCTGGCCTGTGCATGTTTTTACCGAGCATCGTCGCGGTCTCAGAGTCTCTTCATGCATTGAGGATATCGCAACACGCAAATCGCAGTCGCATCGTATTATCCACCCCTCACGAAAACTTGATCGTGTGAAGACACATGTGCACCATCAGTGCTGGCGCAATGCAAAGTGCACCAGAGTACCCACGCCCGGCGCCATCACCGGACTGCGTTGTTCCCAAAACGGAAATCTCATCCCGAAAAGGAAGGAGGCGAGTTCATCGCGACATCGCGTGTCAACAGGACAAAGAAACGTCCGAATGCGGCCGTTTCCTTGTCTGGGGGGGTTTATCAACTGGAATGGAGCGTCCCAGTCGTTATTGTTCTCCCCGAATTGGAATCCAGTCGAGTCACTCATCCCTCAGCCTCCGAGCCGTTCTCCTGCGATACCATCGATCCATCAGTCACTACACATCATCAGAGATGCACTGCAAATTCCTCGCCGCTCTTGTCCTGTCGATCGGTACGCGTGACTGACTTGCTTCGCCCTCAGCAGCTCGATGCTCATGCTTCGTTTTACAGTTGCCCTGACTGTCTCTGCGGCACCGATATCTGCGGACTCTGTTGACCTGAGTGCTGAGGTAAGTCCACTCCTTCCCGGCTTCGAGATCATTTCCTGATGGACATCACAGGCTCGCGGGTTTGCACCAATCCAGCCCAAGTCGACGGTGGTCGAGGAGGAGCGCGGGTGCCGATTGATGCATTGCATATAATTCCCCCGTTTCATGGTTTGTCTAAATTTTCGGACTATCTGACGCTCTTACTGATATGATTTTCCCACAGATTCACCCAAAACCCTGGCACCCACCGTCGTCTTTTGGCACTCGAGCTTGCGCTCGTGCATTGTAGCTCTATTTCGGTCTTCCTTCCCTCTTCGTTCCCTATACGGTCTGCCCGGAATGAGGATTTATCACTTGGTGTTGGATCTGTATTTCTAGTCCATGTTTGCGGGTTGTATAGAGTTGTTGTTTTGTTTGGCGTTGCGTCGGGATCGGCTTCACTTTGTATTGAGGTCGGCAACTTGATCGATGCGGGACATCGCTTTGCCGAGTACCCTGTAGGTTACATGCCGTCCCGAGACGGCTAGGAGAGCGTCTTCCCTCTTCCACTCCGATATAAGAAGTCATCGCTGTACGCGAATGCTGTCATCCTCCTGACAGCCCGGTCGCACACACCGAAATACCTGAAGGCCTGCCAAGCTATCAAACGTCCTCCACACATCTCATGTCAGACGCGCTCGTCCAGTCCCCTCCGCTTGACATTCCACCTAACGTCACCGCACACTCGTCCATCGCAACGCACAACGACCTGTCATTCAATCTGAACATCGACCGCGCGTGCCACTGGATCGCTTCATCTCTGCAGCCTGCGAGCGCGCAATCGACTGCTGAGAGGTGGGCAGAGGGGAAGCGGCAATACAAGGATGAGGGCCAATCGGAGAGCTGTAAAGCAGAGCAGAACGCACAGGAGGGTCATGTGCGACAGAAGAGTTGATGCAATTGATAGTGTTATCTTATCGACTCGGATTTGGTACTTGTAAGCCAATCATCCATGGTTGAACCTTCCCTCATATCGGAGCTCAGGCCGATCATCTTCAATTCTGGGGATCGGGTGTCTTCTATAGTTGGAATGTATCCACTAGTAGAGCTAACCCACCCTTCATTATGAGGGCACCTCATTCCATGCTTCACAAAGTGTGCCCGACTTGTCGTCCTGGGAGCTTGGGATTATATATATTCCCGCTCTCATCACTCCATCCATTCCAAATACCTAGTAAGTATAGTGAGCGATGGGCACCTCATTGGAAATACGTTTTATAGTCAGACCCTAAGAAGAAACAGTACTGAGTCTAGAGGAAGCGATGACTCTCATCCACCCCAAAGCTCGCTCGGACATCCCGCCCTTGCTCTTCAGCCATCCTCTGCACCTCAGGATCAGCGCGTTCGGAGTTGGCCGTGCTCTCGGTAGCATCCGGCAACGCAGAGTACTTGAAGCCCGAGTTATCGCCATGAGGACGGGGGGAGGGGTGACACGCGGGGCACTCCGACTTCTCGTCCACCTTCACGAGTCTGAGCTCCGGGACAACAGCGTGGTATGTGTCGTGGGAATGCCAGTGGTGAACGTGATCGACGCGAGGAGTGAGGTCCGGAGCTGGCACATCGACCGTGAAATCAGCGGGGACGAGCGCAGCGGCGGCGGTCGTGTGCAGCGGCTTGACGATGTACCCGATGATCTGAGGAGGACTGATCAGTACCAACACACAACGGCAAACTATCAAGCGCACCTGAGGCCCGGGAATCTTGACGAGGAATCCATCTCCGTGCGGCTGGAAGCTGTCCGTGTACTTGGAATACGCGAAGGATAGCAAAGCGGACGATTTGGCTGCGTTGTTCATGTCGTGCGCCATGTCCGTGTGTTTCACGCGCACGACGATGTCCTTTGCAACGATAAAAGAGGCCGCATATCCGGCTTGGGGAGGGAGGACAGTCGACTTTTCCATCTGGGAATTCTAAGAAACTGGCAGGGACGACTCAACACCGTTAATCACCTTGTAGAAGGACTGGTCGTCTTTGAAGATCTGAGGCTTAAACCAGCCGCTGCGACTGATATCGACCTTACAAGCCCGGAAGGCCACGTCAATCCGATCCTCGTCGATCCCCTCAGACGGGATGCTCCAGAGGGTGTCCGATCGCTGGAGAGAAGTCAGGATCGGATCCCCCGCCGTTACAAGTGTTGTGTACTCACCACGTTCTCGAGTACAATCTCCTCCCACCAACCCTTGGGTGCATCGAGCTTCACAGCAGGAAGCAGGCTTTGAATCGATGCACTGCCGAGAGGTGTCACCGGACGGACATCAGCGCCGCCAACAGATTCGGTGGGGTTCGAGAGATCCTGCTGGGTGAACGACGTGGGGAGCGAAGCGAACCAGTCGACGGGGGCGAGCTGGACGGGGTAGACCTTCTCACCGGTCGGAAGGGAAACCGACGAGCTTTCGCGGAGGATGTCCTTTGCGTCCTTGCATATCGCACTTAGGTATATTCGCAGAATCAAGAAGATGGACTCACTTGCAAAGCATGAGCTGCAGCATTGATTGGAATGTCCAAGAACGCGATGTATTCCTTGACGCGGTGAATGTCTCCACCGACGACCGCGTCCCGGTACTTCGTAGCGATCTCCTTTTCCCGCGCAACACTCAGCTGTGCGATCGAGCGGGCCCGTTCCTTGATGTCGGTGCGGTCGGTCTGTGAGTCTATCCTTCAGCGACCGAGACAATGCAAGCCGCAGTGCACAAACCGAAGCAAGCTTCTTGATCAGCAATGCCTTCTCGCTCTCCCAAGCCTGCTTAGTAGCAGAGTACTGGTCCATCAGATACTCGCTGAGCTCGAGCCGAGACATCTTGGTCTCCGATCGCACGGCGTCTGCGTTGGTCTTTTCGGCGGACAGCTGCCACCGGGAGACGGGGACTTCGGTCTGGAGCCACTGGCGGATCTTGTCCTGCTGCTCCTGAAGCGGACTGTGAACGGGCTTGGGGACGAGGCTGTAGAGCATCTGCGACGGACGAATGAGCCTGTGCAAAAGAGATGAGGAGGCCAGACCGTACCTGTTCGTAGACAGAGCTGAGACGCTTCTCCTCGTCTTCGGATTCCCCTCCAAACAGTAGATCGACAATGCTAGCCTCAGCCTCGGCGACCTCGTCTGGCTTCATCCACTGCGCATCGATTCCAGCGGCAGCGAGAGAGGTGTCCCACACGAAAGCAGCGGGGTCGATGACCTTGCCCTTCGTCTGAAGCCTCCAAGTCTGGCCCTCCTCAGCGGGGAAGACCGCTTCAAGCGCATTGGTGAGGGCAGGAAGGTATTCAGTGCATGGTGTCTCGACTACAACCGGTTCGGGAAGGACTTCGGCAACAACCGGCACGACAGGCCGAGGGACGTTCTTGATGAAGATTTTCTTGGTCCGTACCACTGGCGCGACGACGGCGACTTCAGCTACTGGGACGATGACCGGCTCGAACACGGGTGAAACTGGCTCTGAGATGACGGGTGGGATCTCAGGCACTGGAACCACGATGGGAACCTCGACTTGAGGCACGATGACGGGAATGGGTTCTGGTTCGGGTTGAGGTGCAACGACGACGATTGGAGCGGGCTCCGGGACGACGATGGGCTGTACCGCGATGGGCTCAGGAATGGGCACGACCACCGGCTCCTCCGCGACAATTGCTGGAATGACCACAGGGGGCTGAGGCGCGATCACGACCGGCTCCGGCACTGGGACAACCGCTTGCTTGGCGTAGAACGCCTCCGTCAACGACCGACCTGGTGGGCTGGCTGAGAGAGGCACGACAGGAACGACGTTTGCCGGCCCATTTTGGAGATAAAAGTCGTGGATAGGCGGAACGACCGGCGCTGGGGCGACGATCTCTACGGGTCGCACCACCTCCACCTCCGTCGGAGCCAAGTCAACCTCTTTGCGGACGAACTCCATCGTCCCTGCATCCTCCTCCTCATCGCTGTCGAATCCATCCGCGCTGATGTGCGTCTCGAGCCCCGTGCGCTTCTGCACGAGGAACGACAGGAACAGCGCCCGGATCTTCAGCACGCCCCCGCGCGCCGACAGGATCCCGTTGACCGTCTCGGGATCCGCGCCGAACACCTGCAGCGCGCGTTCGAGCGTCCAGTTCGGCGCCAGCGCGTGGGGCTTCGGGCGCGGGTACGCGAGAACCATGTACGCCTTGTCGGACTCCGACAGACTCACGTTCGCGGGGATCTGCACGCGCTGCTCGTTGAGCGCAGGGGGCAGGAAGTACGCCATGATCGAGCTCGGGTCGACCGCGGGGAAGTTGGACACGCTCGTGGTGCTGTAGTGGTCGACGACCTGCTTCTTGGTCGTGTCGGCGCTCCATCCGAGGCTGCTGGCGAAGTGGGCGTGCACTGCGTTGGCGTCGAGAGTGACTGCGCCGCCGTGTGCTGGGCTTTGATGTCTGTCGGGTCAATCGCGATCAGCACCCAATGTCACCGCCCAGTTGTGGTCACTCACTCGTGCATCAAGCCGAGGACGTGCCCGAACTCGTGCAGGATCAGGCCGCGCTCTTCCTGAGTCGCCTGCGCCGAATCGGAAACCCATCCGAGGTTGAGCGTGGGCTGGTTCTTGGGAACCTCGAGGGCTTCCAAGCCGACTGTGCGGATACGTTAGCGGATGCCATATCGTGAGCGAGTGGAGGAATGCACACACCATAGCTCCAGGAACCTTGCTGGCCGTTGAATGAGATGCGCAGGATACCGGCGAGCGCGCGCTGGAAGGTGATATTCGCGTACGGGAACCACTCGAGGATGGCCGCGTCGACTTTGGCTTGTTGCGCGGGCGTGCCGTTGAGATAGGAGTAGGTGATGGTCTGGGAAGTCATCAGTGAGCCGCACATTCTCCGCTGATTGAGGACAGGTACTTACGGCTCCGCTGTCCCAGAGCTGGTCAAGCTTGCCGACAACGGCTTCGGCACCGGTGATGCCGGGCACACCGCCCACGGCACCGACAATCGCCTCGTTGCTGACGGTGACGGAGGGAGCCTTCTGGGCATCCGTGACCGCCATCGCACAGACTTTGGGTGTGCTATCAGGAATAAAGGGTGAAGGAGTGTTGGTTTGGAGGTTAGCTTGGAACATCTTTGTGTGTTTGGAGAGCCTGACACCGATTGGAAAGTATGGAAGGAGTGTTGCGGTAGAGCTGAGTCTTTGGAATGAGGTTGAGGAGGACACTTCCTTCTTATTCTTATATCGTCTCCGATGGCGGGCGACTCGCTAAGCATATCCTCCGCATCCGCATCCACGTCCGCTCCAAGCGATCCGTTTGTCGGGCTGCTCTAGGCGAGTCTCAATCGACGCTGGGGGCAGGAACGAGCAAGCAGTCGTCCGCGCCACCCGAATAATACCAGCTGTCCGCCAACGCACTCAATATCAATACACTCTCCCATCGAGCGTCGCTTATGTAACAGACATTCGGTCCCCTGAGACACCGAGTTGAACCTCGCGCTGTGCCTGGCCGATGGGAATCAGCGCGCAATGTCGCACGATTCCTGTGCTGGTGAAGGGGTTATTCGGATGGCGTATTCGGTGAAATCTTTTGCCGTGGGTCTGCTGTCAGCTCGTGACGGGAGTGAGTAGAAATTTCCTCAGGACATGCAAGGTACATTGTCTGATATTACAAAACGGTTCGAGAATCGAGACCCATCAGAGCGCATTACTTGCTGTGATCGATGGACCGGCATTCATTTATTTCAAGTCTACACCTGCAACGAAGATTTTGCATTCTCGTGTGTAATTACAACACACCTATGTACACATTCCGGAGGATGACAAGCCTAGGGCTCTGGCGGACGAGAAGAAGCGAACGGATTCCCATGTAAACCACGTGCAGTGCTGAGGTTGAATTGATGATCGGATCAGGACTCGTCCTGATAACCAGATCAAGACGTTGACAAGAAATGCAGCTTCATTCTTGCACCGCCGCCCATCCCATCACTCGATTTGACAGTCCCCTCGCACTTTCCAGCAATCTTGACCGAGCGAATATATACCTCTGCTCCAGCTACAGGCGCGCCTGACATTCACTCGCCACAAAAAGCTCACATCGATGCCCGTAGACTCTTCTAATCACCAGGCAGTGATCCCAGATTACACAAGACGAAAGCGTCGTTCCTTGAAGCTCGAGCCCGAAACGCCATCAGAGACATGGAAGTGTTTCAGCGATTGGCGCATCGTCGCGGCTCTCAAGTGCCGTAACACCTGTCTGTGCGCGTACAAGATTTGCGACTTTGGATCTGGCCTGGTTTTTTTCCCCCGTAAGTCAGCTAGGGAGACTGTTTCGAAGATGCCGTAGAGCTCAACTCAAGTGCGACGGTATGGTGTGTGTCGAAGTGCGTTCGTCATTTCCTGCTAGTAAGCAAGTGTGCTGGATCTCTATCCGGATTTGATATTAACATTCGACTCTCGAGAACTCGCGGTGGGACTTGGAGGGCAAAGCACTCTGAGATAATAAGAGACCTGGAATAGGTCCTGGAACACTGCTTCTCAAGCATACCAACAGTTGATTCCGAGCGCATCAGAGGTCTACATGGGTGATAGGTGTTGCCAAGAAAACATTTCCCATTCAATTAGAGGCGGGGAGTTGTCCCCGCTCGAGAAGCGGAGACTCTTTCCCGCTGCTCCCATGCTACAAACCGAGGCTATGCTCTCACACTCTGGGAGACTGGCGGGTATAAAACACGGGGGTGCTGCACGGCTTTCCTCAACCGATTCTAGAGATGCTTTTCCAGATCGTATTCGGTGCTCTTTTCCTCCTCCGCGGAACGCATGGGGTCTTTATCGAGGGTGGTGCGTTGTCCGTGGATAGTCCAGCACTGCGCCATGCTAACTCGAGCACGCAGCCGGCAATATCAATGGGGCTCCCGGCTGCATCGCCGCCACCTCCAACTCCGATGGTGCGGCTCTTGTCCTCGAGACCTGTGACACCACCAACAACCCGGCCAACGAGAATTGGGAGCTCGGGTTCTTCACCAAGTTCGATGCCGGTCCCCAGCCGATCAAGGTGTTCGGCGACAAGGTCTGTACCTGTGCCGCGTTCGGCTATCACCTCGGCCGTCAGGCAGCTTCTGATCTGCTCGTCAGTGCATTGACGTCACGGACGGCGTTGTGGCGAACGGCACCAAGTTGCAGATCTGGACGTGCGTGGACGGGAGCGCGAACCAGCAGTGGATCTCCGTGAAAGACAGCACTTTGCGCCTTAACGGCACGAACATGTGCATCGACTGGACCGGCGGGAGCACCACCCCCGGCACCCCGCTGCAGCTCTGGACGTGCGCGTTCCGGAACACGAACCAGATCTGGGGCGGCCAGGCCGAGTCGCGCGCATCGGGGAGCATCCTCGCCACCGTCAGTGAGTGCCCGGCTCCAGCGTGCGGAGAAAAGACCACCACCGAGCTGACGTGCTTTGTCCATGCAGTCTCGCACTCGCCGACGGACAACGTCGCGCACTGCATCGCGGCCGAGTCCAACGCCGACGGCGCGGCGGTCGTCATCGCGGGCTGCGTCCAGGTCAGTATCACCGACCAGCTCCCGAACGGGAACAACACGTGGACCGCGCCGACGGCGGGGTTCACCGGCCCCATCACGACGTACGATAACAAGTGCCTCGACGTGACTGACGGCTCAGCCGCCAACGGCACGAAGCTGCAGATCTGGACGTGTGTTCCCGGGAGCAAAAACCAGATGTTCACGAATAATGGGAACCAGCTCGTGTGGGCTGGAACGAACCAGTGCGTGGATCTGACAGACGGAAACCTCGAGGGTTTCAACCAGGTGCGCGAAAAGACCTGTTTTCGATGAATGAGCTGAGCTGACTTGGTGCAGCTCCAAATGTGGGGCTGCAATCCCATCTCTGGAGATAACAACAACCAAGTCTGGATAGTCACTGGGACCGACTTGTGATGCGCTAGAGCTTGCACGCACATTAATCACGGACGATGTACCTAAAACTTACCTGAATCTCCACTAAATCGGCATGAAATCCTCAGCATTCACAATCTTTTCAAAGTTCGCGGAGCCCATTGATATTTTGTCAAAACTAGATGAAGACTTGTACACGACTTCATGGAAACGTGACTCAAAAAGCATTGACTGTCCCCGTCGACGGAGAAACGGCGATTGTGCCCCAGGGAGCAGCCCCGTTCACCCCTTCTGTGGTGACGGCCGTCCAGGACGAGCTGTTGTAACCGGGAGTCTGGAACCCGGGCGGAAGTGACGCACTTCCCGGCCACAGCCAGGATCCATCGCTGGCAAGGTACGCTTCACCGGTGCAATTGCACGACGTCTGCACGAGGTTGATCTCCGCCGCGAAAATGAGGCCCGCGGGGTTCGGGACGGTGAGGATGTTGGTCGCCACCACGGCGAAGACGACCTGCTGCGCGGCGCTGAGGTTGATGCTCCAGGTCTGCGCCGTGCTGAAGCTCGTCCCGGAGCCGACCGCGAACCCGTTGGCGTAGAGCGTGTACTGGTCGTCCGCGGCGATGATCACCGTCGCGGACGCAGTCACTTGCCCGGCAGGGGCCGTGTAGGTGCGGCGGAACGCGCGGGTCCCGGGTGGGGCGTTGCCTCCGGACACCTCCGTCGTCCAGATCCAGGCCGCGCCGTCGAGCGTCAGCGCGGGGGGGCACGGAGGGGACCTGGATCGCGCCCCAGTTGGAGGTGATTTAGCCTGCCTCGACGAGAACGGGCTGCCACAAGCTGTTGTCGAATGAAAGCGACGGGTAGTTGCTCGGGAATGTGATGGCGCCGCGCCAGGTCGCGTCTGACACGATCTGCGACGTCGTTCCATCCGAGTAGCTGATTTGAATGGCGACGAGCAGCCCGGCCGGATTGGGTGCGGTCGGGTTGGATAGCAACCCTCCGTTCGTAGCGTTGACTGCGAAGACATTCAACCAGTCGTTGAGCGGGACATAGAATCGCCCGGGCTTGGTCCAGTCGGAGCCCGTTCCGACGAGGTTGTTGTTCACATATAAGCTGAAGAAGTTGTCGGCAGTGATGATAATGTCCGCCTCCACAGGCGTCTTTCCGGCGGGTGCAACAAATTTGTTGCGGAACGCGCGGGTGCTCACAGGTGCCTGGCCGCCGGAAACATCGGTCGTCCAGATCCACTGCGAGGCGGAAAAGTCAAGAGCCTGCACCCCAATCAAGGTGGTTAGTGCGAGGAGAATTGTAACGGAAGCGTCTAGACTGAGACGAGTTCCGCTACAAGGAGGAGCGGGGAGACGACGCTGAGAGGGATAAAGACTAGATTGACCCAGAAAAAAGGGGAAACAAGGAGCTATCTACTTATATAGGGTGATCGGCGGTCAAAGCCAGCCGATCGAGGACTCAATCTGGAAATAAATCAAATGATATTTGTAACGGGACGTTCCCGCTACATACGCCCTCCAGCTCAACACTGGTGGTGAGCTCATACGCTTAGAAACATTATTTCGAGTCCACATTCAATCACAAGTCCGGCATGGCGTCGAATCCATTCACGGAAGTAAATGTCAATTAAATTAGTAAAGCGTCAATCAAAAATCAAAAATCAATCAATGTCAATCACACATCATTCTTGTATCCGCCCGCCCTCCTCGACGACGGACGGACTTCATTTATCATCATCAAAGGATTCCTTCACGATCTCAGTGGTCTCAGCAAGCGAAATTTCGATCGCGTGTGAAGCAATACCCATACCCGGTGGTTTCCCGGGCTTCTCCGATTTCATTGCGCTCACATCAGGGCAGTTTCGAAACAAGTGCCCGCGTTCTCCACACTCGAAGCAACGTCCCTCGCTCAGGTACGTAGCTCGAGTCTTGGCAGGCAACTTTTTGCCGTCACGCGTCACGTAGTCCCACACCTTCTCGTTCTGGTCCTTCTTCGGGGTTTCGACCGCAGCACTTGACACCGAGAAAGCTCGCCCTCCGTTTTGGCGCTTCTCATTTGAATCTGGAGCCAATACATTTCTCTTCCACTTGGACTGGGGTTTCGGTGCCTCAGTCCCATCACTGTCGGCATCCTCAAGGTCAAGATTTACAATTACTTCGGCAGCTTCAGCACCGCGAGTAACATCACTCCAGGTCGACGTTTCGGGATCCAGATTCGCACGGAACATTTCCTTGCGAATCGACGTCTTCAAGCTGCGACAAAACATCACGACTTTCTCTTGGTTCACTTCCAGACCGATGGTATTGAAGATTTGCTCCCACTCGGCCTTATGGACTAATACAGATTTGTCATCTTGTTTACACGCGTTCAGCTTCGAGCGCTGTTTCTCACGAAAGTTCACAGGGAAACAGAAATTGAACAGACCCCAGAAGAATTCTGACAACGTCCAGGTATGTTCATCATTCTCCACGCGACTGTTATAGAACTCTCGTGCACGGCCAGACATGAAATACGACAAGTAGAACGCTCGTTCATCAGCGGGGACGCGGCCGAGCTTTAGGTAAGCTGTTCCCTCTTTCACAAATCGGTGGAACGCTACCGCATTAGGCGATCCATCATATTCCTTCGGCGGAATTGGCTTCAAGATCATCTTTGGTTCATTCATTGAGACGTTCACAGTCTCTGTTTGGTTGGAACGATGTGGCATTGGGGCCGGGCTCCGACTTCCGACATCCGAGGGATTGCTGGACGGCGGCTCGGGTGGAGGGGGTCCGCCAAAGCTATCAACATCACGCAAGGCACGCTCGATGAAGCTTCCCGCCCCGGTGCGAGCCGCAGGAGTCCTCTCACGTGCGTCTGTCTGGGCCCGGGTCGGCGGAACATCAATGCTGATATGACGTTCGATGCTGTTCTTCACAGCAGTCTGGGCCTGGGACAAGCTTTCAGCTCGCTTGTCCTTGGCATTCAGCGTCTTAACGGGCGTCGAGGCCCGAGATTCCGTCACAGCTCTATGCAGGCTGTCAATTTGGCGCTGCAAGTCAACAAAACGTTCCTCAATGCTCTGGTCATTGCACCCAGAGGCGTTTCCATTATGCATATTCAAATTCTGCTCCGACAAGATGGTGGTCAGAGATCTGCGGCTGTCATGCCGAACCGAGACAGACGGCGGTAAGTAACTGTCCTCCTGCTTCATGTGTTTTCTGATCTCATCGAAGTTCGCAAACGCAGCGCGCTGAGCATCAAGATCATGCTCAGACAACTGGTCCGACAGACCTCCCCAGTTACGAGGATCAGGACCCTTGCCCTTTGAACGATGGGATGGGCCAACATCGCAGGGGACGGCCGGGCTGACTCGGGCTGGGGACAGGTAGATCGACTCTAACACCTGAAGGGAGGACGAGAACGGAACGGGGGACGTCTCACTGTTTACTATCTGTTCATTAAAGTTGGCCATTCTATCATCTAAACGACTGAAATCAATATCCTCGTACGGATCCTGTCCACTGCCCTGTGAACTAAGATCACGATCTGCGGCCGCAGCTAAAGCTTCCTGCGCAATAGCCTGGTGGCGCCGCGCAAAGCTCACCAATTCCGTGACACTCATGCCTTGCATGGCGCGCGACATGGTTGTGGAAGTCTGTGAAGCAACGGTTTCTTGGTCGCTGACAGATTGATCCTGACTAACCAATGAACAAATCACCGGAACGGTAGATCCACTGCGCTGATGAGCTTCGAACTGGCTCTCAGCAGCAATATCCAAATCGATCAAGGAGTTCTCTCGTCCATAGGACGGCTTCTCCGGCAGAGCCGGGCTGTCTCGTGCCGACTGGGATAAACCCACTCGCGTCGGCACGGCTGGGGATGCAAGCATCCCAGGGAGATGCGAGATTTCGGGGGCCGAGGCTGGAAGGGAAGGATGCCCCTCTAGCTCGGATTGTGGCGTGCCGCTCTGTCTTGAGCGGACACTCAGGGGTCTGGCGGCGTCCGATGCTGTCGGTCGTCCAGTCATGGAGACAGTGTCGGAGGGAGCAAGCACGGTGGGCACATCGGGTTTGAGGTCTGGGTGCCCGCGTCGGGACTTCGGGTGGTGCATGCCGCCAGACATCGTTTGGGTTCAGGGGTAGTCAGTCGTCAAGCGCCAGTTCGAGGGAGGGAGGGTTCGGCGCAGCGACGAATCTAGCAGGCGGAGCTCTCAAAAATATGTAACGGAAGCGTCTAGACTGAGACGAGTTCCGCTACAAGGAGGAGCGGGGAGACGACGCTGAGAGGGATAAAGACTAGATTGACCCAGAAAAAAGGGGAAACAAGGAGCTATCTACTTATATAGGGTGATCGGCGGTCAAAGCCAGCCGATCGAGGACTCAATCTGGAAATAAATCAAATGATATTTGTAACGGGACGTTCCCGCTACAAGAATCGCTGTGTTGCAGTCAGAAATCGTACGAATCGCCGCGTGGAAACGACCGGGGGACTTACTCTGGAGAACGAGCATTGTCGGAGCGGACTGGTACTCCAAGAACTCGCAATCCAAAGCTTAAATATCGCTGCCGGTTTCTAAAGGAGAAAGCGAGACGAGTTCAGATGGCTCGCTGGACATGATGTATGGCGCCTAAGATAATCGATTTGGGCGTTCGTGTGTCAATCAGGAAGGTGCAGTTGCCCGTGAGATGCCCGCTGTCGACGTCGGGTGCGGTGGCGAAACGCTTGAATAAAGGGAAGGCAGCCCTTGCGTCCAGACTGACGTCAAAATAACGGGCAAGGCAGTGGAATATCGTGACCCCGATGCGTGCCACGTTAGACAGCAATTGCCGACAGGCCTGGAGTGAGCGTTCTACGCTCTTACCGGTCTTCTTTCAGAGAATGAAAGTCCCGGTTGGCAGATGACTGTGCAAGGGGGCACAGGTGATCGATGTGTTTGTCGACAGTTGAGCGGAAAGCTGGAAATCATTATAGAATCAAATACTCATGATCACCATTGCCGTCCGTTTCTCCTTTGGCTTCGATATACTCGAAGACACCCGCTCAATTCAAGCGTCAGAGTCCGGCCGTATGAGACGAGCTGAATCGATGAACATGACCCGGCCAAGCACCCGCTCATTAACGCAGCAGCATCACAAGCTTCAACTTGCAGTCCCCTATAAATAGATTCCAGTCATGTCGAACCTCGAGCCATAGCCCTAGGATTTAGTCAAATCCGTTTGGCTGTAGCCATAGAAATTGCATTCAAATCTATGGCTGTAGCCATAGGGTGTGGCAGTGCTGATGTGAACGATGATCAGTATGATCGACAACCTGTGATTGTGATTGACATCCAACAGCTAGGCAGTGGTTTCAGTGAGGATTGAACGGCTGACCTTCTAAAAATGTAAGTCAAACCAATGCATCATCATACTGAGCTAAAGCGCTGTTAAACATGTGGCAATTTCCCTCAACTTAGGGTAAACCGCAAGCGGCTTACCCTAAGTGGAGGGAAAGCTTTATCCTAGTACTGGTTATCCCAACCCCTTATCACCCAATAAACATATTTCTTGCCCCAACCAACCCTAATAGAGCCTCTAACAGGATTTTTTTTTTGCTCCCTTGCCCCAACCCTAACTGACAATAAATATATTTCTTACCCTAACCAACCCTTACAGAGCCTGTAATAGGCTTTCTTTTTGCTACCTTGCCCCAGCCATAACCGAGAAAAAATGACGTCTCTGGGGACTAACCTTTAACCCAAACCCAAACCCTAGCCTGAACCACTAACCTCCGCGCCCAGAGGGGCGCGGCTTGTTCAAGACAGTAAGGCCTATCAACACTTTATGTTGGGGGATCATGGTGGTGCTGATGGCAATGATGATCTTGCACATGCCATGGTGATGCCGAGAAAAGCAACAGGACCAAAGGCCTGCCACGCTATGGCTGTAGCCATAGCAGTATTAGTCAAAGCTATGACTGTATCCATGCTATGGCTACAGCCATAGATTTGAATGCAATTTTTATGGCTACAGCCATAGATTTGACTAAATCCTAGCACTATGGGTGGAACCTCGGTTGCTGAAATTGTGCAGACAGTCTACGCGACAGGCCTTGCGATGAGCGCTCCGGACTACCACATCTTCGCCATCGCAATGCTTCATGGACGCGGCCGCCGGGATGTTGACCTGACATATTCCCCTGCCTAGGAGAAGTTTGTCGGACGGAGGTCTCCCCCCGGTCCGCCGGTGGTGGCAGATCTCGTTTGGTGCTCATTCGACGGCTCAGAGAATGCTTCTGTCGCAAATGAACACGAAGCGAGATTTCTCACTGCGCCGCTCGGCTTGATTCTACTCGCGTTGCTAGTTTCATGTACAAGGCAATGGTCACTGCAGCGCCCGTCAGTGGCAAGCAAGAGAAAACCGGGGGGAATGCTCTCGGGAAGACGGAGCCGTGTCAGGATGTTTTCCTGAATTTCTGGAGCGCTATATCGCTGTGTTTGCTCCTCGTAGTTCTTTTGCGTATCCGACACAGCAAAGTAAGGAATCAGGAAGAGTAAGCAGCGTGGGTATAACACGTGCCGGTCATACTCGGCAAGTGCCGAAAATCAGCCGTCGCCAGTCACGTGTCATGCACGTGCAGAACATGGGCACTACCTCGCTTGCTCAGAACTGGCTTCCCCCTCCGAAATGTTGCGTCTGGCCTTTGATCACCATCACCACCACTCCAATCTATAACAATATACACTCTCGATCACACATGGGTCTAATTCTGCGGCTGAATGAAAGCGGCAAACGCGGCACCCACCATCGGACTTGCGTATAGATTGGGGGAACCGAACGCATAGGGGTTTGGATCCGGAATCTCTTGAACGCCTGACGCACGCGTCCGGCTGTCTTTCCCGCCGGATTCATCCAGATTCCGCAGCTTCTGCTCGAGGTACATGAACGCGACGAGGATCTGGAGCCGCGATGCGCTGTCCAACGTGGCAGACATCGCCAGTACAAATGAGCCCGAGCGAGTGGAGGGGGTCATGTCCCAGTGCGCGAGGATCGTCGTATCGTCGGACGCGAACAGCTGCTAGCGCTCAGACGCGGGAGACGGACGTTGGTGCAGAAGGCGTACCGCGAGCCTGTGTTCGCTGTGCATGCGGATCTTGAAGCGGCCATGCAGGGCGCTGTCTAGCACGTACGTCGGCAGCGGCAATCTGCGGCAAATCAGTCGCAGACTTGGCACGGCCCACGAGCCACGCACCCGGTTATCGACTCCCCTTTAGACAGCCACTTGCTGACCTTCGTCGTATACAGCTTCTCGGAACCGGGCTCCCGAAACGCGACAGTATCCGGAAAGACGTCCTTGCGCGAGATCTGCGCGGCGACCTCCTTCGTGCCGGGGAGCACCAGATCCGTTCTCACAACGCCCAGGATTTTGGTCTTCACAGAGTAGAGCGCGCGCCCACTCGCGCCGTCCGAGATTGTGCTCGAAAACATGCTGTTGGGGTGGAAGACGAGTCTTGTCGGCGGGGCGGACTCGACCAGCGTCTCTTGCGAGTGTAAGATGGACATTGGTGGTCGATGCAAAAGACGCTGTAAGACAATTGAGTGCTGAGACGATGTGAGATCGTACCGGTAAGCCGTATGAGCGGAAATCAAGTCCCACCATGAGCCGCAGCAATAAGTATCCCAAAGTGACCTCAGATGCGGGACGATACGAATCATTCTGATGATCCCTCGGCATGCACTGGATCGTCTCAATTGCCCGGCAACGGCGGAAGCCGAAGTCTCAGAATGACATCAGACACCACCACGAAAATGGTAGGACTACACACAGATGAAGCGGCAGTTGGATCAAAATAGCCTTGTCTACTGGCGCTGTTTGTCCAAGTCGTCAGCAGTTTTCGATATGAATATACTGCAAGTGAGGTTAGAAACCTCGGATGCTAGGTAGCATGTGAATTGGCGCTCAATCACAGATTGATCCACCTCGGACATTCCCCAGACCTGAAAGCGGTGCCTCTTTAGGTGCAATCGGGGTTGTCCAAGGGAGTGCTTGATAAGAATGATAATAAGGAATTCCCACCCTCAGTTCATTTATGAAGGTAAGCGACAGAAGCTATATTAAGAATGGATCCGAGTTCATCGCACCGGACCGGTCACTCCGCTCAAAATTGACAATGTTGGCATAAGAGTTACGGCGCCCAGAAAGATGTTTGAGCTTCTTGTTCAACATCCAGACCCGCTGGATCAAATCAGACTGTGAAGCGGTTGACACCATGCTTCACCTCTCATCTCGCCGCCTTTGAGCCAGGTTCAACTTATTTCATCTACCCGTTCGACTACCGGAAGTCAGGCCGCCAGATCTTTCATTACTCGCGTTCTCGATTAGCAGGGGTCATTCCTGTTGAGCAACGAGCAGGTCGAGAGACGCGCTGATTAGATTCTTGATGGATCATCCCGTGTAGCCTGTGTCTCATTCAGATATCACAAATTTGTACCAAATCTACAGGATCGTGATTTAAAAGGCCCTGACGGTGCCCGTCGGGGGAGATATAGCGACTGCGCCCCAGGGAGGGGAGCCGGCCCACCTTCCATGGTGACCGCCGTCCAAGACGAGCTGTTGTACCCAGGGAACTCGAACCCCGACGGAAGCGAAGCATCCCCAGGCCACAACCAGGAAACATCGCTGACCAGATAGGCTCCGCCGGTGCAGTTGCCCGCCGTCTTGACGAAGTTGATCTCCGCTGCGAAGATGACGCCCGCCGCGTCCAGCGGCGCGGTGAGGGTATTTGTGGCCACCACGGCGAAGACGACCTGCGGTGCGGCGCCGAGGTTGATGCTCCAGGTCTGCGCCGTGCTGGAGCTTGACCCGGAGCCGACCGGGAACTCGTTCGCGTAAAGCGTGTACTCGTTGTCCGCGGCAATGATCGCCGTTGCAGACGCGATGAGCTGTCCGGGGGGTGCTGTGTAGGTGCGGAGAAACGCACGGGTCCCTGGTGGTGCATTTCCCCCGGACGCCTCTGTCGTCCAGATCCAGGCTGCGCCGTCAAGCGTCAGCACGGGGGGGACGGAGGGGACCTGGATCGCGCCCCAGTTGGAGCAGACTTTACATACCGGCTTGGGAGAGTGGCTTGTGATGGCTTGTAGCGGCTGTCGGAGTTTGAATTTGGCTGACGGGGCTTGGCTTGCGTGATGCGGGCTTGGGCGTGGCTTGTGAGTAATTTCTCCTCCTGATTGACATCGTCCCCGACGTTCCCGACGCTTTGGGTCTCCCACCGAAGTTAGGTTTATTTTACTAGGTACCATTTATGTAATTAAGTACTTCCTGACACTATTTGAGCTACGGAACGCTTGGCACTGATTCAGCTCTCGTTCAAGCCGGGGGTAATGACAAGCATCAGAAATTGGTTCTACTGAATGAGTTGCGCCGTCGTCTCATGACTGTAATAGATGTATTTATTTAACAATATCCTATTTCTGTGAGGTCCCCCTGATCTGGCGCGTTGTCGGCGCCACAGCTGGCCTGTTCCTCCTGAAGTTCTTGTTCTTCGGCCTCGGCTGTGGCCGCGGACCCTGCTGGAGCTCATCGTCATGCTCCCTCGCTCGTTTGGGCGTGATTGCGATCCCCGCGTTCGTGGGTACCGCTCCTCCAACCCGGCGATAAGCACGAAACTGGATGCTGCGATCATAAACACAGTGTTGACGACGAAACTCGATTCGGTCCCCGAGAGGATCCCCACGCTTGCCGTCAACAGCGTCGTTGTTCAACGCACGCATGACGTGGTGAATCTTCTCGATATGCGTGGCTATAAAAGTCCGCGCCTAGCAGTAGCCCACAGACATGTCACATTGTAGTTGCCTATGAGAAAAAAATTACAATGGACTCTCCGAACAATAAGGAACTTCGTATGTAGAGTTTAGAGGTCGAGATCAGTCGGAAGTCATCAAACAAGAGTTCTGGTGAGAACAGCGGGCCAGGAATTATACAGATGATCCTAACATGCACATAGGTTGCTCCCCGACACTAGATAACTGTGAGATATGCCCCGTTTCCCATTGATATGAAGATCGATTCGACTATTTGTGAGCGGACGCAAGCCAAAATGTTGGCTTGGCAAGCCAACATTTTGGCTTGCAAGCCCTGATGGCATCATTTTACAGCCAAATCCACGCCCAAGCCAAAAAAAGCCATTCTGCGCCGGTACAAGCCACTTGGCCAAGCCAAAAACGTCACTCTCATTTGGATGGCGACGAGAAGTCCGGCCGCATTGGGTGCGGCAAGATTGGGCGCCAACCCGCCGTTCGTAGCATTGACGGCAAACACATTCAAGCAGTCGGTGAGTGGGACACAGAACCGCGCAGCATAGCGCCAGTCGACGCTCGATCCAACGAGGTTGTCGTTGACATACAAGTCGAAGGAGTTGTCGGTCGTGATGATAATGTCTGCCTCCACAGGTGTCTTGCCTGCCCGAGCCACAAATTCCTTGCGGAACGCGCGAGTGGCAACGGGAGCCAAGCCATTCGAAACATCGGTCGTCCAGATCCACTGCGATGCGGAAAAGTCAAGAGCCTGGACCCCAGCCAACGCGGTCAGAACGAGAAGAGCAGCTAGTTTGGAGTCAGAACACCTGTTCAGGTCTGGGAGCGTTCAACGAATCAAGACTCACTCTGGAAAACGAGCATTGTCGAAGCGGACTAGTAGGCCAAGACCTCGCGATCCCAAACTTAAATAGGGCTGCCGGTTTCTAGAAGAGAAAGCCCGGCGACCTCTGATAGCTCGCTGGACATGAGGTACAGTATGGCGCCCAAGATAATCGATTTGGGCATTCGTGTGCCAACCCGGAAGATGCAGTTCCGCGCAAGCCGCCTGCTGTCAACATCGGGTACGGTGCCGAGAAGCCTGATTGACGTGAAAGGTTGCCCTCACGACTTGAAAGGCGTCGAGTAAACAGGCAAGATAGTAATTGCAAGATGTCGTGTTGGACATGGTGCACGGTAGACAGTCTATGCAGGGAGGATCTGAATGAGTGTTCGTCATTCTTACCAGTCCTCTTTCGACGTTGCAAAGTTCCCTGCGCGAAGGCAAGTAAGCAACACCAAGGAAGAATGCTAAACCCCACCGGCTTATAAAACGCTCTCCATCACCATTTCCGACCTGTCTCTTCACGCTTCAAGATACGCGCCCGACAAGATACGCGCCCACCTAAGGAACATCCGCCGCGGAGGGTACCCCCCCCTGTTAGGGGTCAAAATTCGACTGATTTGGGTACCTAACAGGGGGGGTACCCTCCGCACTTTAGGCCATCCTCCGCATCGAAAGCTCCGCAAATGGGCATCAAGCATCCGCAGCAGGCCCCGATACCAGTGGCGGATCCATCCGCTCCTGGCTCTCCCCGTGACCGTCATGATGCCATCTTGCCGGTCATCCGTGAGCGACATCAGGTGACTGAAATTTTGGCAGGCACCCTCCGCATTCCTGATGCTCTCAGCCTTTCAGCCCTTGCCTGCGGGTGTTGTCCCACCGTGGAGTTGAGCCTTCCGTAGCACATATGCGACCATGCTCTCTGCTTCTCACTGATTGCAGCTACTCCAAACTCCAATGTGTGCAGAAATCAAAGAATTGCAGGGGGATCCATTCAGGGCTTGGGGCATCCGCACTGATATTGGATTGGTCGAAAGCAGGGTTCCAGTGTTCGTGACGTGAGACTGGTCTGAGAGACGCTCCAATATCTCATAGAACAGACAGACAGGGCAGATAGGGCCTTGCCACGTCCACGGCAGGCGCCGGGTGCGCGGGGCGGATGCATCTGCCGCATGCGGTCCAGGGCCAGATCGGGCTCAATATGGGCCATACAGACCCTCCAGCTCAATTCCTGGCAACTGAGATCCTCTGCGCATGACCGATGGTCCCTCGACGTCCACGGCAGGCGCCAGGTGCGCGGGGCGGATGCATCTGCCGCATGCGGTCCAGGGCCAGATCGGGCCCCGCCCTGCTCAATATCGGTTCCATCGACCCTGCAGCTCAATTCCCGGCAACGGACGACCTCTGCGCATGACCGATGGCCCCTCGACGTCCACGGCAGCCGCCAGGTGCGCTGGGCGGATGCATCTGCCGCATGCAGCCCAGGGCCAGATCGGGCCCCGCCCTGCTCAATATCGATTCCATAGACCCTCCAGCTCAATTCCCGGCAACGGACGACCTCTGCGCATGACAGATGGCCCCTCGACGTCCACGGTAGCTGCCAGGTGCGCGGGGCGGATGCATCTGCCGCATGCGGTCCAGAGCCAGATCGGGCTCAATATGGGCCATACAGACCCTCCAGCTCAATTCCTGGCAACTGAGATCCTCTGCGCATGACAGATGGCCCCTCGACGTCCACGGTAGCTGCCAGGTGCGCTGGGCGGATGCATCTGCCGCATGCGGTCCAGGGCCAGATCGGGCCGCGCCCCTGCTCAATATGGGCTCCATGGACTCTCCAGCTCAATTCCTGGCGACGGAGATCCTCTGCGCGTGACAGATGGCCCCTCGACGTCCACGGCAGGCGCCAGGTGCGCGGGGCGGATGCATCTGCCGCATGCGGCCCAGGGCCAGATCGGGCCCCGCCCTGCTCAATATCGATTCCATCGACCCTGCAGCTCAATTCCCGGCAACGGACGACCTCTGCGCATGACCGATGGCCCCTCGACGTCCACGGCAGCCGCCAGGTGCGCTGGGCGGATGCATCTGCCGCATGCAGCCCAGGGCCAGATCGGGCCCCGCCCTGCTCAATATCGATTCCATAGACCCTCCAGCTCAATTCCTGGCGACGGAGATCTTCTGCGCATGACAGATGGCCCCTCGACGTCCACGGCAGCCGCCAGGTGCGCTGGGCGGATGCATCTGCCGCATGCAGCCCAGGGCCAGATCGGGCCCCGCCCTGCTCAATATCGATTCCATAGACCCTCCAGCTCAATTCCTGGCGACGGAGATCTTCTGCGCATGACAGATGGCCCCTCGACGTCCACGGCAGGCGCCAGGTGCGCGGGGCGGATGCATCTGCCGCATGCGGTCCAGAGCCAGATCGGGGCCCCGCCCTGCTCAATATCGATTCCATCGACCCTGCAGCTCAATTCCCGGCAACGGACGACCTCTGCGCATGACCGATGGCCCCTCGACGTCCACGGCAGGCGCCAGGTGCGCGGGGCGGATGCATCTGCCGCATGCGGTCCAGGGCCAGATCGGGCCGCGCCCCTGCTCAATATGGGCTCCATGGACTCTCCAGCTCAAATTCTGCTCCTTGCTTCATCCGGTGCGGAATTCATCCTCAGTTTCCCCGAGTCCTCATTCTACATGCCGGATCCACATGAGTAGGATAAATTGCAATCAGACAACGTTCTATGTTTATCGTGGCACTTCGGGCTACGTAGCCATCCACCGCGGAATTTGATGCCAACATCACATTGCCCTTTCCGTGTGAACGAGTCAACTTTCCCATCTCTTCTCCCTTCCATGAAGTTCACAGGCAGGCTTGGTAGGGGACATGGTATCGGCGGGCGGGCGTCCACGAGTCCCATTAAACGAGCCGATGCAAAACGAAAAATTAAGATCAAGCCTTCTCAGTGGCGGCTCGCAGCTGGCCTAGACCCACAATTGGCCCATCTGTTGGGGTACCCTGGTACTGAAGCAAACAATGAAGACGCCTTCAGAAGCTCCCTCCCAATTCACGCACCTGGACCTTCTGGTGCCCATGGAGCGGCCACCTACTCCGCCGTCGGCGTGGAGGCATCTGCGGCCCAATGTCCTGATTCAGAGATGCAGTTTACCAGCCAAGATTCATTCGACGACGGCCCCGATCTCCCATATCACCCTTCCCGTGAGCCTTACTCCCCATTCTTGGCCTACACACGCTCCGAAAAGAATACATCGAATTGGCAAGCTTTGCTCCCTGTCTTAGAAGGCCCATACATCGAATTCTGTCGTCTCTACTATGGAAAACCACGGCACAACATTTCATCGACCATTATACACACCTGCGCCCTGTGTGCAGTCAACAGTGTAAGCGCAAATGTTCGGTGCCTTTATCCTACACGTCGGTTCACTATTTTGCTTGTTTCACGCATATGCTCATTTAACACCTAGACTTGATCCAGGTGGATATTTCTACCTGCAGATGCATGTCTGTCGCGGTTCTCCTTCTTCAAAATGGCGTCTTTCCAGGTTCACCATGTCATCCTCGCACCGGAGTGTCTCTCGATGTCCTCGATTCATACCAAGCGTACTTCGAGCGCTCTGGGGATGCAGTGTCTGCCTTAGCAGCTGCGCTGTGTACTGTCTATCGACGAAGAGGCTTCCCGGTTATCTCTGAGAGTGTACGCATCCATTTCATTTGACCATTCTGAGAATTCTGACAGTGCCTTCTGGCAGAGCACCCTGCCACATACGGATGATCCATTTCGTTCCAGTCTCACACAAGCTATTCAATGGTCGTCGCTGCTTCGTCTCAAACTGAAGGGCAGACTGGATACATTCCTGCAAGAGACAGAGAATGTGCTCGCGTCAAAACTTGACGGCTCAACCTCATTCCCAAAGGCTGCAGATGGCTCCGAGCTGCCATCCGCAACGCCTGATGCATTGAGTGCGGATGCATCCGCGCCGTCACCCTTCAATGCAGATTCCTCCGCAAGCAATCACGTCGCGTTTTCGATCCCGAATCAGCCTCCTCAGGACATGCTTGAGTCCCCAGCACCTACACGTGCGGCCCGTATTCTGCGTGAGCGATGTCCGGCTTGTTTTGGTCTGACCACCTGGGGTCGGCCGTTGGAACATTGAGTCACTCTTCATCTTTTCATCTCCCCCTTGACATGAATCACAGAGGTGGTGATATACAAATGGGCGCTGATGGCAACTGGAGTCTCCGACATCTCTGTTCTGCAGGAGATGGGCCCAAGCTTCCATTTCAGCCAGCGTACTTTGTCTCTAAGGCTGAAGTTGATTCTGTTCGCCAACGAATCTTGGCTGCGCGAAAACAAAAGCCCCGCCGAAATACATCTCCAGTGTCTTTGCATGTGATAGAAGCGTGTCAGGATTCGTTCGAAGCTGCTAACGACAAGAAGGAGAAGGCTGATCCCAACCGCTATGACTCAACTGGGGTCTTTGTCATGACCTGCCGGCATTCACAAGTCTTGTTTCTTGCCAATATTGACACCCCCGGGGAGCAGCAATGCTACATCATTGCACTGTTGGAGAAGGTGGCATCCTTACTTCCAAGAAACGCTACAATTGTCCAGGCATATGATATTGGATGTGTAGTCGATCACTCCTGTCATCTGGTATGTGTTTCCCCCTTCATCTTCATTCACCGCATATGGTCGATCTTCGTGGCAGATGCATCCGCGGCACAGATCATTCATCTGACCTTGCAGCGGATGCATCCGCAGCCAACATCGTTCATGTGCGGATCCTGCCATAGCATCCACATCCACTACTAGAAACCGTTATCCTGACAATATCAACAGTACCCGATTCTTTCACCCTCTCTACATCAGCGTGTTGCATTTGTAATTAACATCATGCACTCCTTTGCGCATGAATGGGATTGTCAACTGGTCTACAGTCCACGATTCTTCACAGGAATGGGAATATCTGACATGGAAGGGGTCGAAAGGTTTTGGTCTCGAATGCGCAAGCTGATTGGCATGACCCGAACACAATGGGTCAGCATATCAGTTCACTGCATTGATATTCTTTTCATTGTAAACACAGAGCTCACGGCGCATATGGATCCTAGATGGACACACAGAGTTCATCAATTCAGAAGGTTTGGAAGGCCTGGGTCACTGGCTCGATCGACAACAAGAGAAGAATCTTCTCCCCAAGCTAAAAAAGGCTGTCAAAGTTCTCCAGGACTGCCGTATCTCCGACCATGAGCTGCGAACACAATGGAGGGAACAGAAGGCTGCGCGGATGGCTCCGCGGATTGGTCAGTTGTTAGCACTGAGCTTAGACGATTGCTGAAAGACGTCCAGAGGTATCCCGACACTTTCAAAAGGAGCTTGATAAGGTCATTGCGCTACAAAATCAGATTCAGACACTCGAGACCACGATTGAAGACACAAAAAAGACAATCTTGTCTGGCGGACCCTCAGCCGAGCTTCTCGTGCATCTGGATCGACTTGAGGACTCCCATGCAAGCCTGAGTGATCAGGCCGATGCCTTGTATAGCTCACTAAACATCCGCAAAGACCTCCGCAATTTGGCAGGAGTTCCCGCTGAGTTTGTCAAGACGTTGCTGATCATGCATGATCTCAAGATCAACATTCGAAAGCGTGCAGTGGGATCCTTCTACGAGACTGAAATGCTGGATAGGGCAGTCGCTGGTCGAAGTGAAGCATTAGGTACAAAATCTTCCACTCGCATTTCCTGCTCGATTTCTCAATGATTTCTCAGGAACGAAGCTCTATCAGGCGACACGTAAAGCACTGTCAAAGAGACAGCCTGTCCTTTACCGCCTGATCAACCGTTTCAATAGCCTCTGTGAACAATTGGAGGATGAGATGCCCCCCCACTCCCTACTTCCTCTCCCAACCCAGCTCTCGACCAAATTATCAGTACTCAAAGCTGACCAATCTCTTTTCGAGGATATCTGTGTTCTACCTACGGGGAACAAGATCCCACGGTGGCTTGATGACTCTGACGTCAGGGATGGGATCCAGAGTATGCACAGTCTGGATCGGTGTCGAGAGGAACTCTCCCGACTGAATCTTGAGAGGGGAAACCTTGCAAATGTACTAGAAGAAGAGCGATCAATTTGCCGCCAGAGCCTCCGCACTACCCAAGGTTTTTGTTCCAGATTCCTGCCATTCCATTCGCTTAAGTGTTGCAGACCCTACACTTATTTACCTGCTCAACGTCCACATGGATCGAATAACGTTTCTAACTGAGCGCTGGCGACCTTCTTTCCGAATGTATGAGATGCACACATCGAGCGGTGGCCAGATCACTCCCAGTAAATGCGTGGATGCATCAGCAAGCGCTTTCTTCTCCCAGCAGCATCCTGCCAATGCATCCGCAGGCCTCCCCAATGTTGACGCGGATGCATCAGCAGACAATTATGTGCATGCCAATGCATCCGCACAGAGCCAGGATATGATACAAGTGGCTCTGTCCGCTCCATCAGCAAATCTACATTTGCCAACGTCTCTTGACGAGGTCGAGGACGAGGTTTTTGATGGATTCACAGACACGGAGGAGATCAATATCGCCTTGCAAGCGTTGAATATTACCGAGTGTGATGATACAACGATACCAGATGAGGGGTCGGTGCAAATTGACATCAGATGGGACGTTCCCCTAGTTCGTCGCTCATCTCCCTTTATCCATGAGAATTTTTTACTGACACGTGCTTTGTGAACTTGGCTTTCAGACACCGTTGAAATACGACCTTGACCTCTTCTCTGAGCTGCAGGCAAGGAACAACAGCTTGCCCAGGTCTTCAGCGTTGCTCCCACATATCGTTGTTCGGGATGGCTCCCTCAAAAACTATATCTTTGAGCCCGCCGATCTAGCCCGCATTATGGATCCCCACGGATTACTGAGTGGGCAATGCATCAATGGTGTTGCGGCTTCTTTCCAGGCATTGTTTTCGCACGTTCACAATCCTCATCATCCTGCTGCACGTCGCTGTGCTCTTCTAAGCACCTATGAACTGCCGCGCATGCGTTCGGAGTGTTCGGACGACTTCCTGTGGTCTGAACTGGAAGCAATGCAATATTGGGAACGGGACTTATGGATCCTTCCTATACACCGAGCAACTCAGCAGCATTGGGTTCTCGCTGTGGCATGCGTTTCTGATCGTAGGATCTATTTCTTTGACAGTCTTGCGCTGCGCGGAGGGTTCCGCAAAGAGCTCAAGGTCTGTCATTCACTCTCTGCTATTGCCATGTTCACGGTTTGAAAGGAATTCATGACGCTGATCACCCGAATGGTTCTTCTTGCAAATAGGCATGGTTACACTTTCCATGTCCCTACAGATGACTGGACTGCGCATCCACTTTTCATGCCAGGCCAACCACTTCAAACCAACGGCTACGACTGTGGATTATGGATCCTCGCTGTCATTGGCGCTGTCCTACGTGGTTTCGATATGCCCTCCATCACAGAGCATAGTTTGGGCGCTGTTCGTCGCATCATTTCTGAACATATCTGTACTTTGTTACAATCATGTTAATTATTCTGGTTGCGATGGACTTTTCATGGAGTGAGATGGCAGGGAGATCGTCAAGTATCGTGTTTTAGCGGCTGAATGCAGGCTGAAAGTACTGAGACCGCATTCTAGACATTCAAAGTACTCAAGTCCGAATTCCGTTTTCCGTCACAATTCAAGAAATTCATTTCAGCAATGACAGCCCCATGCACTCAGGCTCGTTCAGGTGCCTAACGGAACTCTCCCGACTCATGCAGGCATTATGTCTGAGGTTGAGGTCAGTGGTATGTTGACCGATTGAGAATTGCGGTAGTAAGTAGTAAGTTACCCATAGACTAAAGGGTGCATGTACCGACCATTCGTATCGTCAAATCTTATGTCTTCCCACTAGTTCTGCGTCTTTCATATGTTGGTGGTGCATACCCCAACAGTCAATTCCGAAAGTTTAGGCTGGGCTGAGATGATACATATAATATGGGGAGCAATCTTCGAAAACTCGACCGTTATAATGCCTCTGATTGGCTGCCCTCAAGACATGATCCGAAGCTGATGGGTGATTTCATTACGTCAAACAGACATGCGGATGCATCTGCGCATGGTGTCTTGAGCAGCTGCGGACGTCCGCAAGGGAAACATCCAATTCGCGGATGATTGATTCGTCCGCAGCGGATGGTGAAGACCATCCGCACACGACTATGCAGACCGTCTTGTTGTTGATCAAAGCCTGGGAATGACATCAGATCACATTCCCACTCATTTTCGCTTGCTCCGTACTTTCACGACGCGTCTCTTGTAGTCAAAACGCGGTATGTCTCTTCGCTTTTACGTGTCTTTATTGATCATACTTCATTCTCACTCGCTCAGGAACTCGAAATCGCGGAATACCCGCCAATGAACACCCCAAACAGGTTGGAGGCGTCGTCACCTTTGCCGGCCTCAACGCCCGACATTGGCTCAATTACGCTCCCACCAATCGAGACCCTCTCCTCTCCAGGCTACATCGATGACTCCGATCAGATCGACTGGCTCGCAGACTGCTCAGCCACTCAGTTGTCAGTGGGTGGTGGTAGCAACGAAAGGCCACCCGGTTTGGGTAGCGCGACTTTCGACGATGGAGACGGTGTGTCTGCTACATTTCATTCTCCCGGGACTGCCACTGACAATAACAGCCGACTTCTTTGCTCCTGGACCTGCAGGGCGCACATCCACTTCTTCCCTTCGGATGGCCCTTGGGCGCTCTTTGTCTCCGACTCGTCCCTCCTCTCCACCTGATGCAGGGCCCATCCGTTCCGAAGAGATCGCCGTCGACTCGGTGGAGGCTGAAGCTATGCAGAGTGTTGAGGATGTGGCAGGGGTCTTGAAAGGCCAGGAGGGGACGTTGGATCAGGGGCACATCGGTAACTTCATTGGCTTCTCTCGGGCTCTGCTCTCAGACCCCATTCAAAGAACAGTCGCTGACGTCCATTTCCTCAGCTTTTGGCGGTGCGGATGCCTCTGCACACCAAGTCCATTCTGCGGATGCCTCCGCGGTGCAGACTTCCGGTCCTGTACATCCTCCGTCGGCCACTAACGATGCACCGACTCTTCCTCCTCCTTCCGAATCGGCCCTCTCATTCCATCAGCTTGATTCTCTCGTGGAGGACAATGACACGGATCAGGCGCTGCCCGTGCTGGAACAGACTGCGGAGTCCTCCGCACCGTCTCTAGACGATATCATGGGGCCTTCCCGAGTCCCAATGCTCGGACCGAGTGGGAAAGTCGTTCTCAAATCCCACATTGATCGCATCCTTGAAAGCATCCGCGTTGCCGGCGAGGAGACCGGCCTGAGCCCATCCCAGATTCTTTACAACGTCTCGAATTCTTTCAAGCTTCCCGAATTCCGTACAATCAACAACTGGAACACTTTTGGGCGCATGTACAAGCAAAATCCCTGGTACTACTTTCGCAAGGCTTTCCCCGATGATCCATGCACAGAAGAACCCCCGAATGACTCGGCCACTATTCGCGCCTGCTACGATACTTTCAAAGAAAACGAGAAGTGGGAGGAAGCTCTGGAGACGTTCCGAGTCATGGAGGCTCAAATGCTGGAACAGACCAAAGCAGAACGTCGCAAGATCTTTCAGAAAGCCGAAAGGGTCGTCAATGATGTGGTCTGTCTTCTGCAGCTTCCACATTCACGCTCACTCACGTTCTCTTAGTTCGAAACGTGCCATCGGTTGTATCGCATTGAAGGGCAGGCTTACCTTTGCGGCTCCCTGATCAACGAGGATGGAAGCCTCGGCACATCGATCTCTTCTGGGGGCTTCAAGCAGCATCCAGTGAGCACATTATACTCGTTTCTCACTGTTCATGAACACATTGCGCAGATTACAGAAAGACTGAGGACCTTGACTATGGATGAGTTGCGCCATCTGGATGAGGACGGCATGCTGGCAGCAGCACGCTCATCGGCGTAGTGAGCCATTGATCATCATTCATTCTACCTTACTGATCACTGATCTTCATCGTAGTGCACTCCCCGAGACATCTGGCACACAGATGATGAGCTCGTCCGGAGGTCCCCCCGCCGCTTTGGCCAGTCTCCCTGCGGATGCCTCCGCCAATCCCTTTACGGATGGTGCAGCCAATCCTGCTGATGCATCCGCCGTGGCTACCTCCTCGTCTGCAGCCCACCAATTGACGCTGCTTGCTCCGGGCGTTGCGGCCGTGCCTGCGTTGCCCACGATCATGGCCTGGGATCCCAATTCAATCAATCAGAGTCGGAGCGCATCAATTTCTGGTCATCGTCATCTAGTCATCAGCAACATACGTACCTGCGCCACAATTGACATCGGGAGCGAACCTTTGGGACGGCAGTATAGCAATCTTCCTTGGGTGGAAGCAGGTAGCCGCTTTTACAATTTTCATTGCCTGCTCAGCGGGCATCCGGCTGCGGTCCGACTTCCAGCAGAGGTCAAGTTGAGGAGAAAGGGTGCCAAGGGCTCGGGGGATTGGGACTATGGCAGTCTTGGGGAATTCGACCTCGCATTCCAGGCCAGAGGGCAGACACCCAGTGGTCAATGGAACGGGAATGGTCTGGGCTTCCGAAGGCGGGATATTGTACCTGGTGAGTTGTCTCTCTTGTGTTGCTGCTAATGGGACGACTCTGACGACGTTTCCAGGCAGCTTCGTCATCTTCACTCATGACTATCGTTTCGGTCCCAGTGACCCATCGGACCCCGAGGTGGTTCGTCGACACTTCGCATCCTCTGGGGGAGAATTTCTGCCTGCTGAGACCACGAATGGCGAGGTATGGCTCGTCAACTATGACTTCGATCTCCCAAATCCGGTCATTGCCAAAAAGAAGCTCGTAGAGGACAGCATGAAGGTCTTCCGCGGCCAGGTTGACCAAAGCCCAAAAAAGTCGAAGAAAGAAGGCAAGGGGAAGAAGAGCGCGAAGGAGAAGGAGAGCGCAAAGGGCAAGGGGAAGCAAAAGGCCGTGGCCTTCTCTCATCGCTCGATGTCCGAGTCTGGGTCTGAGTCGGACAGTGATGGGAGGGACCAAAGTGGAGAGGATGACGACACCGAGGCGAGCGGTACAGATGAAGAGCAGGCCGTGGGAGCCAGAGTGGTGACAAGGTCCCAGTCCAGTCGCAAGGACTCGGTAGCTGCCACCGCGTCAAAGACCACAACCCCCAAGGCGGCGACCACATCGAGTACCCCTGCGGAGGCATCCGCATCTCCGTCGAAGACCTCGGCAGCAGCATCCGCATCAACGGGAAAGACGTCCGCAGGAGCATCTGCGTCGAAGTCCATGGCCAAGCCCGCACCGAAGCCGAAGAAAGCCACACCCGCACCTGCGGAGGCATCCGCATCTCCGTCGAAGACCTCGGCAGCAGCATCCGCATCAACGGAAAAGACGTCCGCAGGAGCATCTGCGTCGAATTCCATGGCCAAACCCGCACCGAAGCCGAAGAAAGCCACACCCGCACCTGCGACCCTGCCCAATCTTGGCGCGGCCAAACAAGTTGAAGATGCGGTGGACCAATCTTCTGATCCGCAGGGGGAATCTGCTAACCAGGCAGTGCGCCCCAAGCGGAAGGCGGCAATCGATGCCGAGACCAGATGGGAGAAACGGCCCCGAATCGATCAGTCCACACCGGGGAGAAAGCGCAAGGCCGAAGAACCAGTGTCCGCTGCGCCGCCCACCAAGAAGCCCAAGCCCATCCGCCCGAAAAAATCAACGGCAAAGAAACAGTTCAAGTCTGCTGAAACTGTGCTGAGCGAGGTAGAGGAAGCAGATGAGGAGACGGAAAAGAGGGACATCGAGGACAACGCAAACAACGAGGAGAAGACTCAGGGTGCGCAAAGCTCAGCCGACGACGCGGGCCCAGCTCCCCCAATTTTGTGTCGTTCAGCACGAGAGAGACGCCCGCCACCCTCCAAGCAAATTGGCGGTGGGCCACAGGATGCCGAGCCAGGGCCATCAGACTCGTGGCCACCGGTCACAGGGCACGAATCCCAATTGACGAGAAAACAATTGGATTTCTTGGTGTCTTTGCAAAAAGATATCAAGACGACTCTTTACGTGGTCCAGAAGACGCCCCCTGGTTGCCAGCACCTCAGCAACATCAAGCTTGCGGAGAAACTAGTCGGGTGGTGCTTCGGGTCTCTGGATCATTCTAGCCCACAGTACCTGCTCTGGAGTGACGATGGCGCTGCCACCGTGGAGTCGTTCAAGGAGCCTGCGCAGCCTACGGCTTCCAGCTCGAAGCGGTCTCCACAACCAGAGGCATCCAGCTCGCAGATCCATCCGCAGCCAGAGGCATCTAGCCCGCGGAGCCATCCGCAGCCAGAGGCATCGAGTTCGCGGAGCCATCTGCAGCCAGCGTCGTCTTCATCGCGTCCGCCTGCAGACACCCCTGATGTGGGAGCCAAGTCGACTTCCACAGCTGGTGCCGTGAGGCTTCCACCGAGCGTTCTGGAGAATCTGATCACCACTTTGCAAAAATTCGATGTCGAGACGGTTCAGGCGTTGACCGCTCAGCTCAATGAGAAATTCAAGGAGATATGAATGACTCTGAACCAGTGGCTTGCTTTCATGATTTCTTGCTGTTCCCGTGCGTTTCCCCCATACCAGCCGATATTTACTTGCTCCACATCATCTATACATACTATGAATCTGTAATATAATGTGCTCGAAAAATACATGTGCCTTGTCTGCAGTTGGTCACATGCAGTCGGAAAATAAGAATTTACATTTTTAGTCATCGCAGAAGGACACACTCTGAGCTTCTGATATAAAGCATCCTCACACGGATCCGACAGGGAGAATGAGGGCTCAAGTAAATTGGCGATTGCTTCGGCGCCGAAAAAGCCAAGCGGTAGCACGGTGTGTGGCGGGATGCGTCGGCGCAGCACGCCTGTCGAGCTGAACAGTCCATGGAGCCCATATTGAGCCCGATCTGGCCCTGGGCCGCATGCGGCAGATGCATCCGCCCCGCGCACCTGGCGCCTGCCGTGGACGTCGAGGGGCCATCTGTCACGCGCAGAGGATCTCCGTCGCCAGGAATTGAGCTGGAGAGTCCATGGAGCCCATATTGAGCAGGGGCGGGGCCCGATCTGGCCCTGGGCCGCATGCGGCAGATGCATCCGCCCCGCGCACCTGGCGCCTGCCGTGGACGTCGAGGGGCCATCGGTCATGCGCAGAGGTCGTCCGTTGCCGGGAATTGAGCTGCAGGGTCGATGGAACCGATATTGAGCAGGGGCGGGGCCCGATCTGGCCCTGGGCTGCATGCGGCAGATGCATCCGCCCAGCGCACCTGGCGCCTGCCGTGGACGTCAAGGGGCCATTGGTCATGCGCAGAGGATCTCCGTCGCCAGGAATTGAGCTGGAGGGTCGATGGAATCGATATTGAGCAGGGGCGGGGCCCGATCTGGCCCTGGGCTGCATGCGGCAGATGCATCCGCCCAGCGCACCTGGCGCCTGCCGTGGACGTCGAGGGGCCATCGGTCATGCGCAGAGGATTTCCATTGCCGGGAAGTGAGCTGCAGGGTCGATGGAACCGATATTGAGCAGGGCGGGGCCCGATCTGGGCCTGGACCGCATGCGGCAGATGCATCCGCCCCGCGCACCTGGCGCCTGCCGTGGACGTCAAGGGGCCATTGGTCATGCGCAGAGGATCTCCGTCGCCAGGAATTGAGCTGGAGGGTCGATGGAATCGATATTGAGCAGGGCGGGGCCCGATCTGGCCCTGGGCTGCATGCGGCAGATGCATCCGCCCAGCGCACCTGGCGGCTGCCGTGGACGTCGAGGGGCCATCGGTCATGCGCAGAGGTCGTCCGTTGCCGGGAATTGAGCTGCAGGGTCGATGGAACCGATATTGAGCAGGGCGGGGCCCGATCTGGCCCTGGGCTGCATGCGGCAGATGCATCCGCCCAGCGCACCTGGCGGCTGCCGTGGACGTCGAGGGACCATCGGTCATGCGCAGAGGTCGTCCGTTCCCGGGAACTGAGCTGCAGGGTCTATGGAACCGATATTGAGCAGGGCGGGGCCCGATCTGGCCCTGGGCCGCATGCGGCAGATGCATCCGCCCCGCGCACCCGGCGCCTGCCGTGGACGTGGCAAGGCCCTATCTGCCCTGTCTGTCTGTTCTATGAGATATTGGAGCGTCTCTCAGACCAGTCTCACGTCACAAACACTGGAACCCTGCTTTCGACCAATCCAATATCAGTGCGGATGCCCCAAGCCCTGAATGGATCCCCCTGCAATTCTTTGATTTCTGCACACATTGGAGTTTGGAGTAGCTGCAATCAGTGAGAAGCAGAGAGCATGGTCGCATATGTGCTACGGAAGGCTCAACTCCACGGTGGGACAACACCCGCAGGCAAGGGCTGAAAGGCTGAGAGCATCAGGAATGCGGAGGGTGCCTGCCAAAATTTCAGTCACCTGATGTCGCTCACGGATGACCGGCAAGATGGCATCATGACGGTCACGGGGAGAGCCAGGAGCGGATGGATCCGCCACTGGTATCGGGGCCTGCTGCGGATGCTTGATGCCCATTTGCGGAGCTTTCGATGCGGAGGATGGCCTAAAGTGCGGAGGGTACCCCCCCTGTTAGGTACCCAAATCAGTCGAATTTTGACCCCTAACAGGGGGGGGTACCCTCCGCGGCGGATGTTCCTTAGGTGTACGCGCCCGACATGAGCATTGGATTTTATTCGCGTGAGTGAGACGACGTAGATGACGTGTACTCAGTCAAAATCAAGCCTGCGCATTGAATTTATTGACCCGATTGTGAGGACATTCGATGCGGTCAAAGCCGTGTGTCTGACATCGAGCGCTCATCGAAAATGTCTTTTGCTCAGTGTAGGTCATCAACACGAGTAAACAGAGGGGGGTGACCAGTGATCTTCACCTGTCTTTGGCCGTGCAGGCCAGATTGTCCCTGACCGCTGCTGAGGTGTCCTACTTACTTTCAACACTGTCAAATCACAGGTGTCTCCTCCTTGCAACCAAGCACCATGTCGCTGCTCGACTTGCCGAGACACACGTCGCTGCCTACACGGCCGCTGTGCACCCGGGGGCCGGGGCGCATTGACGATCACCTCCGTGATTTCTGAGCTCTGCGCTGCCGAGCCTCGCGTGCGCAGAAGACAGGCGATCCAATTTCCTCCCGTCGACGTTCCTTGATAGTGATACCGGATGCGCCATACCCCCGGACCTGCCAGTCTCTTGAAGCGACAGAAGGACCACAGAATCTGTGAAAAAAAGCCTCTTGTGGAATCTGAGTTTCCCAGTGAAACATGGACAGTGAAACACGAAAATGCTCGCCACACGTGTTCCAAGCGGGTCCAGATTTCTCCCAAGCTCTCGCGCACGATAGCTGACTGTCAAGTCTCAGACCTGCTCTCGTTCTGCGCTCGATTTCTGTATCCCGCAGTGGGTGTGAACAACGGATGAATCCAGCGGTCTGACACCTCCTCGCACAAATGTGTTACTGAATGGTAGACAACCGGTATTAACCTCACGGTCCAGAACGCGTACTCGCTATACGTCAGAAACGGGCCGTTCGGGACCGACGATGGCTTTTACTTTTCCAGAGTGATTCGGTGTGACGGCTTTATCACTCACCTCAGTGTTACCACCAGCATCATTTGTGATAGACCTCTCGGATACCCACTTGGTGCTGCGAGAGAGTTGTGGTCTTAGCCAGCTCGACAGCACCCTCGTTCGACAACATCAGTCTGGTTCAACTGACGACTTGGTTAATCATCGTCTTGATCCCTCCGATACGCCCGGTAGATATCTGGGATGGTGAGAATCTCAAGACCGGCCTAGATACGCAGGTCAGAACAAAGTAAGAGGAGGCAGCGAGGATCGCGCTTCTCCTCATCGCGGAGGACATGGTACCTGATGCAACCCGATGGGATGTGAGCAACACCGTCACTCACGCTTGTGACTTTGACAAACAAGTGCATTTTGTCTCGTGTTATATCTGGTGCTTGCGGGAGGAACTGCGAGTCAACTTGAAGGTGCATGCAGTATGTGACCAGTGGGATGCGAGTGATGACCGCGCCGGCTTCACAGATCCTTCCAAGTATTTGCGAATCTGTTTGGCCTGTCACTGATACCATTTACTATGGCTTATCTTCTAGCAATACATATCTCAAAGGCTTTGTGTTCTACCTCGTTCCCGCGGAGAGTTCTGCGAGAGGTGTTTGGGGCATCCCAATCCGAATCTGTTTTATCACAGTGCACCTGCTTACAGCAAGCCCGCACTTTTTCGGTGTTTGGAAAGCTGCGCCGCGTTGGCCCTGAGGAGGTCAGATGTGGACGATGGTGCCGCGAGCCAAGCAGATCAAGGTGCAAGCCACGACGCCGATCCGCAGCCAACCAGCTGTTCCAAGATGCGCAGCAGCATTACCCATTCATCGGCATGTATGAATGACCGTGCCATGCGATAAACTTGAGGTCGTCAACGGCTTCTAGGAGGATGGCTTCGGGTGCCCTGTCTGGGAGTGTGTGGGCTTGGAGGCTAACCAGAAGTGAATAGATTGCCACGCGGGATGGACTCCTGTGCTCAGAAACGCAATTGACCATGCCCGGGGCGCAATCGAGACCCTGACGGGCGCGACATGTAACATGAGCTAGAAGTACGTAGACACCACTTCTTGGATGGAAACCACCGCGAATCTTCTTGCGACGTGGGTCAAGTGAGAAATGAGCACGTGTAAAGGGGGAATGTGCTTTCCCCACACGTGATAGCCACGTTGTTTTTCCCACACCGACCACGACGTCAACTGCACGGTGCAGAGCTCTGCCAATTTCTAGAAAATTCTCGCGTTTGAACCATCCGTGTTACACCAAATACGACGAAATATACAATAGACATCCATGAATCGTACCCGGGCTCAACTCACCATTGTAATGACGGCAAATCCGCCTTCCACACGCGCCCTGCCGTCGTTCATCGACATGCCCCAATGTTTCTCCACCATGCGCAGCTTCTGCTCAAGGTAAATGAAGGCGACGAGGATTTGGAGCCGCGATGCGCTGTCTACCGTGGCGGAGAAGGACAGCGCGCACGAGTCCGAGCCGGTGGACTGGGACATGTCCCAGTGCGCGAGGATCGTCGTATCGTCGGACGCAAACAGCTGCTGACACTCAGACGCGGGAGAAGGAAGTTGGGGCAGAATACGCACCGCGAGCCGGTGTTCCCTGTGCATGCGGATCGTGAAGCGGCCGTGGAGGGCGCTGTCTAGCACGTACGTCGGCAGCGGCAATCTGCGGCAAATCAGTCGCAGACTTGGCACGGCCCACGAGCCACGCACCCGGTTATCGACTCCCCTTTAGACAGCCACTTGCTGACCTTCGTCGTATACAGCTTCTCGGAACCGGGCTCCCGAAGCGCGACAGTATCCGGAAAGAAGTCCTTGCGCGAGATCTGCGCGGCAACCTCCAGCGTCCCGGGCACTACCAGATCTGTTCGCACGCCCTGGATGTTGGTCTTCACAGCGTAGAGCGTGCGCCCGCTCGCGCCGTCCGAGATGGTGCTCGAGAGCATGCTGTTGGGCCGGAAAACGAGTGTTGTTGGCGGGGCCGACTCGACCAGCGTTTCTTGCGAGTAAAACATGGACATTGGTGGTCGATGCAGATTCAGACGAGGCTGTAAAGCACTTGAGTGCCGAGATGAGTGGAGGGAGGCTTTTATGAACCGGAAGGTGATCTCCCCGTCATGAACCGCAGCATCAAATACCCCAGATTCGCTCCAGATGCTGTGCGGTACGAATCACTCTGATGCTTTCTTGGCATCCACTCAAACATCTCCGATCACCCAACTCCGGTCCAACCCATCCGCAGTATCATGTCGGATAGCGTTCCACTTCACCCATAGGGCCTCGAGTACCGGGGGGGCACAGATGGACCGCTGTCATGTGGACGACCGATATCTCGTCTCAAACGACGCCACCAAACAACTGGTCACTTTACAGAATGATTCTATTAGCATTCTCGTTCATGGCAAAAAGCGAACTTCCCTGAAGTTTACGCGGCGGAGGCTTCCGCGTACTGTAACTGAGGTGGGTGCCGAACAACTTACATGAGCATATAGTCAATGGAACATATACCTGTGCTAGATTGAGGTAGTGACTTCATACTCTTGTGTGGTACTACTGCAGACAATCTCTAGGTTAATAAGCGGCAACTTGGAAGAACTCTTTTCAAGACCAGTCTATGTTTGCGGGATGAATAAGCTATCCGAGCGTATTGGTCATCGCCCGCTTGGCCCAGTGGTAAGGCGTCTCACTCGTATGTGTGCGATGAGAAGATCAGTCGTTCGAGTCGGCTAGTGGGCATCTCTTTTGTTCTCCAATTGTTTGCGATTTTGGCATCATTATTCGTTGTGCCAAAAACACGAAAGGTACACGATGTCCATGGGCCGCCTCGCGAGCCCAGCCATTGTCCGTAGTGATCTTTTCAAGTAATACATCCTGAGCATAACTTTGCGAAATAATCATAGCCAGACTGTAAGGTCAATCAATCAAGGTGGGCTGACTACCGCGAGCTCGTCCCGATTAGAATACTTGCTACTCCTGTGAATCCATAAACCATCGCCCCCAGGCTCCGAAGCTGCAGACACACCTATGCCAGACCTTCAAGCTCTTGACGATCTTCGAGAAAACCGACAAGCTCAGCTTCCTCGCTCGCTTGGCTACCCGGCCACCATCGACGCGCGAACGCGCGTTGTGCGACTCCTCCACACTTCTCGGGTCACCAGAGGACCCAGAGCGTTCCGAGGGCAGCTGCAGGACGACGGGCCGGGCGGCAGATTCCTCCGAGCCCTCGCCCGAGTCTGAGGGGATCAGCGGCCGGGGTTTCGCGATCGAGGCTGTGACGAGGCGATGGACCAAGCCTGGGGGGCGAGGTGAACGCGGGGACGGTGGTTGCCGGTCAGGTCGGTTTTGAGACCGGTTGGGCCTGGGAAGCTGTTGGTGCTGTTGGTGCTGCTGCTGCTGCTGGCCATGGGTCATCAGACTCAAACCCAGCGCACGTCTGACGCCGGGAGTGGCGACTCGTAATTCCTCAGGTGTGGCGAACAGCGCGGGCAGGAATAGCACCTCGTGCCGGATGGTCCCCAGCGACGGCCGGCGGGTCGGCTCGAGTCGGAAGCAGCGCGCAGCAAGGGTGTTGAGCGGGCGCGAGATCGGCAGGATGGTGGGCAGGTACGAGTCTGGATTGGCGCGAAACTGCATCCACCGCGCATCTCCGATCTGCGCGCCGTGCCAAGGGTTCATCCCCGTCACAAGGTTCAAGAGTAGCGTGGAGAGCGCCCAGGCGTCGCTGTCCCGCGGCCGGTAGCCGTACGTACTCGCACCGCTGAAGGATTCTGATGGGCGGATGATTCATATGGAGCGCTCAAACTGGGTATACAACGACGCACCAGGACACATGTACGAGTGGCTCCCACAATCAAAGTCCCGCGATAGGCGCGACCGGGTGCACAGCCCAAAGTCCGCAATCCGCGGATTCCCCCCTGCGCGGTCCACAAGAACGTTCTCGGGCTTGAGGTCCCGGTGGTATACGCCCTGTGCGTGGCACCAGCGCACGCCGTCGACGAGCGCGGCGAAGACCCGCCGCACGAGCCCGTCCTGCTGCTTGTAGCGCCCCTGCAGGATTGCGTGGTACATGTCCCCGCCCGGGGCGTAGTCGTACACCATGAAGACATGGTGCGGCGTCGTGAAGGTGTGGTGGAAAGAGATCACGTTGGCATGCGAGGAGACGAGGCGGTGGAACGTGCGCTCGCGCTCCTGGAAGTGGGCGTCGCGGCTTTCGGGGCGGGGGACGCGGAGGCATTTCACAGCATAGAAGGCGTTGTGGTTGTCGTCGTCAGTGTCGTTGTTGGTGTCATGGTCGTAAGGAGTTGGCGTGGTTCTGGAGCTTATCTTCCTGGCCTTGTAGATCTTGCCGTAGGCCCCGGTCCCCACTACGCGTAGGAGCTCCAGCTGGCCACAGTCGACGACTGCGCCAGTCATATCGGGCAGGCGCTGCGATGGAGGCATGGAGAGAGGAGTGGGAGTGGGAGCCAAGAGGAAGAGCAACGACGGCAGGAAGAATACTCCAGAAGAGCGTAGGGGCCGATTTGAGACCTAGCTTCCGTGGCTTAGTCTCAGTCTCGCATTTCTTCCGCGCTCTTCCGCCTCTCCAATGACAGTGAGACATCGTGCTTCTTGCACAAGTCAGGGAATCGAGAAAGCGTTCGTCGACTACGAGAAGCATCGCATGTTTACAAGTACAAGTAGCGGAAGAGAGTTGGAAGGAAGGTTGTCGGACTGGGAAGGAGTGGGCCCAAGTCACGGTGTTACGTCACATTTCAAGATAGACCGCGGAGCCAGGCCAAAAGTCTTGGAACTACATATGTAATCAGACATAGGGTATGTTCTGTATCCAATGCTCGACGATGCGCTTGGAAAGGGCAGGTTGGTCCTTGGGGACCTTGGCGAAATGAGTCACGAGCACTCACGCCCACAAACAGCACACTCACTGAATGACCGGCCTCCTCAACTAGGATATATGTAAAGCTACCCGCACCCGGACCGATGACCCGCACGGTGGCCCCTTCAGCAGTAGGCCAGGGCACGTCCGGTGCATCCCGAAAGTCTGCTTGGTAGGGTGATTGGATCTCTTTAAGCTACGCGTCTTGAGTATCATTGAAGGATGGACCAAGAACCCGCACGCACGAAAGACAGGACACCCGGCCATGCACAGTTTGCGTCTTGTTTACCTACGAAGTCTGCGACAGAGATGAGCACACTGTATCGGTCGATAGTGCCGCGGACCTACGCAGCAACCGGATCCCAGCCTCGAGCAACGGTGTGTACAGCAGATGCGCTTCCTGCAGACTGCGGATATTGTCAATTACCGACAGCAGATCCAGTCTCAGCGGTACTGACACATCACCAGAGAGCCCAAACGCTTGCGGCACATCCTGAGCGAGAGCGATAAACTCGAGCGACGCCGGCACGTCGAGTTCCTCCCGGACGTGCGCCTCGTTAAAGAACGCGGAGAGCCACGGGAACGTGGGCCCCAGACACGGCCGCTGCGTCGGATCCTCGCACTAAGGAATCAAGTAAGAGGACAACCGAGTGAGCGGCTTGCAAACCACCCACCATTCGTCGCACATCCTCCAGGAGCACACCGTGCGTGTCGGCCTGGTCCAGTTCTCCACATATCTCACTCGCCGCAACGCGTCGATCGATATCCCAGTGCGGCACCTGATAGGCGTAGTCGATCGCGTCCAGGCATCGAGGGAGGACATTGGTGTAGAGCTCATCACAGGTTGTTGTGTTGTACATGTGTTTCACGTGGTGGCAGCGGTAATGCAGCAACCATGTAAAGTGCGATCGCGCGCTCTGAAGCGTCTCCGTGTGAGCATAGGCATAAGCAGGAGTGACAATCCAACACACCGTGAAGGGGTTGACGAGCATCATCGATTCGAGATTGATGTGGACTGCGCCTGGCTGGCCTTTCCGTTGCGCGACGAGGAGGTTCTGCTCGTGGATCACAGTCGCGATGTGCGGCACGTACGTGCCACCGTACGAGCCTCCAGAAACGACCAAGGGGTTTCTTCATACAGTGAGGAGGAGCTCAAGTGCAGGAACGAGACGTACTTGGCGAGCTGCGGATACAGCCGGAAGAACTTTTGCAGAAAGTCGTACACATCGAATGCCGCCTTGCGGCTGTTGTCCACATGCGTCCCGTATGAGAATCCGGCACCGATGGGGTGGTCGAGGGCGAGCAGGTTCATGTGTTCTGCAGGCCTGAGCAAAACGAGCTATCGCCGATCTTATCGCTCACCGGTCCAGCGATTCGGGTTCGGAACCGTCCCGTTTGCAGTGATCAGACACGGACCCGACGCAACCATGGGATTGAGCAGACCGGTCACCCCAGGTCCGCCGCCGACGGTGAGGCTGCGCCGCGTCAATCAGCCAACGTAAAAAGATATGGGGGAGAGAGCGCACATGATAGGCGCGGAAGCCGCATCGTTCTCAGCCTCGAAAAACCTGCGCAGCGGGGTCAGTCGTCATTCCCTTACCGCAATCACACGCTAAGACGACACACCAGAAGAAAGAGCGCTTCGGATCAGCGTCAGAGTCGCCCGCCAGCCCGATATGCCCCGCGTGCGACACGGAGGGACCGTTCACTCCCGCGCACAGACCGCGCGGCTGCGCGATGTGGGAGAAGAACGGCGGAGGGCCGCCGCGGGAGAGGTGCAGCCACGCGACGAAGACGCCACCGCAGACTAGAAGCCCTGCGCACGCGAGAAGCAGGAGGTGGGTCAGATGTCTTGTGGACTCCCGCTTGGAAGCAGGGTGGGTGCTGGGCAGGAGCGGGGTGGTCGAGTCGGGTTCTGCCTCAGACATCTCGCGCGTGAGTTGTGCACGATAGGCAGGAGAGAAAAGAGGGAAGAGGCGGGACTATAAATGCCACCGAATCGCGTTCCATGCGGTTGTGCGCAGCAATTATGTACGGGGCCTTGGTCACTGGAGCATACCCTCGATCACATCGTTCCGAAATGATTTCACCAGGCTCCCGTCTAGTCGTCCCGTCCACAGCCACACTCGCACATAAGTGGCATCATGATGATCAATTGATCGATCCACCACTTTGTCCAGCCCTGCCCAGGCTTGCCAGATCTAGACACGCGTTCTCCGGAGCGCACCCGCTACCGAATCCTTATTCGGTCCTCGATCCAGAACTCATCTCTCGAGGAACTTCATGCTCCAGCCGGCTCCGATTTTCGTAAAAACATAGGTAGTCGACATTATTGCGCAACCTCCTCCGCCCTTGCCAGGACTGACGAACTACAAGAGGCTTATCCACTTATCTAGTAGATCTCAGACAACGATAAGCCTGAATACGCGGCCGATAATGGCGCAAAACAATGCCAACGACCCGATGCGCAGTCCTGCAACAGATGACTGCCGGGCCTGGATTCCTCACGAAGTGTGGGCATGAACTCAACTGTGGGAAGCGCGGACGCCGGGCATGAATGGATCCACTGAGGTATCCGTTGCGAAAGTTCTGGTTCGAACGCGGTAATGAGGCGGGAGATCAAATTCCGCAACATTGAAGACGAAACGCAGATTTTGAGAACATGTTAAAGTCAAATTGCGTGAGGATTAGAGCACAGGATCTCAGCTTCAAATTCCAAGCCCCTGAATAAAAGACCGCGTGTACACTGATTTGCCTACGAGACATCCTCACGCAGACGGTTTGACTTCTTTGCAGCACGCAGACAAATTCGAGATCGAAGGACCAGTCTGGTTCACACACGACGAGGAAGCAATGCCGGCGAAAGCCAAATTCCTTTGGCACGAGGAAGATATATGCTCGAGGGAGATATATGCTCGCTTATCTCGGTGAAGACTGGTGTCCCGCAGCTGCTGGATCTGCCGGCGCGTGTGCCGCTTGCGCAAATTCGCCGGCTACTTCCTAGGTGCTCGATTTCCCGAGCCGCCGCAGTCGACGCAGGCACTTATCGGCTGCCCAGCACGGACCTAGAAGGAACGAGACGCTTCAAAGGGGACAACCGTGTTTCGGTCTTGGGCAGCTGGTTCGGGTTCCGGTATGTACAAAACCCGAACGGTGGCATCAGTCCCGGCATTAGCGGACCTGAATGAAATCACGTTAAGCGTTGACGGGGACCTTCCTTCCTTACCTACCGCACTCCCCCCTGTGCTAACTTGTGTAATTTTGCTCACCGAAATATGTCCGGGGACACTCCAGGATCGACAGGCCTTATGCAAAGCGAGTGGTCCCGGAAAGCGGCAGTTGTATGTTGCTTAGCATCCCATGTGTCGCGGTTGGCTTCAATTTGGCCCCGTGTCCCTGGATCACTGAGGAGCAAATGATTTGACGTGCAGTGATCGTATCACGTGAGTCTCCTGATGCGGGCGAGCGAATGGCCATTTGGCGTTCCAAGCGTAGGCATTGGACAGCTAGGAAAATTGAATGAAAGTGTGCAGATAGAGAATGGAACTGGATAATCTCTGAAGATACCCCAAAGAACACAAGTCAGAAGTTTCGATTCCTTGTCACCGCGGACCTGACGTACGCGGGGGTCGTCGTAAGCTAGACGCCATTCCGACACACAGGACAGGAGGAGTAATTCTCGGTCTTTCCGACTCAGCGAGACATATCCCATTCGGCGCTTCGAACAGCAGGGCGGCGAATTGGGAACTGGAACGGTTGGCAGTCTGGGCGGCCCCAGACCGCGCGATGGACAGCTCGCCGAGTCAGGAAGCCCGGTCGGATTCCGTCCTGCTAGCTTGCAATCAGGTTCTTCATACTCGCAGACCGACCACCGCTCTGCCGGCACACACGAATCCGAGAGCTATATGTACAGAGCCCCGCACAGGCCCCGGATCTCTCAACCGGTTTCGGTCAGACTCACTCACACTCGCAGTCCCAATCCCCCTCGACCCTCACACCACTCTCACACCACGCTCTAATCACCCACAATGCCCAACACAGGCCTCGCCCCCGCCCGCCCGCACGCGAACTCCGTGCAATCGCGGACGCAGGACCCACAGCGGACACTGCACGTCGGCGACCGCGTCTGGTTCTGGGACGGCTGCGGCAACATGAACCAGGGCGTCGTCGAGTCGGTGCAGAGCGCAACGGACAACAGCGCGGACATGTGCGGCGTGCGCATCGGCCGCCAGGATAAGCTCTTTCTTCCGTGCGTGATTCATCCCGCACCCGCGTGTGTGCTCTCGCAGCTGACTGGGATTTGTGGCACTGCAGGTCCGCGGTTCTGAGTAAGCTGCAACCGGGCCAGAAGGCAAGATGAGGGAGGCAGGAACGGGGATGAGGGCGCGGGACAGGGGCCAGGGCAGCTAAGAACGCGGGCCGATGTTGCTGAGCCACGAAGCATTGCACGGACCGCATGATACTGCGACGATGACTTGCTGTACAAGCTATGACTGTATGATGAGAAGCAACAAATCGGAATCGCGAACGTGTATTATGATCCGATCATTCAGACCTAGAGTAGTTGCCGCTCCGTGCCGTGCCGGTGGACAATCAAGACACGTCCTGGAAATATAGCATCCCTGACTAACAGGGCGGCCTGGGGAGTGGCTCATAGAAATTAATGTACCGCGGTTTTGAATATAATTATGTCCGTCCAAGCACAGCTGTCGCTCGAAAAAATAAGCTTGTTCATAATGCCAACAAACTTGTTGGTAATGCCGTAGGGAGGCGACCCCAGTCACATGTTGCGCGGCACGTGCTTGGTTGAAGCGTTGAATCTTTTTTGGCCCTCATGAACAAGTCCTTGGTTGACCTTCCGGCCGTCCTTGTTTCAAATTCCATGTCATCGCAATCGATTTATTATACATTTATCATCTTCGTGCCGCATCAATAATCTCCAAGCAGAACATTGTCTATGATATAATCCATAGCCTCGGCGCGGAAATTCTGCGTGACGTCAAACCTCACCCATAAACGTAACATAAGCAGCAGAAGACTCACATCTTTCTCCAACGCAGATCCCTGCGTCTGCCACACAAGCTGCTGGCCGCCCTCCGAGTACTTCGGCCACGCGATCTTGGACGTAACTGTGCGCAAATAAGTCTCAGAAATAAAGCCATGCGGGCAGAGGAGACACCCACCCTTCGCGTTGTTCGGATCCCCAGTGGCGATGAATGCCGCCCACGAGCGCGACATGTAGAATCCCAGGAACCGGTCCGCGACGGGCGCGCCGGGGCCGAGGTACGTTGCGGTGAAGTGGTTTTGGACCCAGAATGCTGTGTCGTTGTTTTGGGAATTGAACGAATACGCAACCTGAGTCAGATCAGAATCGTTTCAGAATGCGTGGGGAGGACCTGGAGAGAGAGAGAGAGAGAGAGGAGAACAGACCTCGACAAAATGGCCGACGAAATCTTCGACCGAGAAGGAGACCGAGTATGGGATGTGGTTGAATCTGTAATGGTAGACACTGAGACTCGGTCTCGCGTGGAAAATCAAACACACGCACCGGTACTTGTAGAACGGAACCTGATGTGCGACCGTCTGTCCTACGAACCGCGGTCCACTGAATGATAGATGAATAACATCCAAATCCAAACGGCCATTGAACTCACGCATATTCCATAACGTCGCCCACAATCGCACTGACGCGCTTATTTTGAGTTCCCGGAGTCGCAAACAGGCCATTCTGCACAGGGTCGAGTTCAAACGGCCCCGTGTTGAAGGGGGAGCCTAGTTCCGGGTTGTCGGGATACAGCTCGAGCAGACGAGACCGGAACTGCGCGGGCACAACCGTGAGATTGTTGTACGCGTCGGCTGTCGTGTTCGCGCCTAGTCTCGCGAACGAGCGGCCCTCGTCAGTGTTGCTTCCCGTCTGTAGTGATCGTGCATCAGTCATCGCTAGCGATATACTACATACAATGCGCGCACCAAGAAAGCGACCTTCACCCACTTCCCCGTCTTGTACGACTGGTACACGCTGGGAGTCTGGATAAAGTCACCGTCGCGCACGATCCCCGTCGTCCCGACCGAGTGGTTCCGGAACGCGTCCACAGGGAGGCCCCGCACGCACGCGAGCTGCGCGGCGGCGGTGCCGTTCAGAGTCGACGCGCACGTCGTGTTGCCGAGCAGCGCGGTGAACGTCGCCTGCAGACCCGCGTCGGTCGGCTGCGGGAACCGCGAGCCAGAGCCCGATTGGGGGATCGCTTGGGTGAAGAGCTTGTCATCGCGGCCGCCGTAGGCGACGATCTGGGTGTGCACGCTGTTGGAGCCCGCCTGGTATCAAGGTGCAGTAGTCAATATGTCAATCAGAGGGGCGTTTCGGCTCGACGCACACTCTGCCCGTGGATGGTGACCTTCTTCGGGTTCCCGTTGAATTTCGCAATGTTCTCCTGCACCCAGTGGAGCGCCAGTCGCTGGTCACGTACGCCCAGGTTCAGCGATCCCTCGTCTGCGAGCTGCTTTCCTGCTAGGAATCCGAACGATGCGAGTCGATAGCTATCGTTTTGATTAGGAAAGCAGTCCTCGGTATCGAGAAGCAAAGGCACTGACTTGATGCTGACAAAGACGATAGGCGCGCCGTTGGCGATGGAGGCTTGAACCAAATACGAGCCGTTGTATCGGAAATCCGCCTGTGATATCGAGCTCAGGGTTTATCCCGCACAGTTTAGATCAACGAGAACACTGACACTGCCTCCCGTGAACTGAGTCAAGTCAGCTTTTAAGCCCGATTGAAGGAAGTTAGAGTCTCACCAGACCACCGCCGTGGACTTGGTGGTGTAATGTATCAGCCTGGAACAGAAGTACACGGGCCGCGATACGCACTCCACACATCCACCGGAAACGGCCCCTTCTGTGTGACATTCGTAGGCTGGATGACATTGAGCGTGAGGCAATCCTCCGAGTTCTGAAACCCGCTGTTGTCGTCCTGGATCAACTGTGAGCAGTCTCATTAGGAAGGCTTGTGGGTCTACGAACGAATCCGGTCGTGAACGCCGACCAGCAATGGGGGCCGTATGCCGTCGCATCCAGCGTCCCAAACGAAGCGTTGCTAAAGCACAGCTGAGACAAGCTGAAGATGCAGGAGTTTCACAGAACGCACATGGACCGCGGAGGCCGCAACCTTAGCTCGCCCACGGGCGGCTGCGCATACGGGATGCCCAGGAAGAGATTCTGGTTCAACTCTGGGAGAGTCACACCGCTAGCGAAGCACCTCTCAGTCTCTCGTGGCGGGGAATGAGTAAACCGCACGCACCGCACAGTCCCGTTCTGAATCGTCACGGCCGGCTGGCTCGCCCCCACCGCTGCCGCTGCCGCCAGTGCGCAGACGAAGCTCAGTCGAGAGAACATGTGGGGAGAGGAATACCCCCAAAACGGAGGCGAGCTCGGCTTCTTATATGTTGTCTCATTTCCCGGGAACGATCATCCAGAGGAGGAAGCCCGAAGCGCCGGTTTGCGGGCGGGGGCATCACGCGCCCGCGTCAGGTGATGATGGATGATGTCACCATCTGATCTCGTACTGACGAATAAATCTTTGTAGGCTTCTGCGTCGTCATGCGGGCTTTTGGACCGGGTCTTGACTTTCAGTAAACTCCTGTCCGGGCACCGATAGTTGTGAGAGTGAGCTGTGCGAGCCGCGATAAAGTAAAGCAAGTCGCAGGTTCAAGTTCGCACGGTTGGAGTTCGTGGTTGTTCCTTCCAAATAGCGTCAGCTGGCGTTTCTCTAAGAACTTGGACACGGTATTCGGAATATCAGAAAGTCTGGCGCGAGTGTGAATTTGCCCTCCGGCGTGCTACAACTTTTTCCCGCTCGAAGTTGAACTACGCATTCCCTTGGCGGTGAACAAACCGCGTGACTGAGAGTCGCTTGTCAGGAAATTTGGCTGTGATTTGTAAGCAAGCATCTGTTAAAGAAGTACTGTATACGACACCCAAGTGACCATTACTTATGTCAACCCAGTCCTTGGGTGCTTTTCGGGTGTCTCCGGGCACCACAGGAAGCCTTCAACTGCAACCTGGAACGGTACAATCGATTGTGCATGCACAACTTGATCATCAAACACCCTTTTTGCCTTCGCTGCCTAGGTCCTAACGAGATTGAATATCCATTCTAGGGAGAGCAGAGCGCACATATATACAGACCAAAGCAGTGAAATAGGTTAGACAGACTCAGATATCCTCAGCCAACCAATCGACCTCTACCTGACACGGCAATGAATCCACGCATGACCTCATCTGCCGGAGCGTCGCGACGCGATCGTAATTCGCAGCTGAGCAATCAGCTTTCGTGCACACCGCCGCCCAGCAGGCCTTGCTCTCTTCCCACGCAGCCATCCCGCCCACCGGCACGCCCAGCATATCGCCCAACGGGCGCGCCTCCATCTCCTTGAACACGCGCGCCTTGAGCTCCCGCCAGCTGCGGTTGTCGAGCGGCGTCGTCGCGCACGTCGCACAGAAGAACGGCGACCCGTTCCCCGCAAGGAACCGCTCCGGGCTGTCCAGCAGCGCACGCAGCGTGTCGCGCCGCGTGCGGTGCAGCGCGAGCAGCGGCAGCAGCGCGCACCCGGGGATGTCCGTGTCCGCGAGCGCGTCCGGCGACGACGGGTTGAGCAGGTTGAGGCGCAGCGTGTGCGTCGACGCGGCCTGCGCCTCCGCGCGCCAGCCAAAGTGCGCCGCGAGCGCGTACACGCGCAGCGGGTCCGACGCGAGGAACGCGGGCGTGCACACCGCGGGGCGGAGGAACGCGATGGGCCCCGGGGCGTCCCAGATCTCCGCGAGGTGGAGCACGGCGGCGATGTCGGCGAGCGTGGGGAGGGCCGGTTCCGGCAGGCCGGACATGAGGCAGAGCAGGGGGACGAGGACTGCGTCTGGTTGGTGGATGGCGAGCGGAGGGTGCGTGGGCGTGGATGTGGGTGTGGATGTGGTGCGTTGGGAGGGGTCTTGTGAGGGGTCTGGTGGGCAGGGGAGCGACAGCATTGTCCGGAATAGCCCGCACGTTGTGCGGAGGGTGTACGAATTCACCCGGTAGAGCGTGCCCTCCAGCGACTCCAGCACGAAATCATCATCCTCCCTTGCGAACTGTTCGTGGTAGATTGGCAGCGACGAAGGCGGAGGCGACGATGACGGGCCTGCTTGGTCTTCCCCTCGCTTGTGGACGTCGGTGTCGTGGACTTGGGGAGCAGCCATGAGGTCAGCACTGCAGTCGGATGGTAGCAGGGTCGCAGTCAAGTCCCTTGGGGCTCCCTCGCACACTTTTTAGACCCTACGGCAGGCTAGCCTACACGCGGTCCTCGAGGCAGGACACGCGTCATAAAAACCGACACGTGTGATGTCGCCACTCTGCTGCAGACGTCGGGAAGGGAAGGCGTGGGTATTCGCATATCGAGACCCCCCAGAAGGCCCAAGGGCCCGGCAAGTACTTGCTGGCCCGCATCCCTGGATGGTGCAATCAGAGGTGATTATGCGACGCTGCCGGAATCCCGGCTCGTCCTGTCTTCTTCGGGTGGCCGTTTGGCGAGGGTGACGAGCCCACGAGTATCACAACAAAGACGGCCATCTTGTAAGAGTAGGGTGAGAGAAAGAGTGACCGCTCGGAACATGCCCCTCGCACACTCTATGTATGTGATTTGCACGAGAGAGCAGCAGGTGATCAATGTAAAACGTAAGTATCAAAGAGGGTTCGTCACGTGTGATAAAGTATGCGGGGAGACAGCGATGTCATTGAATCCCGTTCAAATCATCGAAAGATATTTTTCAACACAGTCCGCAGCCCAACTCGAGTTGCGGTATATCAGATCCACATTATTATCATTATAAATATTGTCATCACCATCTCCTGTTACATGCTAGTTTTTTCCTTACGGCAAACCTCAAATACATATTGAATTGCTTTCGTCTTGCTGGTGGCAATGTACAACACTTCCGAGCAAGAAGGCCCGTTATGGTTGCTTTGGGGGACCTCAGGACTCAGCATGGTGTCATCTTATCTGCTTGATAGACCGATATCTTTTGAAACCCTGTGGTCACTCGTTAGCTGCTCATGATTGCGATGAACCAATGTGGAATACCTCAAGGTAAGATTAAGCGAAAAAAGTTGAAGAAAATATCTGTCCACGAAGGACGATAACGATTGCCCAGCTTCTGACGTCGCGATTAGGCAACAAGAGCGAGCGTGCAACACGATTTTCCACTCAAAGCATAAATGTTCAGCAAGCAGTGAACACTACAGAAGTCTCGACTACCAACTTATCAGTGCTAGATTCTTGTGTTTTACTTACGCGAGTCCGACTGTCCGAGATACAAGAAGCTGATGTCTGCCCTCAAAGGGAGAGGGGCGAGACGAACCAATCCTGGTGGTTGTTGCTGTTCGATGGGGACGCACAACCCCAGGTTTGGATCTAGCCCAATCAGCACTTCCATATGAAACCAAGCAATTCGATAAACTCACCGGGTTGCGGCTCACGAGACTGCCGTCGGTCAGATCCACACACTTGTTCTTTCCAGCCCAGACGAGCTGGTCACCGTTGTTCGTGAAGATCTGGTTCGTGTTTCCCGGGGTGCACGTCCAGATCTGCAGTTTCGTGCCGTCGGCGGTCGATCCGCCCGTGACGTCGAGACACTTGTTGTCGTACGTCGTGATGGGGCCGGTGAAGCCCTGCGACGGGGCCGTCCAGGTGATGTTACCGTTGGGGAGCTCGATCGCGAAGTCCGTCTCGAGGCAGCCGACGATCACGACCGCCGCGCCGTCCGCGTTGGACACCGCGGCCATGCAGTGTGCGACCGTGTCCGTGGACGAGACTGGGAGAGCGCGCGAGGGGTGAGCGAAGCTGTCATGCGGGGCGGTGTCGTTGTGGACTTACCGACGGTCGTGAGGACATTCGAGACGAGTCTCGGGTTGGGCAGGGCCGTCCACTGCTGGTTCGTGTTCCGGAACGCACACGTCCAGAGTTGCAGCTGCGTCCCGGGGGTGCCGTTCCCATCCGTGAGGTCGATGCACATGTTCGTGCCATTCAAGCGCAGGGTGCTGTCGGTCGCGGAGATCCACTGCTGGTTGGTATTTCCCGCCGCGCACGTCCAGATCTGCAGCTTCGTGCCGTTGGCCTTGACGCCGTTCGTGACGTCGATGCACTGTTATGGCACGGATCAGCAAAGATGGGAGAGGCGCTGAGTCGTGGAAGAACTGCCCACCTTATTACCGAATACCTTGATCGGCTGGGGGCCGGAGTTCTGGCGCGTGAATGGCGAGAACGACCATTCCTGGCTCGCGGGGCTGTTCACGGTGTCGCAGTTGTCGATGACCAGGGCGGCGCCGTCCGCGTTGGAGGAGGCGGTGATGCACTGGCCGCCGGCAGGGGTGGCGACTGTCGCAAACAGACGCCCGCGTCAGCAGACCGTGCATCTTCTGGGAGTTCGCTTACACCGCTCGATGATGAGGCCCTGCGCAACACTAGTCAAGAGCGCGGTGAATACAAGAGAGAAGAGCATTTGAGAGAGGAGGAGGAGGTGATGGACTAGTCTGTGGAGCGCGTCCGAATTATATAGTGGCCCACACAACCCGGACCTTGTCGCAGCCGGGGACAGTTGCCCGCCTCTGATCGTAAATTCGTTGAAATTCCCTCCGTGTTTTGATGAGCATCAGGCTACAGGGACGAGTGCGCAGATTAAGTACTAGAGATTGGTGCCTCCCGTGCGGAAACCTGGCAAGGAACCGGTGTGCCAAGCTGATGCGGATGATGGTATTCGTGAGGGTCCGGGGATCAAAGGCTTAGTCAGCTGAATGAAGGGCTAAACCACGGCGGCACCATGACCTGGCAGTCCGGGTCAATTCAATTGCTCACATCCCGGGCTGGCATCGCCGGGCTCGTATCTCGACACCGTCGGAAGCGGGATTCGTACAGTCCGGGGTCGAGAACGAATCCAAGTTCCCAGTGTCAGGCAGCTCGGCCCTGGCCCCTTCAAATGGGTACCCTGATCAACGAAGGGTTCATGATTCCTCAGACGGATCATCCTTACATCACTTGTGCCTTGAGCTCACTCCTCAAGCAAAGCGAGATAGTCAACGAGCAACTTGGCCTCTGAGAGAGCAACAGTCTTTTGAATCGACTGCCTTGACAGGCATCTCGTATTCTTCCGGTACCTCGTCGGACTGCTTGCTTGTTCCTCCCCCAGCATCGATTGAAACTCGCCTTGTGCTAGGTCGACAAACGGATTGCTCGATGCGGAGGGGGGAGTAGCCAGTTGCCCGCCAGTGTAGAGCGTATTAAAGGAGGGCGGGATGAACCTCAACACCTCATCCCAAAGACTCAACTCGAGCTCAACACTCATTTAAACCTCTCAAATCGAGCTCGCACTCTCATAACACGCAAATATGTTCCGAGCTAACCCCCAAACCAACATTTCTTCATCCTATATTCCTGATAGCACACCCAAAGTGTGTGCGATGGCGGTTACCGAAGCCCAGAAGGCTCCCTCCGTCACCGTCAGCAACGAGGCGATCGTCGGTGCGGTGGGTGGTGTGCCTAGGGTAACCGGCGCCGAAGCCGTCGTCGGCAAGCTCGACCAGCTCTGGGACAGCGGGGCCGTAAGCAGCTGTCCACAATCCACAGAGAGACTATACGACTCACAGAACCGCTCTCCAGACCATCACCTACTCGTATCTCAACGGCACGCCCGCCCAGCAAGCCAAAGTCGACGGAGCCATCCTCGAGTGGTTCCCTTACGCAAATATCACCTTCCAACGCGCTCTCGCCGGCATTCTGCGCATCTCGTTCAACACCCAGCAAGGTTCCTGGAGCTATGGTGTGTGCTCATCTCCTCTTGTTCGTGGTGTGGAATCCGCTGATCATTCCTCGCAGTCGGCCTGGAAGCACTCGAGGTTCCGAAGAATCAGCCTACTCTGAACCTCGGATGGGTTTCCGATTCAGCGCAGACAACGCAGGAAGAACGCGGCCTGATCCTGCACGAGTTCGGGCATGTCCTCGGCTTGATGCACGAGTGAGTGACCAAGACTGGGCGGCAGACTATGACGCTGATCGCGATTGACCCGACAGACACCAAAGCCCAGCACACGGCGGCGCAGTCACTCTCGACGCCAACGCAGTGCACGCCCACTTCGCCAGCAGCCTCGGGTGGAGCGCCGACATGACCAAGACGCAGGTCGTCGACCACTACAGCACCACGAGCGTGTCCAATTTCCCCGCGGTCGACCCAAGCTCGATCATGGCGTACTTCCTGCCCCCTGCGCTCAACGAGCAGCGCGTGCAGATCCCCGCGAACGTGAGTCTGTCGGAGTCCGACAAGGCGTACATGGTTCTCGCGTACCCGCGCCCCAAGCCCCACGCGCTGGCGCCCAACTGGACACTCGAGCGTGCGCTGCAGGTGTTCGGTGCGGATCCTGAGACGGCCCAGGGGATCCTGTCGGCGCGCGGGGACGTGCTGAAGATCCGGGCGCTGTTCCTCTCGTTCCTCGTGCAGAAGCGCACGGGGCTCGAGACGCGTATCAGCACGGATGGATTCGAGAGCGACGAGGAGGAGCGGAGCGGGACGATGGAGTTCGTCCGCAAGGAGGTCGAGGTAGAGGAGCCGGTCGAGATCGTCGCGCCGTCGCCGTTCGTTCCGCCCATCCACGACTTTTATCTCCAAAACGGGCCGGCGAACGTGGTGCCGCCTGTCCCTCTGTCTGCGAGTCCACCTGGCCGATCGCTTACAGCGGCCTTCTATGCAAAACAAGAAGTTGTGGAACCCATACAGACTGTCGTGCCGCCTCCGGAACCAGTCGTCGTCGCGCCGCAACCCGCCGTCGTCATTCCAATCCCGGTGGTGCCTGCAGAGGAACTCATCGCAGCCACTGAAGTTCTTGCGTCGATCCCAGAGCCAGCTCCAGCTCCAGCCGTCGTCTTCGTGCCTGAGCAAGAGCCGACCGCTGTTCTCACAGCGGACCCACAAGACGAAGTGGCCCTCGCGCCGGTGCAGGGCGAAGAGTCTAGGCCTTTCATGGAAGTAGAACCAGTCTTCCAAGCCCCCCTCACTGTCCCCGCTCAAACTCGCCCGCGCGGCATGTCGCTGGTCGCCACCACGCGCAATCGAAAGCGCAGCATCGTCGTGACTGAGATCCCGAGACCAGTGCTCCCAGCTATCGAAGCGGCTGCTCCTGAGATCAGACCCGTCGTTTCTGTGTCCGAGCCGGCGATTGTTCCTGCAGCTGAAGTCGCCATCGCCGAGCCGGTGGTGCGGACGAAGAGAATCTTTGTTAAGAACAAGAAGGTCGGGCGGACCGAGCCGGTGGCGGTGCCGGTCGTTGCCGAAGTCCTTCCCGAGCCGGTCGTGGTCGAGACACCATGCACTGAATACCTTCCCACCCTCACCAATGCGCTTGAAGAGGTCTTCCCCGCCGAGGAGGGACAGACTTGGAGGCTTCAGACGAAGGGCAAGGTGATCGACCCCGCTGCTTTCGTGTGGGACACCTCTCTCGCTGCCGCTGGAATCGATGCGCAGTGGATGAAGCCAGACGAGGTGGCCGAGGCCGAGGCTAGCATTGTCGATCTACTGTTTGGAGGAGAAACCGAGGACGACGAGAAGACTCTCAGCTCTGTCTACGAACAGGTACGGTCTGGCCTCCTCACCTCTTTTGCACAGGCTCATTCGTCCGTCGCAGATGCTCTACAGCCTCGTCCCCAAGCCCGTTCACAGTCCGCTTCAGGAGCAGCAGGACAAGATCCGCCAGTGGCTCCAGACCGAAGTCCCCGTCTCCCGGTGGCAGCTGGCCACGGAGAAGACCAGTGCAGACGCCGTGCGATCGGAGACCAAGATGTCGCGGCTCGAGCTCAGCGAGTACCTGATGGATCAGTACTCTGCTGCTAAGCAGGCTTGGGAGAGCGAGAAGGCGCTGCTGATCAAGACGCTCGCTTCGGTGTGTGCCCTGCGACTTTCATTGTCTCGGTCGCTGAAGGATAGACTCACAGACCGACCGCACCGACATCAAGGAACGGGCCCGCTCGATCGCACAGCTGAGTGTTGCGCGGGAAAAGGAGATCGCTACGAAGTACCGGGACGCGGTCGTCGGTGGAGACATCCACCGCGTCAAGGAATACATCGCGTTCTTGGACATTCCAATCAATGCTGCAGCTCATGCTTTGCAAGTGAGTCCATCCTCTTGATTCTGCGAATATACCTAAGTGCGATATGTAAGGACGCAAAGGAAATCCTCCGCGAAAGCTCGTCGGTTTCCCTTCCGACCGGGGAGAAGGTCTACCCCGTCCAGCTCGCCCCCGTCGACTGGTTCGCTTCGCTCCCCACGTCGTTCACCCAGCAGGATCTCTCGAACCCCACCGAATCTGTTGGCGGCGCTGATGTCCGTCCGGTGACGCCGGTGAGCAGTGCACCGATTCAGAGTCTGCTTCCCGCTGTGAAGCTCGATGCACCCAAGGGTCGGTGGGAGGACATTGTGCTCGAGAACGTGGTGAGTGAACAACGCTTGCAATGGCGGAAGATCACATCCTGACTGTTCTCTAGCGATCGGACACTCTCTGGAGCGTCCCGTCTACGACTATCAAAGAGGACCGCATCGACGTGGCCTTTCGGGCTTCCAAGGTCGACATCGATCGCAGCGCCTGGTTCAAGCCTCAGATCTTCAAGGACGACCAGTCGCCCTTCTACAAGGTGATGAATGATGCTCGATTGCTCCCCGCTGGTTACTGAGTGTTCCCAGATGGACCAGTCAACTGCCCTCCCTTCCCAAGCCGGATATGCAGCCTCCTTCATTGTTGCGAAGGACATCGTCGTCCGCGTGAAACATACCGACATCGCGCACGACCTGATCAACGCGATCAATTCGTCCTCATTGCTGTCCTTCGCGTATTCCAAGTACACGGACAGCTTCCAGCCGCATGGAGATGGATTCCTCGTCAAGATTCCCGGACCGCAGGTGTGCTTGATCGTCTCCAGCCGAGTGTGTTGGTACTCACGACTGCTCTTCAGGTCATCGGGTACATCGTCGAGCCGCTGCACACGACCGCCGGCACTGCGCTCGTCCCCGCCGATTTCACGGTCGACGTGCCAGCCCCAGATCTCATCCCCCGCGTCGAGCACGTTCACCACCGGCATGCCCATGACACATACCACGCTGTTTTCCCAGGGGTGAGACTCGTGAAGGTGGACGAGAAGTCGGAGTGCGCCACGTGCCATCCCTCCCCCCGAAATCATGACAGCAACTCGAGCTCCAATTACGCAGCGCTGCCGGATGCTACCAAGAGTACGGCCAAGTCCGAACGCGCTGATCCCGAGGAGCAGAGGATGCCTGAGGAGCAAGGGCGGGATGTCCGAGCGAGCTTTGGGCTGGATGATAGCGATCGCTTCTTCTAGACTCGATACTGTTTCTTCTTAGGCTCTGGTTCCAAAATGCATTTCCGATGAGGTGCCCGTGATTCACTATCCCGTCGATGTTGAATGGACGGAGCGATGAGAGGACGGGTTCGAAATCAGAGAGACAGTCATCGAAAAGAATGGATATTCGATACTCTGCTCGTGGATACATTGCAACTATAGAAAACACCCGAGCCCAAGAATTGAGGATGATCGGCCTGGGGCCGGATATGAGCAAGTTTCGACGATGGATGATAGGCTTACAAGTACCAAATCCGAGTCGATGAGATAGCACTATCAACTGCATCGACCCTTCTTCTGTCGCACATGTCCCCCCTGTGCGCTCTGCTCTACTTTGCGGCTCTCTGATTGGCCCTCATCCTTGTATTGCCGCTTCCCCTCTGCCCACCTCTCAGCAGTCGATTGCGCGCTCGCAGGCTGCAGAGATAAAGCGATCCAGTGGCACGCGCGGTCGATGTTCAGATTGAATGACAGGTCGTTGTGCGTTGCGATGGACGAGTGTGCGGGGACGGTGGGTGGAATGTCAAGCGGAGGGGGCTGGACGAGCGCGTCTGACATGAGATGTGTGGAGGACGTTTGATAGCTTGGCAGGCCTTCAGGTATTTCGATGTGTGCGACCGGGCTGTGAGGAGGATGACAGCATTCGCGTTCAGCGATGACTTCTTATATCGGAGTGGAAGAGGGAAGACGCTCTCCTAGCCGTCTCGGGACGGCAGGTAACCTTCGGGAGAGCGATGTCCCGCATCGATCAAGTTCCCGACCTCAATACAAAGTAAAGCCGATCCCGACGCAACGCCATGCTCGGCACGACACAGCCGAATAAAGCAACAATTCTATACAACCACCAAACCACAGACTAGAAATACAGATCCAACACCACGTGATAAATCCTCGTTCCGGGCAGACCGTATAGGGAACGAAGGGGAAAGGAAGACCGAAATAGAGCTACAGTGCACGAGCGCAAGCTCGAGTGCCAAAAGACGAAGGCAGGTGCCAGGGCTTTGGGTGAATCTGACAGCATGTCAGTAACAGCGCCAGATAGTCTGGAAATCTGGACACACCATATGACGGGGAATTATATGCAATGCATCAATCGGCACCCGCGCTCCTCCTCGACCACCGTCGACTTGGGCTGGATCGGTGCAAACCCGCGAGCCTGTGATGCCCATCAGTAAATGCTCTCCAAAGCCAGGGTGTAGGCATACCTCAGCACTCGGGTCGACAGAGTCCGCAGATATCGGTGCCGCGGAGACAGTCAGGGCAACTGTAAAACGAAGCATGAGCATCGAACTGCTGAGGGCGAAGCAAGCCGGTCACGCGTACCAATCGACAGGACAAGAGTGGCGAGGAATTTGCAGTGCATCTTCGATGATATGTGGTGACTGATGGATCGATGGTATCGCAGGAGAACGGCTCGGAGGCTGAGGGATGAGTGACTCGACTGGTTCCAATTCGGGGAGAACAATAAAGACTGGGACGCTCCACTCCAGTTGATAAACCCCCCCAGACAAGGAAACGTCCGAATACGGCCGTTTCCTTGTCCTGTTGACACGCGACGTCACGACGAACTCACCTCCTTCCTTTTCGGGATGAGATTTCCGTTTTGGGAACAACGCAGTCCGGTGATGGCGCCGGGCATGTGTGATCCAGTGCACTTGGCATCGCGCCAGCACCTATCAGCACTGATGGTGTACATGTCTCTTCGCACGATAAAGTATATGTGAGGGGTTTCGTCCGATAACACGATGCGGCTTGTGTTTGTGTGCTGCGATACCCCCACTCTGTGGACTGACTTCTTCCTGAGAGAACTTAGACATAGTGTAAATACATGGGCCATCCTCTCAAAAGCGAGACGATTATCCTGGGCAAGGCCGGCTCAAGGTTTGTCTGGCAACCCCTAGGTGGAGGACCATAGAGAAGTCTACCCTCACTGCATTCCCAGGGTAGGTAGTCCTCACGTGGGCGCGTGGGACCGATTAGTAGCCGAGTGTGGGCGATGATGGGCTAGACAGGTCGACGCACGTGGGCTACCTATATCGGTCCACATCATGGGCGCCCGGGACCGATATCTGGGCTACCTGTGTAGTCTGTCTATGAACCACCGTGGACTACCAGCATCAGCCAATGGCAGATACCGACACCCTCATCTCTCAGCGTCTCATCTTGGCATTTGTTCCTTACGTAATACCACTGTCAACAGTCGTGCTCTCAGATTGATGTCCGAGCGAAGTGTCACTGGGTCATCAAAGGTACTACATAGGAGCCACTGAGGAGCGCAGGGCGCGGGGAGCTGAATAGGCGCCGGGTGAGATGGGATTGGACTACCGTGGGCGCGAACTGGGCTAGACCAGGCTAGAATGTCAAGAATAACCTCAGACGTGGGAGTCCACAGTAGTCATCCGGCGTTACATAAGGGACTACCCAGGAAAGTGGGACGACATAGGACGACATCTGCCGAGAATAGCCGAAGTTGGTAGTCCATGATCTGAGACTACCTACCCTGGGAATGCAGTGCCTAAGGGCGAGTTCCTGTCTTTCGACGAAATCTCGAGTGATCCGAGTGCGAGGAGGAGCGACAACATCTAGATGATTCTTCGGTTCTCTCCCTTCGCCAATCATTCCAACGTGATAGCGAGGCGCGGGATAAAGGGGAAGTCGAGTGGTGACAACGCGATTAGCTCTGCCTCGGCGCGGCCACCCTTGCGCGGGCCATATAGAAGAGTCAACCAACTGTATCGGGCTGACCGTGGCCAGGGTCCTGCCAGGTTCCTTGTCGGCTGCAGCCCTCCCCTGTACCAGCGGTGTAATTCGAGCAACGGAATTCGAGGCAGTTCGGTCACCTCTTATCTGGGGTCGCAGTTTATCTCTCAACTCGCAGTACACATGATCTTGAATCCACGGGTCCTTTAAATTAGCTCAACCGGAAATAATGACTTCAAGGCCGCGAACTTCGTGCATAATGGTATATTTAATTTGCTCACGTGACCTTGGTTGAAAGTAGCACTCCAGCTGATGCTCGAAGTGCGAAAGACACTGGATATGACGGTAGAAAAGGAGCTCATTATTCCAGGCTTCTCAGATGTTTCTACGGGTCCTAACACCCCACACTACGAGCTCCTCCCAAAGGGGTTTGCGGCTCTGCTTTTTTTCGCATAAAATGTAGCATACTCCATGTCATTCAGTCGATTCCAGTTTTCCTACGCTGGTGCTCGGGGACATGTTCCTGGAGACCTTCATTCTGGATGTTTTGTATCACAAACTCTGTGTGCACACCTGGAAGCTTGAATTGAGATTGGCAGTAGCTTTGCCAGGCATCTACTGGACCATTTAAGCGTTCAAGTTGAAATAATCGTCTACAAGTGTTCATCAGACACCGCATCCCGCAGACTTGGCCCAGGAAGGAACAGTTGCAAAGGGAGCCAAATCATTATATTCATGGCCATATCTCCTCTGCGTACTCCCAAACATGGTTTTCTGAATGAATCTGACAGCAGAATCGGGTGGCCATCAGTAAAACTTCTGATATAACCGACCTGTTGGGTGAAGGATAAACGGAACGTGTCAACGACGATATAATCATGCTGACGTCGCTGTCATCGATGGTTTCACGAGGTGGGTGTGCGTCTACCGACGAGATTTTTCTTATCTACGGATCAAGGCTGCATCTACGGTTCTCGAGTGGGCTCAAGGTCTGGCAAGCGTCGGCCGGTCAAAACTTGCTGATGGGGTCCGGTTGTTATGCGTGACTATCACGCTTATGACTTTTTGCTTATTTCCTCCCGCCGACTCGACGCGTGCTTCCTATGATGCGCCCCTCGTTGTCCGCTTTGGCCACCCGACATCGAAATAGACTTTGCTGTATAGAATAGGATCAGTATGGAACATCTATAAATTTTTTATGACCATTCAACAGCGCAAATAGTGTTGTCCCCGGTCGGGTCGGGTCATAGACCGGGTGGGGGCCGGGGTCGGGGTCGGGCTATCTGCGCGACCCGACGACCCGGGTCCAGGAAGCGCGCTATTCTGGATCGAAGCCTGCAAACGTGACAACGCTGTCAATTTTTTTTCGCGCCGCGCAAATAACTTCAATATAACAAGGGTAGCCGGTTGAGGCTTTAGATTGGCTCTAGAGGTTGTGGAAGGAACAGAAACGAAGTTGAGGTCATCTAGGACAGATTCGGTCGTACTTTCACGGTCAACTGCTAGTGCTATTAACGACCACAACCACTATACTATCCTGTGGTCAGTTGTGTACAAGTGTTGAAAGCCAGCCTGCGCATTTGATTCTAATTACGAGATCCCAGTTGCTGACGGAAGGAGTGGCAGCGTCGGGACGGCGGGGGCGACGGAAACGGCAACGACCACCACGTCAGCGTCATAAGTAGGGCGGTCACAGATCTACATTGCCTTGCTTGTCAAGGCACTCTCCAGACCCTATATTCTACAAATCAGATGCAATAGTTCCGTATCTTGATCCGATCAGGTCACGTTACCAATGATGCTTCCCCTTCTATGTATGTACGCGTCTGTTGTGCTCTTATTCACTCTTTACTCTTCTTTTCATACGCTCCCCACCGTGGCTGGCATTCAAAACAGTGTAACTTATAGTTCCATGCACAATGATGACTCTCTTTTGAGCACCCACCTGTGGGCTGTTTTTGTTTCCATTCATGTCACTCTCTAACCACACTGCTCCACATTCCACCACTGCAAACACAAGCGCTTACACCGCATGATGTTGTCTTGCCTCATCTAGTCTCTGCTGGTGGTGCCTGACCTGGACAAGAGCCCAAAGAGGAAGAAGATGAGAGCGTCTGGCGCTTAGTTACAGCTGCACTGGTATTTTATTTGTTTTATTGTGTATCAATTGGATTATATGGATTGAATCGGTGAGCAAGGCATGATGTTGGCGGAGCCAACGCTTTCTAGTCATGGAGTGCCAGCCAAGTCAAAGACCCCACCCACTCAGTGATGGCATCGCTGATTTTCCTTATTCAGACCTTGAGCCCACTCGAGAACTAGAAAGCGTTGGCTCTGCCAACATTATGCCTTGCTTGCTAATTAAATCCATATGATCAAATTTATATACAATAAAACAAGTAAAATACCAGTGCAGTTGTAACTAAGCGCCAGATGCTCTCGTCTTCTTCTTCAGGCTCTTGTCCATATCAGGCATTGCTGGCAGAAACTAGATGAGGCAAGACAACATCATGCAGTGTACGCGCTTGTGTGCGCAATGGTGGCATGTGAAGCAGCGCTGTTAGAGAGTGACACGAGCAGAAACAAAAACAGCCCACAGGTGGGTGCACACTGCAAAAGAGAGTCATCATCATGCATGGAACTATAAATTACACTGCTTTGCCGCGCTATAATGCCAGCAACAGCAGGGAGCGTAAGTACAAAGATAAGAGTGAAGAGTGAATGAGACCATGACATACTCAAGACGAAGGTAAAATTGATCGGATCAGATGCTGGAACAGAGTCCTCTGATTGATGTCATCATTGATGGGATCTGATTGATGCACGAATTTAGGGTCTGGAGAAGCCTTGACAAGCAAGGCAACCGTATGCATCGCATCATGGCAATGACGCTACAAAATCGAACCATACATCGCTAAACGCACGGCTTTAGCTTTGAGGGCTTCTGCTGCAGCAACCAACAGGGCTGCGCAGAGCGTTTCATCGAAGCCGGACTGCACCGCATGTCACGCGTCGCGGGAGGTTGACAACAGCTCTGCACACCGTGCACTGCCGGATGTCACCGAGAGCACGGCGATCTCCGAGCACATTGATGACGAGGCTCACGCGGTTCACGGTTGAGCGGAGAGCTTTGCGGGGGCGGAATGAACGATCTTACTCTTACCAACTTCCTGCGAATTTCATACATATTGTTTTTGCTTTCGTAGTCATATGCATTTCTGATTGATATTCCCGCGGTTCAAATGCGTGAGATGACTATCGAGAACAGCTGTTTAGCTTTTCGAGTAGCAACCAATTGAGCCCCTTGGTCGTTCAAGATCAATGTGAAGGATAGTTGCATCCGCTGGGTAGACAGAAACGCACATGCACATGGCAAGACGGGTAACATACTGAACTGTTTGGGGTCACCGACAGACTGATCTCCGTGGATCAATTATTGATGGCTACTTCTCGTAGGGATATTTACAACTCTATGATGTGTAGGGATGTCGAGTGGACGATGGACCTCTGCCGCTTGTCAAGTGGGACGACGAATCTCCGCCAACTTCGCACTCCGATCTGAGACTGCCGAACATGCAGTCGAGGATTGACACCCATCGATGACCTGCACGTCCAGCAACTGACGGGGTGCCTATCCCGAGCAGGTATGCAAATAAAGCGTGGATAGCGCTGTCTCAAGCAACCCACGGGGCCAAGAGTCGTATTGTGATAGTGATTGCCTTTCATGAAGGCTTTGGGAGCGTGTTGAACGGCCTCACGCTCGTGATGAGGCTTGACTGTTCCCTCGTCCTACCTCCAGCCTTTGCTCTTGCGATCCATGTCTCAGACACTCTGCATTGAAGACCATTCCATGACCTCAGGGGATCGCATGGTCGTCGCGTCGTTCAACATCCATATCACCGACCCCGTCGTCGTGAGGAGATCCCAACAGCCGCACTCCCAGGCCAGTGCCGTCCAGCGCCTTCCCCCCGAGATCCTGGTCTCCATCTTCCACTTTGCCTCTCAGATCGAGTTGGGGGGAGGGTTTCCGACGCCGCCGCCGCCGTGGCAGCACACCCCGACCTACCTCCTCGCCACTATCATCCGTGTCTGCCGGATGTGGCGCGCCGCTGCCACAGGCGACAGCAGCCTCTGGGCAACGCTGCTCGTCTCCGCGGACGCCCCGCACCACGTCACCGTCTTCACGGCGCACCTCGCGCGGGCGGGCCCCGTGCGCGGCCTGCGCCTCGTGCGCTGGGCAGACGGGAACCCCGTCGCCCCGGCGCTCGCGGGCCTGCTCGCGGCGCACGCGCACCGCTGGGCGCGGATCGAGGTGCACGGGCGCGGCAGGTGCGGTGCGGCGGAGCTGCGGTGGCTCGCGCGCGCGCGGTGTGCCGCTGGCGCGCTCGAGGCGCTGGTGCTGGGCTGCCGGTTCACGGACGTGGAGGGCGTGGAGGATGTGTTCTGCGGCGCGCCGGGTCTGCGCCGGGTGGATCTGGTGCCGCGGGACGGGCATAGCTGCTCGCCGCCGTCGCTGGTGCTGCCCTGGGCGCAGCTCACGCACTACTCGGCCCGGTATTCGATGGGGCGGCACCTTGAGATCTTGCGCGAGGCGACTCGGCTCGTTGAGTGCGCTGTTGTGCTGCCCCCTGTCTGCGAACAGCGGGCGTATAACGGGGCTGTCTCGCGGGGCGGGGAGAAGGGGACGGTCTGTCTTCCCAATCTGCTTCAGCTGTCCACGGACGACGCGTCGTTCCTTGGTTTCATCACAACGCCGAACGTGACGCATTTGTCGCTCGAGTTCCGCACACGGGGGACCGCTGAGTGTGCGATGTTGGTGTCTTTTCTCGAGCAGTGCAACCTGCATACACAGCTCTGTGCTCTGTGCCTCGTCAACCTGGCAATCGAGCACCTTCCCGCCATAATTACGTCAGTGCTTCCGTTGATACCGGGCATCCGAGCACTCGAAGTACGGGACAAGAATTCCTGCGCCCAATTCCGTTCGATGGACGCGTTGTTTCAGGCGCTGACCGTCCAAGGGCAATCACCTCCGGTCTGCCCTCAGCTGGAGGAGTTTTCGTACGGCTTTTTCGCGCCGTGCAACCAGAAAACGGATCTGTCGGCGTTGCATGCGATGGTGATTTCGCGGAGCCGAAATCACTCCGTGACGCCCAGACTGGACGTCTGGAATGTGTAGGGAGGGAGGGGGAGCCGAGATAGATTGCTGTCCAATTTTTTAAAAAACATTCGGACCGGTCCCTATGTTCTAAGTATACATACTGACAAGATGTGCAGGATGCCAATCGCGCCATGGACAGCCGAGATGATTGTCTATCGATCGTTTCGTCGCCCCCCACCTGACATGGAAAGCTGTAAATCCGTGATATGAAGTGATGATGACGTCATAGCGCTACAGGAATATCTACAATCGACTGTTGGATTTCATCTCCCAGCACTGGCTCAGCGCTTCATGATGGACGGCTTTTCATCCAGGTCCGGGACTCCGGGACGAGGTGCATGTAGGGCGGCGTAGTACGCCGGCGGTGGTGGTGGCGGTGGCGGCACCGCCCAGCCGCTGCCGTGTTCGTTTGCGGCGAGGCACGGTCTAGGAGTACCTGTACCGCCGTGCTTTTCCCCGGCGCGCTCGGGAGCCCATGTCTCCGATGGCAGTGGCAGCAGCAGCAGTGGTGAGCGCGCGTCGAGGCGTCGGAGGTAGAGCAGCGCGGCCGTCGCGAGGAGGAGGAACGCCGCGAGGATTATCCCTGCAGCAGCTCAAAGTTAGTTAATCACGCGGAAGCAGGTCGGTCCGCATAGGCGCGACGCACCGATGAGGGCGAACACGGCGCCGATGCTGAGTCCGCCGTGGGCGTTTTGGAGGAGGGATGCGTTTCTCGTGGACAGCGCAGGAGCCATGGGTGGGTGGTGGGTGTTATGTGCGATGCTGGCGTTCACACTCATACTACTACTTATAATATATCACGAGAATCTCGGATTTGAGATGAGCCGGAGCGTCGGGCAAGGGCAGCTGCAGCTGAGCTTCTCGCTCACGATGCGGATTGAAGCTGTAGCTGGCTGTGCTAAATCCCCTTGATTTGCAGTGTGGAGAGTTCCGCGTCTGTCCCGTCGCAACAGGAGCGAGTCTGCACACATGGCAGGAGCGGGGGCAGGTTCAGCTGCCAGATGCCCAGATGCCCTGATGACTGGTCTGGTGCCTGGCGGTGCAAGGAGCACCGACCACGGGAGTTCAGAGTGGTTAAGCTGTGTGTGTTATGCTTCTGTGGGCTGCAGGGAAGATTGCGCGGCTTACGCGCGCGGAGACTGTAAAAATACTGGTGACTCATTACATTTACGTTCAGATCATTGGCCCCTTGATCCGATCAAGCGCACAGATCCCAATGTTAAACATGCAATCAAATGAATTACTGTATGTATATAAATAACAACTAGCGTCCGTACTCAAATAGGCAAAAAATACACTGGGTGCCCTCCCCGCACGCTCACACGCGCCCGGGCCCGGGCGGCGGCGTCGCAGCGTTGCGGCCCGGCTCGTGCGGGTCGTAATACGGGCCGTGGCTGAGGTTACCCTGCGCAGACGCGAACGGCGTGTCCTCAGCGTACGCCTCCTTCGACGTCGAGTACCGGGTCCCGCTCTCCCTGTTCACCCGGGTCAGCAAAAACAAGATAAACAAAGTGTCGGGGTGACTGACGCAGCGGCGGCGGCGAACAGCGGCGCGCCGACACTCGTGTACAGCTGCCGCTGCCCCGCGCGCCGGCTCCGGCGCTGCACACGCACGAGGTACACGCCGAGGCCGAGCAGCGCGAGCACCAGCGCGCCGATCACGGCGATCAGGATTACGAACAGCGTCGGCAGCGGTTTGCCCGAGGAGGACAGATCCGATACGACGGCGAACTTGGACGACGCGGCGGTCGTGTTCGTGTTCGTGTTCGTCTTGGCGAGCGCCAGGAACGCGCTAAAGGTTCTTGGCCCGGTGGCCGGCGCGTTGATTGAGAAGACCATCCCGGAGGTGCAGTGCACGGGCGGGCCCTGCTGCCCGCAGTACCCCCAGATGGGGTTCGTCTGTTTGGGAGCGTCAGCAGCAGCGATCGCAACGGCGGAATAGTAAGACGCACGTCGTTCACAGTGATCTTGAAGGTCGGGAACGTCGTCGCGCTCGCACTGACGGGCATGCTGTTCGAGCCAAGTCAGCCTCTGGCATGGGTTGCTCGAGGAGACGACGTACAAGCCAGACTTGAATCCCATCATCCCGGTGCTCTCCTGCAGAGGATGGCACGGGCTCGCGAAGCTCGACTGGGTCACCGTGTGGTTCTTCGCATGAAACTCACTTGGTGGGAGAGAGAAATGGCGCTCAGGAAACAAGCACGAGAAGAAGAATAACGCCTGCTGGACGTGCTCACAAGACAACGGTATCCCCCGCGGCCGCGCTGATGTTCGACGGCGTGAACGTCAGCCCGTCCGCGCCGACCTTGATCCTATGCTGCACGGACCCTGCACCCGATCAGTCGTCGCACAAACGGGGGAAGGCACAAGGCGGGCATACCCGTCGACGAGGGCTTCGCGGCCATGGATGGCGCTGCAGTCGTGGAGGTCATGGGCTTGGACGCCATCGCCAGTTTCTGGAACGCGTCGAACGTTTTGGGACCCGTCGTGGGTGCGTTGATCGAGAACACCATCCCCGCGGTGCAGTGCACCGGCGGGCCCTGCTGGCCGCAATAGCCCCAGATGGGGTTCGTCTTGCAAAACAAATCAGTCAGTGTTGATGACGATGCGGGGGGAGGTAAAACACACGTCGTTGACGGTGATCTCGAACGTCGGGAAGTACGTCGCGCTCGCGCTCACGGGAACGCTGGGATAGTCCGAGTGAGAACGGGCACTGGATTGAGCGTGAGGTGAGACGACTCACAACCCGGACTTGAACCCTGCGACGCCGGTGCTGGCCTGCAGCGGCATGCAGGGGTTGGCAAAGTTCGACTGGGTCACGGTGTGGTTCTTCGGGTGTAACTCACTGCACACAATGATTCAACAAAAAACGACTGGGAGCGCTGAGAGCGGAAGCAACATACAAAGAGATCTTGTCTCCAACAGCTGCCTGAATATTCGACGGTGTGAACGTGAGTCCGTTGGCGCCGACCTTGATCAAGTGCGTCATCGCTGCGAGTCCTGGGTCACTTGATGCAGCACTGAAAGCAGCAGAGAGATGCTCACGGGTGGCCGAAGGCTTCGACGCCGCCGTCTGCGACATCGGCGGTGCCCCCGTCGGCTTGCTGTACATCGAGGCGCTCACCCCAGAGGGGAACGCATTGCCGGAGACGCGCGGCTGGCGCTGCGTCGTGCCCTGCGCGGGGCGCGTGATCCCACACCGCTTGAGGCACTCGGCCGTCCCGGCGATCACGTTGTCCGGGATCTGTGCGTCGAGTCCCGCGACGATCTCCACGCCGATGTCGCCTAGCGTCGCAGAGACGACGTCCGGAGCCAGACCGAACACTGGGCCGTCCCGATCATCGTCAGCGCACCAAATAGAGAGAGACAGAACACGGCCACTCACGGCGCTGGGCGACCTGCATCCCGCCGGGATCCTCGCCGTTGAAGCTGGAGACGAACTGGACGGGCGCGCACCCGTCGTTGACCTGGAAGTGGATCGAGCCGATCGGGAAGACGGTCATCGCGCCGGGGTGCAGCGCCGTCACGACGAAGCGCGCGCCGTTCTCCGTGATCATGCCCGTGCGGAGCGTGCCGTTCACGCTGATCAGCATCTCCGTTGCGCGCGGGTGCGTGTGTGGTGTGTTCATCGCGCATGCGTCGAGGAACCCCGTCGCTGGCGCAGAGGAGGTGTGAGTTGGGAGATGCCCTGCGCGACGGCCAGGAGACACACCCATGGCGGAGTTCAGCCCGATCACGGCGGGGAAGGACGCGGCGTTGGCGAGGACGATGCTTCCCCCCGCGCCCTTGGTCGCCTTCTTCGCCGGGTCGGCAAAATCAAACACAAACTGCACATCCAGCGCGTCAGATCGAATGTCCGACGAAAGAGAAGAAAGCGTCCGCACGTCTGAGTCCTTGCTGAGGAGCGCGATGCGGTCGTTCGCCGTCGGCGCGTTCTTCAGCGCGCTGATGAGCTCGGCCTGCGACGTCGGTGCAGGCGCCGAGCTCGCAGCATGCGCGCCCAGAGTGAGGAGCAGGGCCACGGAGACGGTGCGCAGTCCGTTCGGCATGTCGGTCGGTAACGTCTATCGTAGAGAAAATGGGAGGTGGAAGAGCTCAGCGAGCTGGGAAAAGCGAAGCGGAAAACAAGTGCAATAAGGTTTGTTGCCTCTCCATCGTTGAGGGTTTTAAACACATCTGGAGACGGAGCGCTCGTGAGATCAAACGGAGGCCACTGCCGCATACCTATGTGTGCGCGCGCGTTCAGTCAGGGGACCGAGCAACCCGGAGGCTTCGCTGACCGCCGGCGCTCGCTTTACAAATACATTCCATTGATTGGGCGGGGATTGGATCGCGTGGCGTCCTTGTTCCTTGTTGATGTTGAGTTATTTCTCGAGTTGAGGTATCTCTGCGCCTGTACGAGCGTCTTCGCCTTCCCGCCCCGTGGGTATGAAACCTTTTTCTTACTCTGCGCAGCCCTTGGTCGATATCCTGATACTGTTGAGTGAGTCCATTCCTGCCTCAATTGAGACTCCAGGCAATCAAGGTACGATACCAACCTCAGCGATCCATTGAGATGCGAATAATCACGGCGTTTGGTGTCTGTGTCGTTTCCGATGAACATCGCCTTTAATCGCCTTCGCCTGTGCTGCTGCTGCTTCGACCAGAGTGTGAACCTCTGAGACACCGATTGTTCAAGAAGCTATGCACGAAGCTACCCGTAAAGCCCGCATGAAACGATTCGCAGCAGAGCACAGAACGAGGTGAACAAGCTGTCGCACAGCAATCTCATTTCGGGTCACGCATCCGGTCGTGTGATTTGTCACGCAGTGCTCTTCTCGTGCAATCATGTCGCGGAAGCGGCTGCGAGCCGCCCCGATATCTGATTTTGCCACCCGGATCACGTGTCCGGTCCTGATTCAGATTTCGACGCTCTTCCATTTGAGCGCTGATGCATGATGTGCGTTTCCATTTCCATTCTGACTCATGGGTCCTTACATACATGCCAGGTCAAGTGCATCGGTCGAAGTCTCCGTCGTGACTTGTGCATGCTAGGTCCTGACGACGTGCAGGCGTTCTTTTACCTGCAGAACGGCCAGTCGTCTGAATGAATGGAAGCGCTCGCCGACGTCCATTTGTCTGAGCAGCTCACCCGGCAGGCTTTTACTGTAGCCAGACCTCCTTGGACGTCTCCGGCAAAGCCCGTTCCTGTGACAACGAAAGAATAGAATTTCCATGCCGTCACAGATCATCGCTCACTCGGAAGCCCCGTCAAAAATGGGACGCCCCAGGTCCTCTACGCTCTTCTCTCCTTTCATCTTCTTCGTCTCGTCGTCCTTTCCCCGCCTCCCCTTCCCATCCCCTTACATCTACGACCGCCCGGCTGCCGGCCTACTCGTCTCTCGCTCGCTACACGAAAACGCCACCGCCCTGCTCGACGCACACCCACGATGGTCGCGTCGAATCCTCTCTACTCGGGATGGTCGGTGCAAAAGTTCCAGGCCACAGTCATCAACGACGTGTGGCCCGAGGTCCTGTTCTTCTCCTCCGTCGCTGCCAGTGCGTACCCGGCCCCCCGCTCGTCCGCCCCGGAATTTGCTCACCGGGTCGTGTGCCCGCGCGCCCAGTGGTCTCGGCTGTCACGCAGCTTACGAAGCATAGCTTGGGGATCTCGAATGCCCTGCTGACGGTGCTCGGTACGGTGTTGGGTCTCGTCATCTCGTTCCGCACGAGCACTGCGTACGAGAGGTGTGTACGGTGTCGCGGTTCGTTTGCGCGCGCGCGCGTTGATGAAACGCCCATCCCACAGGTACCAGGAAGGCCGAAAGCTCTGGACGACCATCATCATCTCGTCGCGGCATATTGCTCAGATGGTCTGTCGAGCGTGTTCCAGACGAGAGGGATGTCTTCCTGATCTCCGGTAGATATGGGTGCACGTGCCCACCGAGCGGACCGACAAGAACAAGCGCAAGCTGTCGACGCTGGAGAGCATCATCGAGAAAAAGAGCATGGTCAACCTCGTGCGTTGATCGTCCCCAGCCTCCATTCCGTGTACAGTATCTCATCAACGCCCAGGTGCAAGCCTTCTCCGTGGCCGTGAAGCACTTCCTCCGGGATGAAGCGGGCATCTACTTCGAAGACCTGTACCCGCTCATCTGCTTCCTGCCCCGGTACGCCACCACCACCGGCGAACCCACGGCCGCGGACATGCTCCCGCTCTGGGACGCGTGCGACGACGAGGAGTTCCCGCTCACGAGCGCGCCCACGACGGCCGCGCCGACGCGGGCCAACACGCCGTCGACGATGAACCTCGACGCGATGACGAACCCGGACCTCGACAAGATCGCCGGGTCGAGCTGGCGGTCGGCGCGGCGCACGGGCAACAAGGCTTTCGACCCCGAGGCGGCGCTGGCGGACATCCAGGCGCACCGCCCGCTGAAGCCGTCGCGCAACCCGCCGCAGACGACGCTGCTCGACTACTTCCCGTTCTTCCGCATCTTCGTGTGGCTGTTCAGCTCGTGCAGCCGGCGCCTGACGCGCCGCGCGCGGAATATGAAGAGCAAGCACGCGCCGCTCACGGAGAGCAACGTCCCGCTCGAGATCACGATCTACCTCAATGCGTACATCGCGCGTGAGTGCTCCTCCTCTGCGGCCTGCGTGTCGGTATGGTTGGGTGACCTTGCTTGTGTAGATCTGATCAGCAACGCCTGGGTCATGCCCGCGTTGGCGACGGGTCTCTTGAACAACGTCTCGATGCTGCAGGACTGCATGACGAACTTGGACCGCATTGCGTCGACGCCTCTGCCGTTTGCGTACCAGGCCCACCTGCGCATGTCGCTCTGGTGCGGTGGTACTTGTCGTTTTACATGTGGTGCCAGCTAACGATGCTGACAGGATGTACCTGTTCTTCCTGCCGTTCCAGATCGTCGAGCCATTCGGATGGCTTACCATCCCGGGCACCGCCTTCGCGTCCTTCCTGCTGCTCGGCTTCCTCGAGATCGGCCAAGAGAGTGCGTGTTCTTCTCTCCGGACTTGTCTCCCCGCCTGACGTCATCTTCGCAGTCGAGAACCCGTTCAACTACGACCTGAACGACCTGGATCTCGACGCGTTCTGCCTCTCGATCCAGCGCGAGCTGCACGAGATCACGGCGCACACGTCGCCGGACCCGACGCAGTTCGTGTTCAGCGCGTGGAACCAGCCGTTCGCGCCGACGGACCGGCGCAGCGCCGAGGAGCTGCTCAACGACGAGGAGTACACGCACGCGGACCACGGCGACGCCGAGCCCGGCATCAGCAGCATCCGCCGCATCTTGCTCCGGAACTGGAAGGATGTCGACCGCATGACGCGGGAGTGAGCGCGGTGCCTTCTTTGGTGCCTTCTTTCCTTCCTCTCTCTCTCTTCTGGGGCGCTCGTTCGTATTGTTGTTTTCCTGTCCTGTCATGTCCTGCTCTCGTCGCATCGTCATCCACTCCCACATTCAAATAGAGTAACTACATCCGCATCCATCACCTAGCATACTTGTCTGCCCAACGGACGCACCCGCCCACTCTCGCTTTCCACCCCCGTCGTAGCATTTTGCTTATTTATCATAGACCCGGTCTGAATGTGCTGCAGCATTTCCGCGATGCATCGCGCACGACGGGTTGTTGCTTCGTGGTGATCTGCCCGACTGGGACAGATTACTGTGCTTTCCCCGTCGGTCTGGTTCATCTTCGGTCCGGGAACCTTGTTCCCCTGATTTCTCAACGGTTGCGAGGGCAGTTTCAATTCGATGCCCACAGCTCGGAATTGGATACTGTAGCTTGACTGCATCATCCCTGCGGCGGGATCGTCCAGCTGGGTGAATCCGCTCGCTTGTTTAGCATGGAGACGCTGAGATCACTCTCATCCGCGGTGCTGACCCAGCTTCGTCCCCGTGTCCGTTAACGAAGACTGGTTGCCCGCACGTTTCGGGCTGGATGTCTTTTCGAGCAGCCTCAGTAGGGTGATTGAGATACCTGGAATGCTGAGGGTCCGGAACGCTCCCGCATGAGAGATCTCGTCGAGAACACCCGGGCTCACACTGTCTCTTCGGTTGCACCCTTACGCTCACATGGTCACTGCGCAGGTTGGAGTCCCGTGCGATACACGTGACCGCGTAGGGACCCTGAAACTTGACGGTGATCATACTTGCGCATCTGATTTTCCGTCCGCTGCTCTGACTTGAAATTGATTAACTTGACTCTCCTTTAGGCGTCAACACACAGTTGGCTCGCGTCGTTCACCGGCTTCCTCTCAATACAAGCCTGTTTGCGTGCTGCTGTATCCTCGATCTAATATGATCACCTCACAGTTGCGAGACATTCTGTGGAGAATGAGGGGGTTGTCTGCCTCAGAAAAGAATTGCACGTGGATACCGTGTCTAGGATTTGAGTGTGTATCAATGGTGTATTAATGTTCACCGCATGCGCTCGCCCCATGTTGAGGATGTCCCAAGTCTCTACCTCGGACCCCAGCATCATGGAGATCAGCTGTTGCAGTATATTCCCCTAGTTGAGACCCGAAATGGTCCTGAAGAGGGTCACCTTGTTTCATAGGATAAGCGGGCCTGATCTAGACTGCCCCGGCGAAAATGGTTGCGGGTTGCCTTTCTCACAGATCAAACACAGAGTGCAAGTCTGAAACAAATTGGGATGTTTGACACGTGAAAAAAAACAGCCTAGCATCAGGTGGTTTCCTCTGGCCCTGGCTCGCAATTTGCATAAGGTCTCCTGTGCTGCCTCCACCGCCTCAGATTCTCAGCTTCAGGTGGGAGATAAGATCTTGAAACGACAGCTGCAATATTTATTTACCAGGGCTTACACTGCCCGCACAGCACGGGCAAGGCCATCCGTGATCCGTTTCTACCCTGATCTCTGCCTTGTTGCAGACAATTGATGAAAGTTCGGCTGGTCGGTGCCTGAAATCACAGGCACCCGTGGTCGATACGTTCTGGAGGCATGGATGCTTTTTCAGACTAACGGGCTCGTAGAATAAATATCCAGACTGTCCGTGGACCCGCGAGGCCAGTGAGAACGAGACTTCCAGATGGGAATGCAGGGGGAGTGTGTGATGGCGGGACGATGATGTCACCGTTGTGATGGCGGGCTGATCACCCCGCTCCAAACCTGAGCGTCGCTCTTGGCGTGCGAGGTCGAGCGACTCTATAAAGCCCTGCCCTGTGTCCATGCAAATCCCATTCATCTACTCACCCGATCGAACGACCCGACGACCATGCTCTCCCACCTCGTCCTCGGATCGCTCCTGGCCCGCGCCGCCTTCGGCTTGATCATCGAAAGCGACAGCCCAGCGTGTATGTCCCTGCCTGCCTTGATCCGTGCGCCTTGCTGAGCCTTCGGCACGCAGTCACCTCGTCCGGAACACAGGGATGCATCGCCGCCTCGTCCAACGCGGACGGCGCACCCGTTGTCATCCAGCACTGCGACACCGCCAGCCCCGCCAACCAGGAATGGGTCTACTCGACGTTCACGAGGCAGGATGCCGGCCCGCAGCCGATCACTGTCTTCGGCGACAAGGTGCGTGCGGAGCAAGTTTTAGTGCGTAGTGACTGACACACACGATGCACAGTGCCTCGACGTCGTCGACGGCGCGCACAAAAACGGCACGAAGCTGCAGATCTGGACGTGCGCCGCGGGAAACACGAACCAGCAGTGGATCTCCGTCAGGGACTTCACGATGCAGTGGGCCGGGACGAACCTGTGCATAGACCTGACCGACGCGAGCACGACGCCCGGCACGCAGCTGCAGCTCTGGATGTGCGATACGCGGAACACGAACCAGAAGTGGACGGGGCTCCCAGACCCGCGGCTGGTCTCGAACGTCCTCTCGAGCGTTAGTGCGTCGCATCCGTCCTTTCCCTTGCGGGTCTCGTTGCTGACTGCACCACCCCCCATGGCACCCGCTAGTCTCCTCCACCGACGACGTCGCGCACTGCCTGGCCGCAGAGTCGGACGCCGACGGTGCCGCGGTCGTGATCGTCGGCTGCCTCGAAGTCGACTTCAAGTCCGCGCTGCCGAACGGCAACATCACCTGGACCGCCCCGTCGCTCGGCTTCTCCGGCCCCATCACGATCTTCGAGAACAAGTGCCTCGACGTCTCCGGGGGCTCGACTGCCGATGGCACGAAGCTGCAGATCTGGACCTGCGGACAGGGCAACCCGAACCAGCTCTTCTCGAACATCGGCGACCAGATCCAGTGGAAGGGCACGAACCAGTGCATCGACCTGACCGGCGGAAACCTCGAGGGCCTGAACCAGGTGAGCGGGATCTGGGCTGGCGATCGAGAGTCGGAGACCTCTGACAGTTGTTCGCAGATCCAGATGTGGGCTTGCGCCACCAACGGGAACCCCAACCAGGGGTGGTTTGTCGCTCCTCTCGGCGGCTGATATGGACATTTACTTCACGCTCGTTCCATCGGACTTCTTTATACGTAGTAGTGCTGCCCAGTTATGATAATTAATTGAGATTCTTGATGTGCACACCACAAGGACTAGTGCACTACATTGTTATACTGTAAATCTGAACAGACATTAATCAGCTCAAATGTAAGGGACACTTGTTCAGGTTCACCTGCGACTAAGGCTCGATCGCGTAGGTCGTTGCCATGGCCAACAAGAATTATTAAGGCATCGCCCGCTTGGCCCAGTGGTAAGGCGTCTCACTCGTAATATGCGATGAGAAGATCAGTCGTTCGAGTCGGCTAGTGGGCACTTGTTTTGCATCATAGGCCCGCCCACTCACCAGATTCACTCTGCTATTCATCATCTGTTCTTGTTCAACGCTATGCGCTCAAGTTCTCAGCCCAACTTTATGATGATTTCGGTGAGTTAGCTCTCTCTCATTGGCAGTGTCAGGTGCTTCTCAACGTAGCATCACAGTACTTTTCTTCATTAGGCTTTTCGCGATATGTACGGATTATCCAGTTGCCCCAGGACGATAGGGTATAAAAGGCAAAGCAGTGAACATATTTTTCCTTGAGGCCCACTACTGTAGGATGATCAGTTGGACTATACTAAATCTGAGAATTCATCGCATATGACACCGGTGGTGAAACGGTATCATGCTTGCCTTCCAATTGAGCGTGAGCAAGCGGCACGGGTTCGACTCCCGTCCGGTGTATTTTTCTGCGTCGCTTGTTCGACGAAATCCGCCTCAGACATCAATTGTCTTTTCCTCTTGCCCCCCTATCCTGGATCATATTTCAGGCACGCTGAATCGCACATCACCACCACCATGGACCTGATTGTCACCCACGTTCCATGCGCATTGGATGACTGTTGTAACTTTCAATCCCGGGTCCACGTCACAAGCGCGAGCTTCCTGGAATTACAGAGCAGCCGCCGAGACCATTAGATGTAGGGATTCGCGATTTCCTGCTGACAGAACAGGTGCAAGCGGGATGCAATCACTCGAGTTATTCGCATAGTACGGGAGGATCGTGCAGATAAAGTATGACAGGAAATTCATCACGAGCCGCCAAAATGAAGTCACAATACCCGAGAGCGCTGCATTCCAAATGAGTTCGTGGAAGTGTGAACGCGGAGCATAGATAGATCGATTGGACTCACCCATCAATTAATGCCAGCCTTCGTGCGCAGCAGGGCGACCCAGCTCCGCCTCCGCGCCCCCCCATGGTCCTTCTTCCGAATCGAATCTTTCTCCGTGGGTGGACCCTCCGATGTGACGATGGACGCTGGCCCGTTCTCCGCAAGCCCCGCAACGCTGGACCGGCGCTGTGTTTCAGTTGGCAGAGTCTGAGGCGCGAGTGTGGGCGCGGGATCGGCCCGTTCGCCGGGTTTGGAAGCGGTGTGTCCTCCGGAAGGGACTCCTGAGACGGCGATGGAGTGTCTGCGCCGTTGCCGCATGCGTTCGAGCAGGTCAAGCTCCGCCTGCGACTCGATGGGCACGGACAGGCGGCGCGCGCGGCGGTCGCTGGACGAAAAGAGGTGCATTTGTGGTGGGAGGAGCGGAAGATTTGTTTGGGCTCATATTCAGAGACCCGCAGTGTTATATGGGCTCTCCTCGCACTGTCTTTCCGCGGCAGGCGATGTGAGACTGGAACTTGACATCTGATTGCCGATCAGCTCATGCTGATCACCTGCGCGATGTCATCTTGCTTACTGTACGCGCAGGTGGATCTCCCTCTCCAAATGACTCCACGATCACCCGCCACCGACAAGGCCTCGCATCGCACGCGTGCCATTCATATATGCACCAAAGCACAACTTTCGCCCAGCACCAGCAGGCAGCAACGCAGCCCCCTGGCCTCGGCTTCCCGAGCGCTCGACGCCCGATTACTGTAAACTTACATACGCTCCAATTCCAGAGAATTCTCGAATCCCCATCGTCGAAACCTTCTGGATTCTGACTCTGGATCCACCCTCTGGTGGTCGGGAACCTGAGTAGTCGCCAGCTCGCCGGTGACACCCACCCGCTGCTGTAGCACAGCAAGCTCGATTCGTGGATCCAGGAGCGAGGTCGCCGGTGCCCGCGGAGCCTGGCGTGGTGATAGACGCCCGCTGGTGTGATGTCGCGTTGGTATGGGATTTGGATTTGGGTTTGGGTTTGGGTTTGGGTTTGCATTACGAGGGGTGCTGTGGAAATTGGGTTCCGGGAAGCGCGTGGCTTCGCTCGCTTTGCTTCAAATTTGCGACGCGGGGCTGAGCTGTGATGGAGATGCAACCACTCAAACTCGCTGGGTAGCGTGTATGCGTGCAGGCTGGCGCGCGGAGGGAGTAAGGACCAGAGCAACGGGCCCCTCGTTTGGTGCGCACATATCCTGATTGGAGTGGAGGAGGACGTGCGCTGACGGCGATTCGATTTCGGTGCAGGTCCACGTAAATGCGCTGAGAGATTCGAACTCCACGACTTCCGAGGCGTGGCGGCGATTCGGATTCTGGTTGCTTACGCTTGTGCTTACTTACTCCTCTCACCACTTCTTCTTTCTTTCTTTCGTCTGTTCCCTTGCACCGTTTCCCTCTCCTCCCCAACCTCTGCTTTGCTATCAGCACTTGCCGCGAGACTTGCTTGTCAAACTTGGTGCAATGTACGTCGCGACATGTGTGTTTCTCGGCTCCCGGACCTCCACTGACGGACGCGCGACAACAGGCCTACGAATACCAGCGCCGAAGACGACGTGCTCCACAGCCCGCGTCCGAGCCAGAACGAATCGCTCTACTGCACCTCGGACGACGACGACGCAGCCACGCTGGACATCACCGCGTTCAGCAACGACGGATTCTCCGACTTCAAACTCGACTTGACGTGTCTGGTGTCCCCGCCGCCGTCCCCACCCCAGCCCGCTTCCCCGCAGCTCCACCCTGTCTCCTCGATCTCGTCGTCCGCCGCGCGGCGCTCCGTCTCGTTTTCCAGCCCAGCGCCGATCGGGAGCATCGTGCGGCCGGCATCTGCACCCCGGCTCGGGCTGGGCTTTGGCTCGACGACGGCGATGGGAGCTCCGCCGGGGACCAACTCGTCCTCGTCGCCCCGGCTCTCGTTCACGCTCCCCATGACGGCGAACTGTTCCCGATTGGGACGGGGGACCCCGATCGACCCTGGGCGACGGTCCGAGTGGGCCGGGCACGGAGGCGTCGACCTGGGCGCGCGGGAGGACGGGGTGCTGTTCTCGACGGTGCGCTCGTCGTCGGGGTCGTTCCTGTTCGACGGCAGCGGCGGCGGCGACGCGCGGTCCGAGTCGCCGCTGACGGAGTGGAACTATGTCTCGCCCGTGCCCGTGCGTGCGGCGAGCCTGCAGCTGCTGCAGCCGCTGCCGAAGATCTGCCTGGCGGGCATCGACGACACAGAGGGCGGGTCCGCGTCGGCGTCGCTGTCCGAGTGGGTCTCGTCGACGCAGAAGATGTTCGCGTCGCCGTCGACGGTGTCGCTGCCGCCCGTGTCGCCGATGACGACGCAGTATGAATCGGCGCGCGAGTCCGTCGAGGACGTGTCCTCGCAGCACCAGCACCAGCCGCAGGAACAAGAGCAGGAGCCGCAGCCGCAGCCTGACCTGCTCGGGATGTCGCTCGTCTCGCAGTCGCCGACGGAGCGCGAGCTCGGCATGGAGCCGCTCTCCACCACCAGCCCCTTCTTCGCGGTCAACCTGCTGTCCCCGGGCGACTCCGTCACCGCGCTCGGCACGACCACGGCGGACAGCGTCTCGATGTCGGTGTACTCGTGCGACGCCGAGCCTGTGCCGGGCGCGCAGCCCTCCGAGCAGCAGGAGCACGACCTGACGATGATCATGTCGAGCACCAGCGGCGGGAGCAGCGGGGGCGCCTCGGCATCGCGGGCGCGGCGCCCGTTCTCGAGCCTGCACCAGCCGTACATCTGGTGGAGGCGGCTGGTGCATCGGCTCAAGACGGTGCTGCAGAAAAGAAGGCATATTGGATTGGACGCTGTATAAAGTTGTGTGTGGGTAACCTGTGCATGTGATCTGGAGATTCGTTATACCCCCCGTACTACATAGCTATCTATATATCAAACAAAGATGTTTTCGTTTGGAATGACAAGGGGAGAGTCCTGCGGCCATGTGCTCCGTCGATCGCAAAGAGGAACGCAATTCGTGGGAGTGGAGTAAAACAGAGAAACCAGCCTGAGGGGTGGTGTCGTGGTGCTCAGAAGGTGCCAGCCCGGCTGACGATACACCGGACGGGAGTCGAACCCGTGCCGCTTGCTCACAGGGAATGGAAGGCAAGCATGATACCGTTTCACCACCGGTGTGCTTGTCGACGTTTACCGCGATTTGTTACAAGTGATCTGAACCAATTATCTTTTATAATTGCACGATATTTTGTCTCAGTGACTCCTAGTCACTTCCATTGGCGTCTGCCGTGAGAGCAAAAAAAGTGTTCAATTCAAGGCTGCTTTTATTTACTGCCTGTCATGTACCGTATCCACCTGTTCCTGTCACCATTTCTGGCCGCGAGATAAGAGCAAGCCACAAAATGATGTGATCAGGTGCCCGCTACCAAAAAGAAGGAAAAGTTCTCCCGAACTCGAAACCAAGCCCGAAACCCCTGGAAGCCTACTGAAGCCTAGCGGTTGTCGAAGATCCCCTCTAGGTCCGACATCTCGAGCAGGTTGACTCCGGCCTCCTCGAGCTCGCCTTCGACCTCCTCCTGCACGCGCGTCGCGGGGGTGACGCCGCCCCCGTGCAGGACCTCAATGCGATCGAATGTGCCGTGCGCTCCGCGGATCAGGATGACGTCGTTGCCCCGGCCGAGGGCGGCGCTGCACGCTGTCGGTGGAGGTATCATCAGCGCGTGGTTCTGGCGAGGTAGGAAGGCAGGCAGGCAGGCAGGCAGATAACCGAAACGAAGATCCGTCCGCAGAAAGAAGAACCAAAAAAAACAACCAAAGCCACAAAAAAAGGAAAACGAGGACGAGGACGAGACTCACTGGCCCGGACGGAGAAATCACTCTGCGTGCCCACGATCACGATCTCCGCATCCTTCGCGATGAGCGCATCGAGCCGCGTGCCCGTGAACGCGTTGTTCTTCTTCTTGTCGATGACGTGCTCGCGCGCGAGCGGCGTGTGCTCGAGCTCCCACCCCGCCGTGTGCGGCTCGTCCAGCTCCCCGAAGTCGCCCGTGTTGCGCACGTGCACGATCAGCGGCGGCTCCGCCGACGCGCGCGCGCGGGCTAGGACGATCGCGATGTTTGCTCGTAGGGCGCGTGCGGAGGGGACGCCGACGGGCGGGTCGGAGAGGAAGCCGTGCTGGGCGTCGAGCACGAGGAGGACGCGGTGTGATGGAGAGGTGCTGCTTGTTGTGGGCATAATCGGTGCGAGCCTTGCAGGAGAGATAGAGAGGGAGAAAGATGTAGAGCGTCGTGCACCGGGTATTTAAGTTCAAACCTGCACGCGTCGCTTCCTGTGTGTGTGACGCGTCAGGGTCTCCGTGTGTGAGCAGAGCGCAAACGCTCAGTGTACGACATCGACGTACCCGGAGAAAGGCTGTCTTCCGCTCGTGGACGCCAAGGAACAGAATGCGACAGTACACGGCGATCGATGAAGTCGCCTCGCCCTCACTGTCAGGTCGGCGGCCTGAACCGAAGATGGGCTGATACCGCTACCCATGGCGTCATTGATGAACAGGTGACTTGGCATATCCCGAACCGGTAAAACCCGGGCCTCAACATGCTTTCTGCACTTACATAGGTTCTCGTGGCCCTCGATGAGCGATCCGCTGCGGATCCGGGTCTTCTGTGCGAAGTCTTGCGTTGCACACCGCTGAATACTATAACCGACCCTGGAGTGGATTCGGTTCGTCGACATGCGCTTCGTGCAAGCACATGCGCTTCGCGAACATGCGCTCCATCATCAATCTCGTCGACGGTCAAAGTGACGCGGACCATTTCAGAACGCCTTCGCCGCTTCATTTCTTTCGGAACGCCGCCAAAACTCCTCCACTGGCGTGCCCCGACATGTTGGCGCCCCTCTGCATCGGTCAAAATTGCACTCTGTTCTGCAATCGGCAATACACATCGAAGTTGAGATACAGTACGCGCTTCCTCCTGGGGTACAAGATGTGACTGAATCGATTCAGTCTGGTCACTGCAGCATTCTTTCAGCTTCCTCTGCACTCTTCCTCACTGGACTCGTTTCCGCCGCAGGCGATACAGCTTGAATCCAGTCTCGGCCAGCGACGCCTATTGGTCTGTTCGTGCCAAACTGCGTTCACTTGCATGCCTAATTACCCTCCATCTATCTGCCGATCGTGTTTTTTTTTCGAAGATAGAAAACCTGGATATGAGGAAGTGTTGAAAGCTCTGGAACCTGTGTTCAGCAGTCTCCTTGCATCCCTCGTTCCTCGATCCCGAGTCAAGAGGACATCCATCAGACGTCAGCCTTGCTTTCGGGGTGGAAGCAGACGACAAAGCTGAAGACATTCCCGCGCGACGATGCGAGGGATCGCTTGCCAGGCATGCATTCATTCATTCTGGCAGTTGTGGACACGGCGGAATGCGAGGAAGCGGACGGGTGTGACTGATGACGTGAAAAACACACTTTTTTCCCGCTCGGGCTACGGATTGTGCTCGAGGCGCATGGTGACAAGATGTCTTTTTTGACGAAGACTCAGCAACATATGGCACCTTAAGCAACTGGCAAATCGCAACAGTCATAAGCAGTGAATAGGATAAATGGCACAGCACAAACGAGTCCGATAGACAATGGGTTGGTTCATAGCGAAGCGCTACCTCGTCGCCTCCCCGCACCTCACGCCCGAAGGCCCTCCCCGCCCTCCTTCCCGTCTTCCCCCTTCTCTGCCTTCGAGTCCTGCGTCATTTGAATATGCGGCTTCATCTCCAAGTGAATCTCGGGCTCTGCGCCATGCACGACGACCGTCCCGTCCGCCAGCGTCTCGGCGAAGATCGGGCTCGCGGCGGGGCGGAACTTGAAGTCCTTCGAGTACCTGCGTCGGCTTCAGCAGGGCGCACGCGGTACGCAGGGGTAGGGAGAGGAGAAGGAGGAGGAGGAGGAGGAGGAAGAAGAAGAGAGTGCCCGAACGACGTACCGGTCCGCGTACTCGATATGCTTCCCGCCGTGCTCGTGCTCATGCTCATGCCCGGGCCGGTGCGGATGGCCAGGCCAGTGTGGGTGACCGGGCCCATGCTTATGCCCGTGCCCATGCGCGTTTCCGTGCCCGCGCCAGTGCCGGCCGTGGGGCGCCGGCCGCAGGCGGAACGTGAGCCAGAAGAGCGCGCACACGAGCACAAGCAGCGCCGCGCGCTTCCACGCCGAGGGCGTCTTCTGCACAAAGCGGGGGTCCACGTACGGCGTCCCGTCGCCGGCCTGCACGGGCGGCTGGAGCGCGAGCTCCGCAGCACTGAAGCGCGCCTCAGGGTCCGACTCGTCGGAGGCGGTGGTGGAGGTCGCGGGGAGGAGGGGCTCGGTTTCGGGAGCGTCCTGCGCGTCCTGTTCGTCGAGAGACGACTTCTCGAATGGGTAAGTCAGCATGGGATGGGTAGATGGGTGGGTGGGCTGGTGAAGAGAGGGTTCGAGGTCCGAAGCTCGGACGCTCTCTGGTCGTCGAACGGGTGTGCAAGTGTGGAGATGGTGGGAATAGAGCTGCGGAGGTAGCGACCGGATCAGATTCTAATCCTGTCGGATCAACGAACCCGAAATTGTACAGGCTTCTTATACTGTGCAGGCTGCAGTATGTAAACCTTAGGAGAAGAGAGACGAGGATCTTGGGATCCGCCGTTGGCAAATTACTACCTGGCGGATATCCCGTCATTAATGAAAATCTGAGGTTGGATCACACGTTGGTTTCGGGCCCGGGTTGCTTCTGGCCAATCTTGATAAGGCGCCCGCTTCTGCGCAGAAAGATAAGATGCGAATCGCTGCAATGCTTCCCTAGTGCCAGAAACGTCTGATTCAGATGTTGCAAACGAGACAGATCCTGGATCGTTTCTGTACAGAGTCGACGTTCCAGGGAAAAATCGCACAAAGCGTCACCGATAATATTGGGAATCTAGGATGTTTCATTTCATCGGTGTTGGCATGCCTTTGAACGGGGTTTCGCCGTTGAATATTCGGCGGTTGGATGACGAGTTCTACAGGAATTCGTGATCCAGATGTGATCGCATAGAAAGGCTATTGTACAGTCCGAGGCGAGTATTCGGCGAATTGTAGACCTGATCTATCATCCTCTCGCCTTGAGTCCACGTCTTTCCTCAAACCTTCCGCTTCCCACTGATCCGAGTCGTGGGAATCAGAGAACGACAGCGTTGGGTTCATCAAACTCGGCTGCACCTCGATTGTCTCGACTTGTCTCTCCGCCTCGAGCATCGAGTCGCATCCGGTGATGACCAGCTCCTCGCTCGTGTCCGAGCCCGAGACCAGTCCGAGGCGGAGGAAGATCAGGACGTTCGTCAGGGCTACGACGACGACGGTGAGCGTCTCGCTGACGAAGGCGAGCGCCTGGTTCGTGTAGTATGCCACTATGAAGATCATGATCCATGTTCTGTGGAGGTCGATTTTAGCTGGTATTTGTAGTGGGTTCCGGGGGCTTACGTGTACAGTGCGGCGCTTTCGACGAGAACTTGGAGAATGACCTGTTAGCAGGCACGTGAGAAGGGAATGGTTGGATGAGGATAGCATGACTCCGCACCAGGAATGGATCTCCACTATGCCTGGATGAGATTTTCCACACGCGCCACGAGATGAAAGAAGAGCAATATATGTTGAGTCTATGCGCATATATTCAGAAAAATTTGGTAAGACACAGTCCGGAAAAACTCACGCCGCTGTTATCGAGAACTGGCCGGTCACCCAGCCTTGGACCAGCCCATATTCGACAGCATCGTTGAGGCCTTCTGGAGAGAGAAGGTTCCGGAAGATGATGTATTCCACGGCCACGCCGCTCACTTCAACATGACAACGTTAGCACAGTGTTGCTATTGGAAACTACCAGCATGCACACCGAGTTGACCGAGCCATAACGAGACGCCAGGAATCACCACGCGTCGGTCATGGTCCCATATGACCCACAAGCGGTGGAGCTGATGAATGTAGATGGGCACGCATGAGAGCAAATGAGAATGGCGGTACTGACGATAACGCCGTCCCCGATGATAACCGTCAGCGGCGCCAACAAGTTGCCGATCTCCTGCAGCACAGTGTGCTGTCTCGAAAAGATATCAACCGGGTCCATGTCGAGCTCGCGGTCCAATGCGCAGAACGCCTGAAAGATCGTGATGATCCAGTGCTGCGCGGCCCGTCAGCGGGACGGAAATCGAACCGGAGGGCGGGGAAGATCATACCGCAGTAGCAATGCAGATCAGCACTGTCGTGGGGACGAGGACGGGTATGGGCACCCGCACGAAACAAAACCACGGCCGCCACCACCCCGCGGCGTCGCGTTCGCCCACCGTCCCCGTCTCCGTCCGCCGCTCTTCGGCCTCCCTGCGCGCGCGGATCTGCGCTCGCACCCGGATCGTCCAGAAGTACAGTACGACGAGCATGCCGTAGAGGAGGCTCTCCGCAATGACGACCGCGATGTCCGTCCTCGCCGCGGAGTTGATGCTCATGGCGAGCGTGGCGTTCGTCCAGAGAGCGTAGAGGGAGGTGGGGGTGGTGTGGGAGCGAGTCAAAGTGAGATAGTCTCACCACTAAGGCTTCGGACTGTTCTTCCACGAGATCGTCGCTGGCATGGTAAAAGGAATATCATAGGGGTCAGGAGTGAATGCAAGGGACATTTGAATTCAGATTAGGAGCCGCGTTGTACAGTGTACCGTCTCAGTCGGATCTGGACAAAGGGAGCTGCTCGGTGCTCAGGGAACGTGGTACATGCCATTCGAGAAGCTTCTGGCTGCCTACCTTCCCGCACGCAGCAGCCCAGCCCAGGAGGACACTCCTTCTCGCACCATGCCTGCTGTGACCACACCTGCAGTAACAGTCTCTGGCCTGGAAAGAGAAATTCACGGAGTGCAGCTGGAGAGGAGAGGATTGCAGGAGAATAGTTGTGCTCGAATGCCGACGCATGTGGCTCGGACTAAGCAGCTGCAAAGGTCAAGTGATCCGGCGACCGGCCCATGATGTCAGTGGGTAGGCACTACGCCCAAACACCAGGATAGGCTCGCAATGAAGCTGTGGATCCCCAAAACTGCATCCCTTCAGCATGGAAGACTCGCTGAGCCTGCAACCTATCAGCGAAGCGATTAAGACTTGGAGGCTGAAGATATCGAAATACGCAGATCAGCCCTTTGACAACGGTGATACAGTCCTGCGCTCTGCCAGTGCGAAATGGAACGAGCTACTCCATCTCTGACAGCCAGTCATATGCTTAATATTGAATAAATTGTCAAGAATCTGTAGAATACACGCTACTGGGTGCTCGCCTGGGCGCCGCACCACGCCGCACAAGTGGAGTCTCCGAGTTCTGGCTCTCACTCTCAGGACCCAGATTCTTCATACTCGTCGTCGGCGCAACCGACTCCCTCGCAAGAGCCACATCCGCATGCGCGTCAGGCACGTAAACGGTGCTCAACGCAGAGCTCTGCAACGACACGGCGTCCATCTCCGTCTCCGCAAAGCGCTTCCAGCCAGACTCCCGGCGTTCCTTCGCAACCATGTTCGGAGCGGGTGTGTATCT